TTCCACCTTTGACTTTGCTTGTCAGAAGGTCGCCAAAGGGGATCACGTGACCCCGGAACACTGCGACCGTCATAAATACGAGTCAGTTGCCAATGGTCTGAATTTTGGTCATGTGCTGTGGGGATGCTGCAGTTGTCGTAAGTGTGAAAAAACGGTCATAAGTCGCTTTTTTCAGTGTTGTACCTTCGAACGGTCACTATGCTGATCCTGATGTTAAAACGCCTCATAAATCAGATCAGATAGATAAACTCAATAGGAATAATTTCATAACAAAGACATATTTAATCAGAAAGATTACTTGCATTCATGACGGTTGTTTCTGACAATATACCTCTGTTCATCTCTATAGGTCAGTGTTTCTCAACCTTGACAATTTTAAGGCATGTGGACTTCAACTCCCAGAATTCCACAGCCAGCAATGCTGGCTGTGGAATTCTGGGAGTTGAAGTCCACATGTCTTAAAATTGTCAAGGTTGAGAAACACTGCTATAGGTGAAAGAATGATGCTCCCTCCATACCATCTTTATAGCGGCACAGGGTCATCGGGTGACATCTGATGGCCCATGCTCTTCTTTAGACAAAGACATTCCAATCTGGCTTGTGTCCAGGAAGTCTCCCAATGGCCTTTAGAAACTCCTCCCACTGGCCCATTAACATGGGATGACTGACTAGCTAAACTGCATTTCCCATAATCCATCTCGTAAGGAGACAGCACTTAACCCAATATATGCCAGATATTCTAACATACTGATACATGCTCTATAGTTAGGGTTACATAGAGCTATACGATCCAGAACCATCACTAAATCAAAATGTTGAGGTCTACTTGTGCAGCCTTCTGCAGATTCCTCCCGAGATCAAGTTCAAATTGAAATAAATCGTGGGGGAGATTTTGTTTATAAATATCATCAATATAAATGTGTTCACAAAAAAATGTTATCAGAACTATCTAGCTTTTGGTAGTCCTTGAATTATGACAAGTGTTGGTTGACCAGACTTGCTGCTACTAAACTCGGCAGGTCCCGGTTGAGTTTGTGCCTGATGTCAATAACCTTTTTGCATAGCTGGTTAAGCAAATCATTGCAATTGTGAATCCAGCTTCCCCCCTCCCCCCCCCCATTGATTCTGCTTGTTGGTGGCCAGCTAGGAAATGGCCATCACGTGAACCTGGGATGCGACAACCGTGCATTGTGAACCTTGAAGAAATCTAGGATAACATTTTTGCTTTTTAAGCCGTCAAAAATATCTTTATTTGCATCTCCCAGACGTGGCTGCCCATCTGAAAGTCACATTACTTTTCTCCCGGATTTGAGGTTATGCAAAAAAAATGCAAACATTTTAGTCTGTCGTCGGCTTCTTTGTTTGGTTTTGTGCAATTATGATGCTGTCATCTGCTTTTTGGACTCTAGAGCCCAGCTTTGGCGGCTGTTTGGGGCAAAGGTTGGAGCCCTGTGGGGCAGACGGTTGAGTTAAATCTTGATAAGGCTTCCTGACTTTTACTGTTCTAGCTTCTCAAGTTTCTGTTGTACTTCCTTAAAGTGCGGCTGTGACTTTTCGGTGCGAAGAAATAAAGCATAGTTTATGCTTAATAACTTGGGGCATTTTGTGCTTGCAGCTAAATATTTCCAGATTAATATTTTTCAACCTGAGCATGGCGGGCTGAGGAATTCTGGGAATTGAAGGCCACAAGTCTTAAAAATTGCCAATGTTGGACACCCTTGCTGTATATACGTAGTAACTGGCTGGGGAATTTTGGGAGTTTTAAGTCCACAAGTCTTAAAAGTTGCTAAGGTTGGAGATCCTTGCTGCATATATGTAGTAACTGGCTGGGGAATTCTGGGAGTTGAAGTCCACAAAAGTTGATGTGATAGTAGTCTTCCAGTTGGGCTATTACAGAGACGAGGGGGTTCAACCTATTTATTGTCAATTTATTTTCCAAAGCACCTGCGGGCAGGACAAGTAGTGAGCAGAAACTCATTTAAAGAGAGAACCAACCTAGAAATAGGGAGAAATTTCCTGACACTGAGAACAATTAACCAATGGAACAACTTGCCACCAGAAGTACTAGGTGCTCCATCACTTTTGCGACCTTCTGACCAGCAAAGTCGGTGGGGAAGTCAGATTCGCTTAGCGACCGTGGGACTAACCTGCAGTGATTCACTTAGCAACCGCGGCGAGAAAAGTCGTAAAATGGGGCAAAACTCACTTAACAGATGTCTCACTGAGCAACATACATTTGGGGCTCCATTGTGGTGGTAAGTCGGGGACTCCCTGTATTATAAGGATGCCCCTTTTCTCGGGTGGGGCACTCACCTGGCCAGCTCCACCGAGCAGCTAAGACGAGGTCCTCCCCCCGCCCGGCTTGGAAAACAGCAGGTGGCATCTGTCACTTTGGCACGCCGCCCTGCCAGAGAAGCAGCTGCCACCCAGCGCTGGAAAAGGGCTGGGCCAGATCCTTCTGCCCCGAGAGAATCGAGTTACCTGCCAGCCCGCCCTGCTCTCCTGCTTCTACCTGGCGCAGGTGAGGCGGAGAGCCACTCTCTGCTTGAAGAGCCGGAGAGGTGAAGACGGGGTGGGTGGGCCCTTTCAGCTAAGCCTTTGCACACCTGTTTTCCGTCACGTTGGCCCAGGAGGAAGAGGATGGCGCTCTCTGTCTCGATCCTTGTTTGCTACCCGTTTAATGATTGACAGGCAGGGGAAATGCAGGTGCTCAGAGCGAGGATCCCAGCTTCTGGACGGCAGGTAGATGGGAGAGCTTCTCTTTTGGGGGAGTGGGGGGGGATTGCTGCCTGAAGTTGGGGTGTCTTCTGAGCCTGGAAGGGGGGGGTGACCTGCCAGGGAGATGCCAAGTCTGTCCCACGGGGATTGTTTTGGTTGTGGGGCTGAGTTTGCGAAAGCTGCAGGGCGGGAAACTGAGCGCGATCTGTGCGAGGTGGGGCTGCAGGTTAAAGCGACAGGTGATTGACAGGCACGTTAAGAGGGGCTGGGGTTTTTCTCACGCACACACAAACGTGCTCTGGGAAGGAGACGGGTGGTTTCTCAAGGTGATATATATATATATTTAGTTTCAGGACTCAGAAAAGGCAGAACTGTGTGAAAGGTGGACTTTTAGCAAGGATGACTGTGTGCTATAAAACTGAAGGGTGTCTGGTTCTTTCAGATGCCCCTGAAAAAAATGCCTCAGCCAGAAGATGGGCAGAAGTGGTAGGTAGGCAAGGTGCACTTTGCATATGCTCAGAGGCTGCTGGAGGATGGAATAATGGACACGAGAGAAAGGATTATCCCAGTGGAAAGTTAGGGAGAATTTCCTAATTATAAAAGCAGTTGAATAAATTGGGGGAAGGGCTTCCTTCCTTCCTTCCTTCCTTCCTTCCTTCCTTCCTTCCTTCCTTCCTTCCTTCCTCCATTTTCTCTATATTCCTTCCTTCCTTCCCTCCCTGCCTCCTTCCCTTCTTTCCCCTTTCTCTTTTGCTTTCCCTGGGTAAGTTCAAACAAAGCCTCGACAGCTATGGGTCAGGGATTGTTCAAACCTTCACAAAACGGGAAATGCTGGATGATCTCAAGGGACTGAACTGAAGAAGCTTCTTGAATGAGAAGCAAAATACTTTCAAAGAAAAAAACCAAGGAAGTCCAGTTGCCTTTTGGAAATCTCCATAGAAATGCCATCCATATGTTTTGCAAATTGCACGGAGTCTGGAGCTTCATAAACCAGCAATCTGTGCAATTTTAGCCCACAGGGCTTGGGGCTGGCCGAACAGCCAAGGCTTACAAAACTGCAAAATACAGATAATGTGTTAAAGATTCCAGACAATTCAGTCTGTTTCTCAAGATTGAAGGGCTCTCAGTATAGTTGGTTGCACAGTCAGCCAGATGTTCAGACTGAATTGTCCGCCTATCAAGTCTTTCCTAAGGACCTGGGATAGGCAGATGTTGTTATTTGAACTTTAAAGCTCTCCTTGCGGGTTGGAAGCTGTCCCAAGTCAAACTGCCCTTTGCAATTGACTGACGGTGAATTTGTCAATGCCGATATGAGTTCAAATAGTGCTCCAGATGTTTTGGGATTGCACCCAAGGACCATAGTCATTTTATTTCAATTTGCAGGTCTTTGTATTTTGGGATCTTCTCCAGTTCTTCCTCTTCTCCTCCGCTGTCTCCAGGCACTGCAGCATCCATTACCCAGACTTTTTTGTCTTCCTTATGAACAGTGGTTAATTCTGTGGTGTTATGTGGCTGGTGTTTATTATCATTACTATTTTGATAACAGCAGCAGTGGGAGGGAGCTGGCATTTCAGAAAAAAAAAACCCAAGGGTTGGCAAAAGTGGGATATCTTTCGTGCATAAACAAAAGTATACATACAGGGAACAACAAACTCTGAGTATAAATTATAAAGAGAAGAAGTCAGAAAGAAAAAATGTTGCACACACCTTTCTATTGGATGTGGCTGTTCTCCCCTGGAGCCAGATGAACTGCGGTTATATAAATACATTCAGCACGTGCTGGATGTGCTTTGTTAGATAAAGGCAGCCTGCAGCAGATCCATGTTGTGACTAGTGTTATTTATTTATCCAGCGCCAGGCATCTTCAAGGCTGTGCTTCATTAAAAGTAGATCTGCATGTCATAAAGCAGATTTAGTGCAATAAAATCAGGTAAAAAACGATCATAATTTGACACTCCATCCCAGGAATCTCGAATTGCAAAGTGAATAGTGATGCCTTTAGCCTAGATCGAAACTTTAAGCAAAGTTGGTGGGTGATGCGTTTGGGGGGCAAAATGCTAAAAATCGATATATTATGGGTCTGCCTGAAAAGCCTGCTGCGCTCTTAAGAGCTCTTCTGCTGCTCACTTCTTTCTTTTCAGTTTTTATTTGCTTTGTTTTCTCCAAATAAGGCTGGCGAGAGGATTTTGCCTCCTTCCGAGCCAATGGGACCAACCTGGAGGCATTTGGGTTTTTCTCCAGTTCTGAGACACCTCAAGGGCCGTTTTGGGGCATCTTCTGCCACAGAGCCACGAGGCTGAAACCAACAACTGGGATGCAGGAAGAAAGTGTGAACTTCAACCTTTTCCCGGATAAGCAGAGTTGCCACAAATGGCCTGGGGAGCCGATGATGCCAGTAAATGCTGCTTGTAGCCTTTCCACGGCGACTGTAGAGAAACGGATCAGGTGAGGGGAATGGAGTCCTTAGAAGGACAAGGAGTTCTTCTTTAGCAACCACAATTGGGACCGACAATTGTTAAGCGAAGCAGTCACTAAATGGAAAATCACATGACTGCAATGGTGTTTTCCTTTTCTTCACTCCTCTGCCCCTGTGAATGTTGGGATAATTAGCAAGAAGGGAATTAATATTTGTGTTTACGATCATTGGAGAGAAAGGAATTGTAAGAGAGTAAACAGGCACAACATGTGGAACAGTCATAGAAAGGAATGTGTTTTTTGAGGTTCTGAAAGACTCCCAAACCTGGTTTTGGTGCCAGTTCTCAGGTTAATAAGCTTTTTTGAATGAGAAAGGCTGCCATACAGTGTTTTATTACCTGCTTTCAGTCCAGGCTGCATGGTTTTATTTATGTTTTTAATTATTTTATTTTGGATGGGACTGTATAAACCATCCAGAGTTGTTGGAGTGCGTGGCTATAATAAATGCAATGCACAAAATTAATTTTGCTGGAAACAGTGGCAAGGCTTTCTGGGTTTATGCCTGCCATCCATCAGCCAATTTTCATACTGAGCTGACATAGCATGGATGAAAAACCTTGAGATGAGTATACAGGAGAGAGAGAGAGAGAGAGAGAGAGAGAGAGAGAGAGAGGGATGGTAGATAGATAGATAGATAGATAGATAGATAGATAGATAGATAGATAGATAGATAGATAGATAGATAGATAGATAGATAGATAGTACTGAGTGGATGGATGGATGGATGATTGCATGGATGGATGGATGGATGGGTGATAGAATGGATGGATGGATAGATGGAAGGTAGATAGATAGATAGATAGATAGATAGATAGATAGATAGATAGATAGATAGTACTGAGTGGATGGATGATAGGATGGATGGATGATAGAATGGATGGTTAGGTAGGTAGGTAGGTAGGTAGATAGATAGATAGATAGATAGATAGATAGATAGATAGATAGATAGATAGATAGATAGATCTTCTCTCTCTGCATGCTTTCCCTTTACTGATCCATCTCTCCCTTGGAGTAGGACACTGCTTAACAGCCCCCCCTCCCCCCCATTGCTGGACTGTTGTTCCTGACATGCCGGCCTCTGCTTCCCCAGTCAGGAAATATTCCATCCTTTTCCATTCAGAAGGAAAGAAAGAACCGGGGCCGGGGATGTCCATCTCGGTCTTTCACACCCTGCCCTTCTTTCAGGGAGCAGGCGGCCTGGACCCTGCAGGAGACCCTCCAGGACAGCCTCTTCCGCTTCCAGGACTGGCTCTGGGCAGTTGAGAGGGTGGCCTCCTCCCCCAAGTCCTCACTGGTCTCCCACAACGACTCCAGAAAAGAGCTGCAAAGGTTCCGGGTAAGCAGAGGGCTGCTGCTTCTGGGTCTGATTGCATATATTAAGTGGGTTTGTCCCCCCCCCCCTATCTCGCCACAAGCTGACCGGTTGCCAGGACAGTAGGTACAGGTAGTCCCTGACTTACGACCACAATGGAGCCCCCGGGACCCTGCGACCGTCATAAACGTGAGTCGGTTGGCAAGGACTACCTGTAGCCCGGCCCCTGTGTTCTGTGACTGGTTTTTATTTTTATTTTTTGCTCTTTCAGTCTTTCTGTTTATAAATGTCAAAACTAGGACTTTAAAAAAATACTTTTAAAATCAAACACGTTTCCAAAACTCCTTTTCAAGTTGAGCCTATTTTAAAAAAAACTCTTTTTAAAACGAAACATTTTAAAAATAAAATACGTTTTTTAAATCGCATCTTTGTTAAAAAAATGTTTTTAATTATTAATGATTTAATTCCATCATTATTTTTAACAGTTGTTATTACTAATGATTAGTAGTAGTGTTTTAATATTTGTTCACGCTCTTAGCCAGGCTCATTCGTTCGAGAGGGTGGCTGAATAAATTGAATGAGACGTCAGTCAAAGGAAGTAATCTTCCGAAATTTACATGCTCCTCTTTTCCTGGCAAGGATGGATTTTGGTGGCTTTCCGGATCTGCAGAGATCAACAAGATAAACACAGCTCTTTGATTGCCAAAAACCACAAGGAGTAACAGCAAACAATTGCGGCATTGAGAGGCCTCTGTACACCTTTGTGGGGCAAGCAAGAGACAAACAGAAGCAGCTTTGTGCTCCCTGCTCTGAATGTGTCTGTCGAGGCGAGAAGACTGACTCAAAAGGCAAAATCTAAGGGCCCTAGAAATAGAAATAGAAGAACATAGGAAGGGACCTCAGAGGTCTTATAGTCCAACCCCTCGCTCAAGCAGAAGACCCTAGATCAGGAGGTGTCCAAACAAACAAACAAACAAAAGGACTTGTGGACTTCAACTCTAGGAATTCTGGGAATTGAAGTCCACAGATCTTAAAGTCGACACCGTTGAAGAATACTACGCTAACTTTGCATATTTATACTTTTGTAATATTGTATTTGTATTGTTTTATCTTTTAATATTGTAAGCTGCCCTGTGGTAAGGCTGGGGAATTCTGGGAGTTGAAGTCCACAAGTCTTAAAGTTCCCCAAGTCGGACACCTCCTGGCTGGACACTCTGCCCTAGAACATGTTTGGCTTAGTAACACAAATGTTGGGCCAACTCTTCTGGGATTTTTTTTTCTCCCTCCGCCCCCGCAGGCCTTGCAGAAGGACGTCTCCGAGAAGGTCTGGCCTTTGGCGTCCCTGAACAGGCAGTACCACCAGCTGGTGTGGATGGGGGGCATCAGCCCACGTCTGAGGTCCTCCGTGCAGGAGGTGAACCGGCGCTGGGAGGAACTGCAGACACGAGCGGCTGCTGTTTCCAGAAGGCTTCAGGTCAGCTTGGAGGACCCTTGACTCGGTCCCGGTGCCAGGGGTGGGTCCCAGCCAGCTGTGGATTTGGGGTCATGTTTGCGCAGCCCTAAGTGGTGGTCCTGCCCACCAAACCTTAGACGTCTCTGTGGGGTCCTGGGCGCTCATTGAACTTGGCTTCTAGGGAGGTTCTCAGTCCTCCTGTCCCAAACGTGCTTTTTCAGGAGGCAACTTGGTTTTTCTTTGAAGACGTTTCGCTTCTCATCCAAGAAGCTTCTTCAGCTCTGACTGGATAGTGGGGAACTGAACTTGGTTGTTTTGTGCAGACGTTTCATGACCCAGCTGGGGAACATCATCAGTGCTAGAAGGAAGGTAGCTCTCTGCTTATATCCGTTTCCTTCCAGCACTGATGAAGTTACCTAACTGGATGATGAACTGTCTGCAAGAAAACAGCCTAACTAAGAGGGACCCCACAGTCCTTCCCGTCCCCCTCCTCTCCACAAACCCCTCTCCCTTGTAGCACTGATGATGTTATCTAGCTGGGTCATGAAATGTCTGGAAGAAAACAGGCAAGCTCAGAGAGCACCAAGGACCTCAAAGTCATTGTTGTTGTTGTTGTTGTCGTCGTCCTCCTCCTCCTCCTCCTCCTCCCAACAAACTCCATTCCCTTGTAGTACTGATGAGGTTACCTAGTTTGGTAATGAGACATCTGCAAGAAAACCACCGAGCTCAGAGAACACCAAGGACCACCACCACCTCCTCCTCCTCCTCCTCCCAACAAACTCCATTCCCTCCTAGTACTGATGAGGTTCCCTAATTGGGTCGTGAAACGTCTGCAAGAAAGCCACCCAGCTCAGAGAGCACCCAGGACTCCGAAGTGTAACTCTGAACCACAAAGGTTCTCTTCTCAGAGGTCCCTCTTGGCTCACAGAATGAGAAGCCGCCTGTCACCCTCTGCTTTGCCTCTCCCTCAGCATTTTGTCAATCAATGGGAGGAGTTTGGACAGAAGAAGGGGGACATCCAGGTGCGGCTGATGGAGCTGGACCTGCGGCTGACTGACGTGGAACACTTCTCCGCAGGAACGTGGCTGGAGAAAATGCAACAGCTGCAGGTAAAATGGGCTCGGTGTCCAGCAGACAGAGAAGCAGGTGCTCCTCTGCTCACCTTTGCTGGTTCCTGCAGGATTTTCCTCAAGATTCATCCAATCTGGAATCTTGGATCTGGAATCCTCACATCCTTCAGTGGTCAGACCTGGGGGGGGGGAACCCTGAGATGTTTGTCAGTTCTTTCTGAAGATGTCCGTGCAGAAAGCTGATCGGGGTCCTGCCCTGGTTTGGCCTCTCTCTTGGATGTCCAGGCATTCCAGCAAGACGTCCAGACCAACACGGAACACGTCGATCACCTTGTGGTGCACGCCGAGTATTTGATCCAGAAGAGCCAGCCGGAGGATGCTGAGACCCTGGAGGAAGACTTGAAGGAGCTGATTGTCTTCCACCAGGTGGTCTTGTCAAGGGTGCTGCAGTTTCGGCAGCGCCTGGTCAGCATGAGGCTGGTAAGTCTTTCTTTCTTTCTTTCTTTCTTTCTTTCTTTCTTTCTTTCTTTCTTTCTTTCTTTCTTTCTTTCTTTCTTCCTTCCTTCCTTCCTTCCTTCCTTCCTTCCTTCCTCCTTCCTTCCTTCCTCCTTCCTTCCTTCCTTCCTTCCTTCCTTCCTTCCTTCCTTCCTTCCTTCTTTCTTTCTTTCTTTCTTTCTTTCTTTCTTTCTTTCTTCTCCTTCTCCTTCACCTCCAGTTTCTCCTCTTCTTTCTTCTTTTATTACTTCACCCTTCAAGGGAAGTCTTAGCACCACTTTACAAGGCCTTGTTAAGACCACCCTTGGAATATTGCATCCAATTTCGGCCTCCGCCACAGAGTCCCACTGGGGAGCCTTCCCACGTGCCCAGATCACTTTGTGCAAAGGGTGGGGGGTGGGGAAGGCCCTTGTCTGCACGTGTCCCTCCTGCCTCCAGGTCTTCGAGGACGAGTGGGAGTCGGACCGAGAGAGCGACTCGGAGTCAGACTGCTTCACGGAAGGATCGCTGCCCTTTCGCACGGGGCACCCTGAGTCCGCCGCCCTGAGTCCCCAGGGTCTTCTGCTCCACTCCACCCCGCAATCCGTCCGGTGTTGCAGAGCGCCGGCTCCCATCGGCGATTCCTCGGCCGCAGACCTGGAGTGGGACCCCTCGGTGGACGTGGGGGGCTCCACCTCGCAGGACGAAGATTCCTCCTATTGCAGTGCGGTTGTGGGTAGGTGTGGGCCTGGAGGAGCAAGGGTTACCTGTCCTCAACTGACGACAGTTCATTTAGTGACCTTTCAAAGTTACCACAGCACTGAAAAAAGGGACGTGTGACCGTTTTTCACACACACGACCGTTGCAGCCTCCCTGTGGTCACGTGATCAAAACTCAGACACTGGGCAACTGGCATGTACTTAAGATGGTTTTGGGGTCCCAGGGATCCCTTTTTGTGGCCTTCTGACGAGCAAAGCCAACGAGGAAGCCAGATTCACTTAACAACCATGTCACAGGCAGTCCTCGATTTAAGACCACAACGGAGCCCAAAATTTCTATTGTTAAGCGAGACATTGGTTAAGTGAGTTTTGCCTTATTTTATGATTTTTCTTGCCACCGTTGTTAAGCAACTCCCTGCAGTAGGTAAGTTAATAAATCGGTTGTAAAGTGAATCTGGTTTCCCGATTGACTTAGCTTGTCAGAAGGTGACAAAAGTTGATCACGTGACCCCGGGACCCTGCGACCGTTGTAAATACGAGTCAGCTGTCAAGCACATAGCCACGGGGAGTGCTGCAACGGTCGTAAGTGTGAAAAACGATCGTAAGTCACTTTTTTCAGGGCTGTTGTAACTTTGAACAGTCACTAAACGAACTGTTGTAAGTTGAGGACTGCCTGTACTAACTTAACGACGGCAGCGATTCGCTTAAGAACTGTGGCAAGAAAGGTCGTAAAATGGGGCAAAATCCACTTCACTGCTGTCTTGTTTAGCAACGGAAATTTGGGGCTCAGCTACGGTCGTAAGCCGAGGCCTCTCTAGAGGGCCCCCCCCCCCAAGATCTCAGATTATGGCCCCCCCCATAAGTCGGAAAACAGCGGATCTCCTCGTGTCTCGCAGGCCAGGAGGAGCCTCTCTGGAGAAGGAACCGTTCCCTGCGCTGGAGCTGCGGCCGAGAGGAGGAATTTGCGGTGGGTATCGGAGGAACAGGGCGGGGGGAATTTGGGGGAAGGGGGAGGGGGCTGAGTCCCCCGGGCTGCTGGTGGAAATGAATCACGAGGACCAGCCACTGCTTTTCGGCAGGAATGCTCTCGGTTGGCCAGGAGTTGCCTTTCAGAAGACAGGTAGACTGCCACTGGTGGGGGAGGTTTCCTGTGTTTAATAGTCTTCTTACAGGCAGTCCTCGGCTTACAACCGTTCATTTAGTGACTGCTTGAAGCTACAGTGGCACTCAAAAAAGGGACCGATGACCATTTTTCACACACACACAGCAGTTGTAGCATCCCCCCCGGGGTCATGTGATCAGAATTAAATCGCTTAGCAACCGGCCTGTATTTGTGACGGTTGCAGCATCCCAAGGTCACGTGAGCCAAATTTAGATGCTCAGCCACTGACTCGTATTTATGTCAGCGACCTTCTGACAAGCAAACTCAAGGGGGAAAAGCTGGATTCGCTTAACGGCCGTGTTGCTAAATTGAGAACTGCAGTGATTCATTGAATAACGGTGGTAAGAAAAGTCGTAAAATGGGACAAAATGCACTTTGCAAATGTTTCACTTAGCAACAGAAACGTTGGGCTCAGCCGTGGTCGTAGGTCAAGGACTACCTGCATTTATTACTTATTTGTGAAATAAATTTATAGACCTGTCCAAGTCACACCGGGCAATTTATAACATAGTTCCCAGCAGGTCCTGTTTTCCTGCTTTGGGCCGGATGCGGAATTACAACGCGACTCCAATAATCAAATCAGTCAGTCCAGGCAGTGACTCACTTAACAACGGTGGCAAAAGTCGTAAAGTGGGGCAAAACTCCACTGTCTTGCTTAGCAACAGAAATGGGGGGCTCCGTTTGTGGACGTTGACTGGGAACAAGCCATACAGATGTGAAGCTCTTTGAGGGTCTTGTGTTCTTTCTAAGCGTGTGCTTAGCGTGTTCCCGATTCTCTGGCGACTGTACAGGCGCAGAGCGGTTTCCCAGAGGAGGGGGAGCCCTGCAGCTGCCTGGGGGCCGATCCAGTGGAAACAGATGTTTGGGGTAAGCCCAGGAACTTCCTTTTCACTCCCCACCGTTTTCCTTTTTAAAAAAGTAGCCCTTCCCTTTCGTGTTCTTGCGAATGTCTGCATGCCGTTAACTGTTCGCCCACTTCCCAGCTAGTGCTCGTTTAGCGACCATGATTGGAAACAGCAACTCGCTCGTTAAGTGAAGCAGTCACCAAATGAAAACACGAGGTGCTTATGATCAGGCTTCAGCCTTCTTTCGCTTCACAGACTGGCAAAGCTTGTGCAAGCAAGGATTGGTTGCAAAGTCACGGTCGTCAGTCTGAACGGTGGCGGTCGCTAAATGAGGATACCCTGTGCAGTTTCCTCTAAATAGAAATCCCCTAAGCCCACCTTTTCTGCCAACGTGCCTTTGAAAGCTACTGGTTTATTTATTTACTTATAGCTATTTATTAATTTTTTTTATGCCGCCTATCTGCCCTATACGATGACTCTAATTCAGAGCAGTTTTAGCCAACTGGGCACCCTCAAGTTCTGCTGGGATCACAGTGTCCATCCTCCACAGCCAACGGTGTGATGCTGCTGCATCTGGAGGGGAAAACTGCTTTAAAAAAACTTAAATAGGTTTATTTTTCTGACAGTTGCTGAAGATTCTTTGGCCAGCAATTTTGTTTTGGGGCACATTTCAACTCTGTTGTTCCTTTTGGGTAGGTCGTTCCGCCCCCCTGGAACCAGGAGCTGGCCGGCAGCCCAGGACGGGGGTCTGCTGCCCACTCATTGAAGCCATGGGGTTTGATCCCAAGCGCATTGAGAGCTGGCTGGACCAGAACCGCCAGAACCAAAGGGGAACGCCGCCAGAGACCAAAGAGGTATGCAATTCTCCCAGGGAAGCAAAGTCAGAACTTGCAAGGTTGCAAAAAGGAGTTAAATTCTGAAGCTGAGAATCTGTTGACCCAGTTCAGGAGCAGAGCGAGGATTCTGAACCGAATCCCATCTCGATTCTGGCCATCAGAGCAGTCTGGAAATGATCGAATGCAAACAGCAATTTCAAAAAGCTAAAAAGAATATAAAACACACCAACTTAAATAGACTAAGCCAGTGTTTCCCAAACTTGACAATTTTAAGGCATGTGGACTTCAACTCCCAGAATTCCACAGCCAGCGTTGCTGGCTGTGGAATTCTGGGAGTTGAAGTCCTCATGCCTTAAAATTGTCAAGTTTGGGAAACACTGGACTAAGCTATATTCAAGCAGTCCTCAACTTATCGCAGTTTGTTTAGTGACCGTTCAAACTTACGACGTTAAAAAAAGTGAGCTATGTGACTCATGACCATGTCTCACACTTAACAACCGTCACAGCCTCCCCGTGGTCACGTGATCCAAATTCAGACGCTCAGCAACTGACTCACACTTACGACGGTGTCCTGGGATCACAGGATCACATTTGGCTCTGCCTAGCAAAGTCAGTAAGGGAAGCCAGATTCCTTTGACAACCGTGTTATTAACTTAACAACTGCAGTGATTCGCTTAACAACCGTGGCAAGAAATGTCATAAAATGGGGCGAAACTCACTAAACGACTGTCTCGCTTACCTCGGCGAGGCTGCTCCTCTTCCTCCATTTTTCAGGACTCCGTAACCCCTGTGGATGTGCTCCCACTGGCCAAGGAGCTGCAGCTCCCTCTGCAGGTTCAGGCAAGGGGGCAACAGCCCCGGAGGCAGAAGGTCCAGCGACGGTCCAGGAAAAAAGGCAAACGGAACCTCATCACCGGCCAGGTGTGGCTGGAGAAGGAGCGACGGGTAAGGCCAGCCCACGCTTCTTGCCAAAAGCTGATGGGATCCAAGTCAGCGACAGACGAGAAATGAAACAAAAGTGAATGTGGGCAAGTTCTACCTGGGAGATCAGAAGGGCAATTGGCAAGGATCTCTTGAGCATGCCGAAAGTGCCCTCTCTTGAAATTATTATTTATTTATTTGGATCCTGCCTTCATTGTTTTTACAAATAATTCAAGGCGGTGAACTTATCCAACATGTCTTCCTTCTCATCTTTTTCCCTATAACAACCACCCTGCGAGGTGGGGCTGAGAGAGAGGGACTGGCCCAAGGTCACCCAGCTGGCTTTTGTGCCTAAGGCTGGAATAGAACTCCCCGTCTCCTGGTGATTGGCCCAAGGTCACCCAGACGGTTTTCATGCCTAAGGCGGGACTTGAACTCACCGTCTCCCGCTTTCCAGCCTGGTGCCTTAAGCACTAGAACCAGCTGCAATAAAGCCTCCCTGTTTTAGAAGGAAATTTTAAAAGTGGGTGCTGCTTTTAAAAGCTCCAAGTTTTTTTTTTTTTAAAAAAGCTTGATTTTGTTTCCCTCGTGTGAACCTTTTCCTAGATCTCCAAGATGACATTGCGAAATTCCCAGTCAGCAGAAATTATGGTTACCATCGAGAAAGAGTAAGTGGCTTTTTTAGAAGTTTTTGAGAATAATAATAGGAGCCGAGGTGGCACAGCAGTTAGAGTGCAGTACTGCAGGCCACTTTAGCTGACTGTGTTCAGCAGGTCAGCTGTTCAAATTTCACCGGCTCAGGGTTGACTCAGCCTTCCATCCTTCCAGTGTAGGTAAAATGAGGACCCAGATTGTTGGGGGCAATGTAAATATATATATATACATTGCTTACTGGTGTACACTGCTTAGAGAGTGCTTGCACTTAAAGCGGTATATAAGTCTCATAAATAAATAAATAATTTAGGGTTTCAATGAACGCAGCCGGTTTCAGCCACCGTGATGCCGCAAATTGGGGGGGAAAAAAATTGGATTCGTTTAGTAACCAGGCTGTGTGTGTTGTAGGAATGCAACTGGGGTATCCCTGCATTCTGGGTATAGATCAATAGCGAGATTCTGTTGGATTGGGATTACGGCAGTCCTCAGTTTACGACCACAACTGAGCCCAGCATTTCTGTTTCTAAGTGAGAGAGTTGTTGTGAGTTTTGCCCCATTTTACGACCTTTCTTGCTGCAATTGTTAAATGAATCAGTGTAGTTGTTAAGTGAGTGACACCGTTGTTAAGTGAATACGGCTTCCCCATTGTCTTTGCTTGTCAGAAGATCGCAAAAGGGAGATCACGTGACCCTGGGACACTGCAACCGTCCTAAGTACATGCCAGTTGCCAAGTGTGCAAATATTGATCATGTAACCATGGGGATGCTGCAATGGTCATAAGTGTGAAAAATGGTCATAATTCACTTTTTTCAGTGTCGTCCTAATTTTGAACAGTCACTAAATGAACTGTTGTCAATCGAGGATACCTCTACTTAGTGGAAATAAGTTTGAATTCCAAGCTTGAAACCGTCTCCCCCTTTTCTCTCTCCAGATGTGACCTGCAGCTGCCCACTGAGACTTCTGCCCAGCCCCAGAAGCTCTGCAGAGCCTCCGTCCTCTGGCTGCTTCTGACCACCACCTTTGCGGTGCTGGTGTGGCTGCTGTGCCAGTCCACTTTCCTCCCCCTCTCTCAGCCCCCCTGTCTCCAGACCAACGGCTTTGCCAAATCCTTCCACCTTATGCTAAAATACGAGGGCCCCCCTCCCACGTAGAGGATGTTGGGGAACGGGGACAGTGCAATCAACTAAACTGGAGAGTCCTGCAGGAAAAAATGGGGCTCCTGGACCAGCTTCTTCTGGACTTTCAAGAAGTGGCCTTCCCTGGATGGGCTGTGCCTGCATCTGCTCGGAGACGGGTTCCAGATCAGGAGATCCAGAAGATAGCTACAATTTCAGGGAAAGAGGTTGGATTTAAGTCTGGGGAGCCACCTTGGAGTAGTCCCCAGTGCAAAGATGGGGCCGGTTTTTCTCAAACAAAGGTCATGCATGCAAAGAGGCAGGACATCAACCTGTGGCCGTGACTGCTCAGGTGGCATCTGCTGATCTTTGAAGAAGCTTGTGATGAATGGAGCTGCAGCAACATCTGCTCTGGACTGAAGGTTTCTCAAAAGAGATCCATTTTGACTTGGGGGGGGGGGGTAACTTCCAGCTTTGGAAAATGGATATTTTTGTACACAGGCTACCTATTTGTACCTTTGGCATCCGCCATTTTCTAATAGAGAGAAAGGTCTAGTTGTGTGATTGGTTGTGGCAGGTAGAAGATGTGAGCCAGGAGATGGCACCAATGTCACATTTGGCCCTCAAAAAAAGACCCCCACCTGAAAGCGAGTATCTGAGAGACCCTGAAGATGGCGCTTGTCAACCTTGGCAACTTTAAGATGAGTGGACTTCAACTCCCAGAATTCCCTGGGAACCCCCAGAATTCTGGGAACTGAAGCGTCTTCAAGTGGAATTGCATGTCGACTGGGACATTCTGGAAGATGAAGTCCAGCTATTTTTAAAGTTCATTAGCATACTGGCTGGGGAATTCTGGGAGTTGCAGTCCACACATTTTAAAAGTCTCCAAGCTTGAGAAACAATTTATTAGGGAAACTGATTACTGTACTTTTATTTGTCCAAAATATCTGTGGGAGCAAAAAGGGTAGAAGGCTTTGAGTTCACAGATCCGGAGTGTAGAGATCCAATTTTTCCACCACCGATCCAAGGAATCCTGTTCTCCAGCTTCTCATGTTCTGGTTCACATGACTTTTTAGTCAAGCGCATGATACAAATCTAGCCTAAAGGTTCATTTAATGCAGGGGTGGGGAACTACGGCCCCTTTCTGACCTGTGGACTTCAACTCCCAGAATTCCTAAATGGCTCAATGCTTAATGAATTCCCGGCTAAGGCCACATTTCAGCAAAAGCTGAAATAAATCAAGAGACATACACCGATTAGTGCGATAGTGGTTTATTTTAAAAATATTACTGCATTAAACACTCATGGCTTTCTCTCTCCAAAGTCATATTCACAATTTGAAAATAAATTAATAAGTACTTAATCTGCCAGTCCTTTACCAGCCACCCCAGTTCTCTAGATTGGATACCAAATGGAAAAAAAAAGCTGTCATCAGATGCTTCCCAATTGATCGCTGCAGTGCAGATCAATTCAGAAATCGGAAAGGGGAAGATATTGGAAAGCAATTTTGGAAGGGCGAAGAAGACCGGACACCCATTGACTGTGTCTCTTTGGGCCCCAAATCTCTTGGGAGGCAGGAAGGGACCAAAGCCGGGGATGGTAAACTTAGAAGATGCTTTGGATGAGATAGAAAAAGAGATATTTTTCGTCACGCGTCACACCCAATAGCCAGGAAGGATGAAACGGACGGTCCTGCTATGCCACGTTAGTTAATCAATCTGGTCTCAAGGTCTCGGACGTGCAACCAGGCCACGTTGAGGGCAACACAGCTCCACTCCTGGAGCCAAAATCCTGCCAGGAAATACTGAGTGCCCACGACCCACGCGGGAACTTTTAATACGGTAGCACCTCGGCAGTTCTGGCACTAAATCTGCTTTTCGTCCCCGTTCAAGGAAGTTTCCGGAGCTGAATTCTGCTGAATCTGGAGTCAGAGGTTACCCTGACCCAAACACACCCTCACATCTGTATAATCCAGGGATTAGGATCTTTCTGGCTGACTTGTGCCCCTCGTCTACAAATGGAGGAGGGCCAGGTGTGGGCAGCCCACGGCCCATTTCTCCCTTGCAAAATTGGACACCCTCAGAACGGACAAGAGGCATTTTATCCGCCTCTCCCAAGGCCAAGCCTCCGTCTCTCCCACCCACCCTCCTGCAGACCAAGATGGACAGAGACCACCTTCAGTCCCTGGTCAGCGTAACGGAGAGGCTCGAGTTGCAACTCAGCAGTGGACGGGGCTCTCTTCTGCTCTGGATTCGCACTCGGACCTGACCCGACCCTCACGTGAAGAACCTGCTGTGGGCAGCTCCTGAAGTTGCTGGGAACGAACACCAGATGTTCACCGGATTGCAGAAAGAAAAAAAAAAAACCCTGTTGCCAAAACTGAGCCGGGAGGCAAATTCTGCTCTTCTCCGTCTTCCTCTCCAGCAAGATGTGGGTCAGGAGTCCGGCCAAAACTCCAGGATTAGAAATGCAGAAAGTAATAAAATATTTTTTTTATAACCATTTACAAATATATATATATATATATATATATATATATATATATATATATATATATATATATATATATATATATGTATAGGGGTGTGTATTTTTGTATGTGTGTGCACGCTCATGTATGTATATATGGATATATACATATATGGATAAAAACCATATATATATATATATATATATATATATATATATATATATATATATATATATCGCCACCAGTTGGAAAAAGAAAGAAAAAAAGGAAGAGGAGGAGGGGGCCTCTCCGATGCCGCCACTGTACAAAACCCGTCAGAAAGTGAACGCGGCCGAAGCAACTGGCCACAACGACAATTTTATTCCATCTTGGACATTTCAAACTTTGTGGTCACTATCTCCTAAGGTGGAAAGAAGGAGAAAAGGAGAAATGAGTTTTGTGTGCTTTTCAGCCGGATGGCTCCTTCCCAAATTTCGGCTTCACCAGGGATCCTCCGTGCCTTTCCCCTTCTTTTGATCGCCTCCTTTAAAGGCTCTCTGGACGCCTTAAACTTGGCTGCTTTCAAATGGGTGGACTTCAGTTCCCAGAATCCCCCAGCCAGCCTGCTGGTGAACCAGGGGAGGGGCTACAGAAACTGAACAAATATCTAGATCAGTGTATCTCAACCTTGGCCATTTTAAGGCATGTGGACTTCAACTCCCAGAATTCCACAGCCAGCGTTGCTGGCTGTGGAATTCTGGGAGTTGAAGTCCACATGCCTTAAAATGGTCAAGGTTGAGAAACACTGATCTAGATACATTTGGATTTTGGGGGAAAAGGTGAAAAATGGCAGGTTTACCTCATCGGAGTCCAGCAACGGAGGCAACATGCTGGAAGAGAAAGAAGAGGGAATGTGGATTATAAATACACAAAGACGGCTGACAATAAAATTCTAAAAATTCTCAGTTTATGGCATGGGTTAACTCCGCTGGGTTGAACGCTGGAAGTACCGAACTTTGTGGAAGTTTTTCTTGCCGTGATCCGAAAAGAACCAAGAAAGACCCACCGAGATTCTTCTCAGCTTTTTGACTAAAAGGCAGGAATTGAAAGGTTTACGTAATAATCCCTGCAATCTTCTACTAAAAGCCTAGAACTGCTGGGAGCCCAGTGAACCAAACACAGGGAAAATAGACCCAAAAAAAAAGACTTACACATCAGCCATGGAAGAGGGAATGTTTTCTTCAACCCATTTCAAGTCTTCATCCTGCATCTGGAGGACAACGAGGGGGAAGAACTTAAGCCCATGATGGGGGGGGGGGGAGAAGAAGGAGGAAGAGAAGAAAGAAGAAAAGGAGAACGAGGAAGAAAAAAGGAGACAAGGAAGATTAAGAGAAGAAAGAGAAACTCCATCCAAGATTCTTACCACTCGGTTGCCTTTCAAAATCCCGTTCACCTCTGGCTTGCCCCCCCTCATCTTCATCCCTGGGCAAAAGAAAAGAGAATTAGCAAAGTAGAGAGACCAAAGCGGGGGGGGGGGGAGGACAAAGACACCCCCCTCCCCGATCCGACATACCAGCTCAATCTAGAACCGGCGCAGGTGCGCAATATTTTCCTTTGGCGGAGATGTCTCCCGCACGGAGATCCCAAGAGATCAGCTGGAATGCACCGGGGTGCAGTGTGTTGTGTGTGTGTGTGTGTGTGTGTGTGTGTGTGGCACACCCACAGGCGTGCAAGCGCACACCGACCACTCGAGCAAAGTCGGGCCAGGCCAGCCCGCCAGCAGGACCCGGACTGGGCTTCAAGAACCGGAGGCGGAGGTCCTGGGGCCGTGGAGCGGAAGAGACCCCCCCCCAGGCAAGGCTTACCGAAGACTTCATTGACCACCTGCTCGTCTTCCCCCTCCTCCTCCTGCTCGCTGCCCTCGTCCACCAGCGGCATGAAGGCGTATCTGTGGGGAGGGGCCGGGGCATCAGACGGGGCTGGGGGCTCCCCCGGTGGAGGCTCCCCCGTGGGAGACCTGCCCTCTCTCCCGGGCTTGAAGGAGACCCTCCATCTCCTCTGAAGAAGAAAGGTTTTCTCTCCTTGGGAGGAGCACGGAACACGGGAGCCCAGTGGGCAAGGGATAGAGACAGCTGCCCTGGGTTCGAGTCCCGGCACCTTTGATTATTGGCAGAGGGTCTCCACAGGAACATGATCACCAGCAGGAGGATGGAAAAGAGGAATCTCCAGAAAGCATCATCGATCCAGAGTTCCCGCCAGTCCTAAAAGAGAAAACAGGAAAGGTCACTGTGCAGGAAACCCAAGGTAGTCCTCGATTTACAACAGTCCCATTTAGTGACCGTTCGAAATTACAAGCTCACTAAAAAGGGATTTATGATCCCTTTCCACACTTACAACCGTCGCAGCCTCCCCACGGCCACCTCATCGAAATTCAGACGCTTGGCCACTGATTTGTATTTACGACGGTCGCAGTTTCCCAGGGTCACGTGACCCCCCCCTTTGGCGACCTTGCAACAAGCCAAGTCAATGGGGAAGAAGCCGCATTCGCTTAACAACCGGGTTACTAACTGATCAACTGCAGGGATTCGCTTAGCGACGAGGTGGCGAGGAAGATCGTAACATTAGCAACTCTGTCGCTTAGGCTCAGTTGTGGTTGTAAGTTGAGGACTACCTGTATAAAATTTCCTTCAGACCCTCCAAAACATGGGAGGAACGAAATTTCAATGATGCAAGGGTCAACTTGTAATTATTATTATTATTTATTTGTGGCTTTTAAAGCAGGGATCTTCAAACTTGGCCACTTTAAGACTTGTGGACTTCAACTCCCAGAATTCCTCAGCCAGCCCTGTGAAGACCCCTGCTTTAAAAGAAGGAAAAGAAGAAAAAAAAAGAATGGGGAGAGGAGGCAGCCTGCTTACTCACGGATTGGCAAGTGGCGAGATGGAAGGTCTTCGTGGTCCAGACGATGAAGATCAGGGAGGCTACAAAAAGAGAGAAAATACGTGTTGCGGCTGACTGCAGGAGGGCGGGAAGCTAAACGAAAGGCGCGGGAAGCATCTCCTGGAGGCAGCAGGACATCTTCGGAATTAAAATTCAATCAAGGGATTTAATATCCTGCTCCGAGCATTATGCTCCCGGCCTATCTGATGAATGCCGGAGGGTTTAAGATGAGAGCAAGGAGCTTTAAAAAATAAATTGGAGCAGATATAAGATGGCAGGGCGCTGTGAAAATCTAATTTTAAAGCTGAGAATGTCTGAAGGACGTAATTGCTGCGATCTCAGCCACGTCTGCTGCTGAACTGAAATACCAAGGAAGCAAAATTCAGTGATTTTCATCCAGCTTCATCGTCCGCCTGATTTTTGGCAAGGTAACCTTCTTTCCCCCCACCCAATTTATTTATTATTTATCTTATTTATTTGCACCCTCTTCTATTTTTACAAGTAATTCAAGGCGCTGAACGTATCCAATACATGTTCCTCCTTGTTTTCCTACAACAATAATTGTGTGAGGTGGGTTGGGCCAAGAGGGAAAGTCTGGCCCAACGTGGCCCAGTTGACTTTCATGCCCAAGACAGAACTAGAACTCACCGTCTCCTGGTGACTGCCCCAAAGTCAGCCAGCTGGCTTCTATACCTAAGGTGGGACTAGAACTCACCATCTTCTGGTGATTACCCAGAGTCACCCAGCCAGTTTTCATGCCAAAGGCAGGACTAGAAATCCCAGCCTCCTGGTGATTGTCCAAACTCACCAGCAGGCTTTCGTGCCTAAGGTGGGACTAGAATTCCCAGCCTCCTAGTGATCGGCCCAAAGTCACCCAGCCAGCATTGATTCGTTTGAGGCAGAACTAGAACTCACTGCCTCCTAGTTTCTAGTCTGGTGCCTTAACCACTAGACCAGGGGTAGGCCATCTTGGCTCTTTTATGATTCGGGGACTTCAACTCCCAGAATTCCTGAGCCAGCCGTGCTGAGGGGAAAGGGAGAGGTTTCCAAGCTGAGCCAGGCTGGCTCAGGAATTCTGGGAGTTGAAGTCCACGAGTCATGAGGGGGCCAAAGTTTCCCTCATGCTGGCTCAGGAATTCTGGGAGTTGAAGTACACAAGTCATGAAGGGGCCAAAGATTCCCTCATGCTGGCTCAGGAATTCTGGGAGTTGAAGTCCACAGGTCCTAAAAGAGCCAAAGTTGCCTACCCCTGGCCTAGACCAAACTGGTTTTTCAAAGCAAGTCCTGCCCCCACCCCCAGGAACTCCCCCCCCAACCTGAGCAACGAGAAGGCAGTGTGTCCCCCACCCCACCCCGCAAAGCAACCCCAGGCCCCATCTCACCTATGACGGCGAAGATGAGGGTGTTGGTGAAATGGCGGTAGAGAGAGAGCTTCACCAGGTTTCTTCGCAGCTTCAGCAGCTTCATGGTCTGCACCAGGCTGACCAGGATGTGCCAGGGGTCAAGGAGAACAGCATGGCGATGGAGTGGGAGTGAGTGGGAAAGGGGGAAGATGCTGAGACGGGGTCCCTGTCCAGAGAAGGGAAACCTGGGCGCTTCTCCAGAGAGGAGAACTTTGCAAGTTGGTGGTTCAAAACCAAACTGGCGTGGGGCCCACCCGGGAAGGTTTGCACCCAGAACTGGAAATGGGCAACCTTCACTGTTGTGACTCTGTGGCCCCCAAACCCTCTACAGCAGTGTTTCCCAAACTTGACAATTTTAAGGCATGAGGACTTCAACTCCCAGAATTCCACAGCCAGCAACGCTGGCTGTGGAATTCTGGGAATTGAAGTCCACATGCCTTAAAATTGTCACGTTTGGGAAACACTGCTCTACAGCAGAGTTAGGGAACTATGGTCCCTTTATGACCTGTGGACTTTTAACTCCCAGAATTCCTGAGCTAGCCACCATGGCATTCTGGGAGCTGAAGTCTTTGTGGCAGCCCCTCAGATACTGGAATCCTGCTATCATGTCTCCCCTAATTCTTATTTTCTTTAGACTACTAACCAAACCCAAATCCTGCAGCCGTTCTTCATGTTTTTGTCTCCAGGCCTTTAATCATCTCAGCTGCCCTTCTCTGCGCTTTTCCCAAAGCCTCAACATCTTTTTTGTACTGTGGGGACCAAAACTGGATGCCGTCGTCCAGGTGTGGCCTTACTAAGGCTTTACAAAGCGGTACTAACGCTTCACGTGATTTGGATTCCAGGCCTCTGTTTATGCAACTAAGCATTGTATTAGCTTTTTTGGCTGTTGCCGCACAAGGCTAGCTCATGTTTAAGGGATCGTTCACAAAGACTCCAAGCTCCATCAAGGGGTCAAGAGAACTCAACGAAGCCGTCCAACCCCCAGTCTGAAACCCCCTCAAGACGAGCAGAGCTTCCTATCACCTGGGCAGCCTCTTCTCTTTCGAAAGCCCACAGGTTGACCAACTGTTTGGGGAGGAGGAGGAGGAGGCAGGGCTGGGACCCACAGCCCCCCCACCTGACCCCCCCCGGCAGGCCGGGACCACAGAGGATATCCACCAGCAGAGAGCAGAGTCAAGCAGAGCAAGGGGAATGGCTGCTAGCAGCACCAAATCATCCTGAGCCTGGGATAAAACAAGAAAAAGGAGAGAAGGAGAAAAAAAACGTGACGGAGAGGAAGAACGAGGAGAGAAAGCAGCAGGGGACGACACAGGGTGGGGATGACCGGTCTGCAAAGGTCAGTGGGTTACGGGGAAAGGATCGGAAGACCAAGGGAGGAAAGAAAGAGTTAGATGGCGGCTTTCAAACCCACACATGAGATTTGAGCCTGCTTACAGTTAGTCCTCAACTTATAACCATGATGGTCGTAAAGCAGGTCAGTCACAGGACTGACTCAATGTTGCAACTTTTATGATGAACACAATGGACCATTTTGGCTGAAAATCAGAAGTAAAGGCTAGCTTAAAGCAAAACTGTCGTAAAATGGGAGTCACTTGACCCCATGGGATACTGCAAATGGACATAAAGTGAGGCCAGTTGCAGAGTGCCCAACAAGAGGTCACATGGCTATGCAACCCCACCCCCCCTGCTGTCGAAAATTCAAAACTGGGTTGTTAAGTAGCCTTGGGGAGCCCGGTTGTAACTTTCAACCGTCACTAAGCGATTGGTCGTTAAATTGAGGAGTCCCTGTAGTGCACACATTTGGGGAAAGACCCAGGTTTTAACCATGCAGGGGAGGCATCTGGAAAGCCCCAAATTCACGATCTTCCACTATCTAAAATGGGAAGGGGTTCTTTTCTTAGAAAACGAATAGCCGTGCAAATCGAAAATAGATCGGTCAGTTAACTCATCTAGGACCAGGGGTTTTTTTTGGTTTTTTTTTACTGACCAAGAAGTCACTTAATTTTGTGTGTGTGTGTGTGTGTGTGTGTGTGTGTGTGTGTGTGAGGGGCTAATTCTGTTGGAAAAACCAGATTCCTCTCCCCCCCTCCCGCTGGACACCCTGAAAGCAAGAAAGAGGAGCGGGGTGGCCATTTTGGGCAAAGGATATCCACCAGACGATACAGGAGTCCACAAAAGCAAGAAATATCTCACAGGAAAGGGTGACTATGTTAGCTTGTTCCTGGGGTGGGGGAACAATCAGAGGCTGAGAGAGCAGACCCTGGCCCACCCAGCTGCAAGACTCCCTCCCGGCCCACCCACCCACCTTGCCCCCGAGTCCCTCCCCTTACGGATTTCACCCGCAAAACGCCCTCGATGATGGAGAAGACCAGGTACATCAGCCCGACGCCAACCACGCGGTTCAGGAGGGCACCCAGCCGCGGCCTGCGAGAGAGAAGCCGAGGGCATCACAATGGGGGTCAAGATTTTGGAGCAGGGGGGAGCATTATTGTAGTTAGGTCTTAAGCCGAGGACCAGGAGACTGTAAATTCTAGTTCTGCCTCAGGCATGAAAGCCGGCTGGGTGACTTTGCGCCGACGACCAGGAGATTTTGAGTTCTAGTTCTACCCTAGGCATGAAAGCCTGCTATGTGACTTTGGGTCAATCACCAGGAGACTGGGAGTTCTAGTCCTGCCATAGGCAAGAGAGCCGGCTGGGTGACCAGGAGAGGGTGAGTTGTAGTCCTCCCTCAGGCATGAAAGCCAACTGGGCAACTTTGGGCTAGTCACCAGGTGATGGTGAATTCTAGTTCTGCCTTAGGCATGAAAGCCAGCTGGGCGACTTTGGGCCAGTCACTCTTTCAGCCCAACCCACCTCACAGGGTTGTTGTGGGGAAACGAGGAGGAGGAAGGAGTGTTAAGTATGTTCACTGCTTGATACGTTTATAAGAACAAGGCAGGATATAAACAAGGAAACGAATCCTGCCATTAAGCTGAACTCTGGCTGTTTATGACCAAAACAAACACAATCTCCCTTGTGTTGTGACAGGGGTTGTTGACCCTGGTTCATGTCATTCAACAAAAGTGAAAATAAACACAGGTTTTAAGGTCTCTGGGAAGATGACAAGTTTTAGAAGCTGCTTTTATTCTGCAGGACTCAAAGCGGGAGAGATCCTCTTCCTCTTCCCCCTTCAAACCACGAGCCTGCGAGGTGGGTCGGGCTGCAAAACAGCATTTAGCCCGAAGTCCCCCAGGCGGCTGTCGTGCCCTCCGTCCGTGCCCCGGGCATCCCTCCCTCGTGCCCTCCGTCCTCCTCACTTGACAATGCCGTATCCCAGGCTGGCGATAATGACGAGGACCCGGGCTAGCATCCGCTTCACCGCGCAGAGGACCTCCCCAAAAATCACGGCCCCTTGAACTGGAGAAAGGAGCAGAGCAGAGAGAGGAAGGGTGAACAGCCTGGAGGGGAGGAAACGGGCCCAACCTCGGCACAGAACAGAATCGAATAACAGAGTTGGAAGGGACCTTGTAGGTCATCTAGTCCAGCCCTCCGCCCAAGCAAGGGACCCGACACCATTTCTGACAGACGGAAGCCGATCCCCTGCTTATTCAAATGGCTGCTCCATGGAGGAAAAGGACCCAAATACCCATCCTCCCCAATCAACAACCATGCCCATCCTACTCTGAAGTGGCGAGGGAGACTGGACAGCCGGTAAACACTGTGCAAAGGGTGGACATTTTTCAATTAGCCCACACATTTTTTAAAAAAACTTATTTATATTTTGGAATATTTAACATTTTAATGTTTTGTACCTGGGAGTTGTAGTCTAGTCCCCCCAGAGGGTCCTGCACTGAGCAATAGGAAGAGCCATTAGATTGACCTCACTGCAGACCAGGGTCTCTACCCACCTGATTCTCCCTCGCTTTGGATGCTCTGGAATTCGGCGTAGAAGACGGCTTTCTCCAACATGCCCAGCAGGATGACGCCGCCGATCCAGAACTGGATGCGCAGAATATCTCGCCAGTAGCAGGCCAGCAGGCTCAGCCACAAGACACCGTAGAGCACATAGACGATGCACATCACCATGTAGAACTGGGGGAGAGAGGAGCCCCACCGAGGATGAAGGGAGCCGGCCCAGGAGGGCGAGCAAAGACTGGGGGAGGAGAGGATGCCCTCTGCTCATCCATCTCCCGAGCCATGAAACGGGGTCTTCAACTTACCACCTTGAGAGGCCACTCCGAGGCAGAGATGTATACGTATTCAGGATGTTTCATGTGAACGTCAACTACAAGGCAGAACAGGAGAAAGACACAGGTGAAAAAGTTCACAGAAGACCAGCAACTTCTGGAGAAGCAGCAGGAGGTGAGATGCCCCTGATGGAACTCCAATCCAACCTCGGATTGCCAGACTGTTGGGCATCTGACCGCTCTTCAAAACAGAGCAGCTGTATCTCAGCCCCCCCCGCATGGCCTCTGAAAGCTACCACTCCTTTCCCAGGACAAGGGTGATTCAAGAAAGCCTTGGATGCATTCTTGTCCTGTGGTCTCCTCAAAGTCTTGGGCAGGAGACCACGTGACCAAAAGGGATTGGGTGGGAGGGACAGAACCGTTGGAAAAGAAGCATCCTTGCCCCCAGTCACCCCAACTGAAGTCTCCTTTGAAGAGGATGTAATAGTCTTCTCTGCGTGTGAAGACAACTTAAATCAGAAGGTATTTTTTTGCTTGGTCCATCACAACTGGAGCCTTCACTCACTTGAGAGGTCCCAGTTGGGCGACGGGCTCGTGATGCTGAGGATGAAGACGTATGGGCCATCCTTCCAAGTTTCAGCAACTGTGACAGGCTAGACCAGAGACAAAAAATATATATATTTCAGGTAAATCGAGAAGCTGCTTGCAACACAGGATGGACCACCGTCTTCCCTACCCCCATTCAGAGCCAGGCGTAGGGAGCAGCAGCAGAGACAGCAGTTGGCCAGTTTCTCAGCAGGAAATGGGATCCATACCATCTTCCTCCATTTGTAGACCATCTCAATGGTCCTTCTGTAGATGTTGCGAAGGCTATGGAGCACCAGAGACCAACTTCCAACAGTAGACAGCCTCAGCATCTCTCCACCTCTGAAGATGACCTCTGCTCCAAAGCCTAGAACCACATCCTTAACCTTCTCTAACTTGGAGCTCTGGATCTGAAGCTTCCAGGATGCTCTTTGGCCAAGGAGTCTCAACCGGTGGTGCACCAGGAGACGGACCTTCTCCGCCACAGCCCCTGCCCTCTGGAACCTCCTCCCACCAGGGATCAGGAAGACCCCAACTCTGCTGCCCTCTCGGAAGTCTTTGAAGACCTGGTTGTATGCCTGGGCCTAGGGTCTTGGGTGTGTGTCTGTGTGAGGGTCCCGTTTCCTAGCTATGTTGACAGTAACCAATTATAATATCTCTTGGCTGCTAAATTTAATTTATTTGTAAAATTTACTGGCTGCCTAATTTACCTCAAGGTAACTTTGAGCGGCTTAACAATCATAAAAGATAAAAACCAGGTAAATTAAAAACGTAAGTAAGTTCATTCTTGGGTGCGGATTGGATTGGATCAGTGTTTCTCAACTTTGACAATTTTAAGGCATGTGGACTTCAACTCCCAGAATTCCACAGCCAGCAATGCTGGCTGTGGAATTCTGGGAGTTGAAGTCCACATGCCTTAAAATTGTCAAGGTTGAGAAACACTGGATTGGATTGCTCCTTTTTTGCTTTTATGACTGCTCGCCACTCAGAGTTACTGGTTGGAGATGGGCAGCTGTACAAGATGGACAGAGGGCGGGAGGGATTAATTCTGGAAGTTGCCATCAAGGCACATCTGGATGGTCTTCAGTTGGGAAAGGTTGAGCAGAGACTAAAGGCCCCGGGGGAATGGAGACCACCAACCTCTAACTTTATCTTGGTCCCGTTGACTTTCTTCTTGGGGTCTTCTGTCGGTTTCCCATCGGCCGAGGGAGACAGCTTTGCGTCCTTGGTCTCGCTGGGCTTCTGGGCTTCTGGATTTGGGGGGCTGGACCCCTTCTCCTTCTTGTCTGCCTTGTCTTCTGCTGCTTTGGGAGCCTCCCTCTTTCCCACAGCAGTCTGCAGAGAAAAGAGGGGAGCGGAGCGGAAGTCAGGAGAGCGAAGAAGGGGGGGACCCCCATGTCCCATCTATTGCAGAGCCTCTAAAGCGAAGATGTACAACCTTTTTTTTTGTTCTTTTAAATACAGGTGGTCCTCAACTTACAACAGTCCATTTAGTGACTGTTCAAGTTACAACAGAGCTGAAAGCAAAGTTGTGCCCCTCCCCATCAATTTCCTCTCCACCATTGCCAGAACCCCAAAGTGTCCCTATCGGTTACCTTTTGAATTGGCAGGTGCTTCAACTTTTTCGGATGTGGGAGTTCCTGGACACTCAACTGAAACAGAAAGGAGAAAAGACAGTTTTATTACTTGAGACCCTCCAACTAATGCTCCCCCTCCCCCCTCAACCTGGACTAAGTTATCAGCTCCCCACTTTGGGGTCCTGGGTGCTCTCTGAGCTTGGCGGTTTCCTTGCAGACATTTCATGACCCAACTAGGTGGTAGAAGGGAGAGGGGGGGTTTTGGCCTCTGTTTATATTCAGTTGTTTGCCCTGCCCGTGTTAGTGGGTGTGTTTTCCCTCTTGATTAGGGTGTTTTCTCCTTTATTGTTTGTCTGATGTTAATCCCTGCTTATCTAGATGTTGATTGGTGGAGCCTAACCAGTACTGTTGATGCCACCTAGTTGGGTTATGAAACGTCTGCAGAAAAACCATCACAAAGCACCTCACAGTCCTCCTCCTCTTCCTCCCCTCCTCCCTTCCAGCACTGATGATGTTATCTAGTTCGGTAGTGAAATGTCTGGAAGAAAACTTCCAAGCTCAGAGAGCACCGAGGACCCCACAGTTCAACCCTGAGCTATAAATATTCTCTTCTCTCAGGAGCCCCCCACTTTCACCCACAATGAGGACACCCTCACTTTAAGGCCACCCCTGGAGAGTCCTGCAGGCTGGATCCGTACCTTGTGAAACTGACCGCATTTAACCAAGGTGGAGTTCCAGATGTACTGGCCATCTCCAGGGATGCTGGCCTCAATGTCAGGATTCCTCAAGTAGGTCAAAGCTTCATTATCCTGAAAGAAGAAAGAAAAAAAAAAACAGAGGGGAAATTACTAAGAGCCCACCCACTCAAAAACCTCAACCCATCCACCTTCTCTGAAGTGGGCCCAGATAGCAAGCCCTGAGGAGGGGGCTTCCTTCCAGCCCAGCCCCTGGGGTGGGGGGATTTCCAGCCCTCCCCACCCCGTCCCCCCAAATCCACCCTGAGAAGATCAGCAGCTCACAGTTATATAAATTTCATGGTGGCAGCGGGAATTGCGGAGGTACCAGGTCACGTTCAGGAGCCCATCCCAGTCTTTGCAGACTTCATTAGGAACTGTCAGTATAAATATATATATATATATATATACACACACACACACACACACACACACACATAAATCCTGCAACCCCCAGCTAGTGCAAATTTCAAATTAATTATCCGGCTTGCAGGAGGTTCAGCACGTACATTTGAGGATAATCCAAGTCCCTTTAAACATCGTCTTGGAGAAGACAAACAGCTTCTCTCCCTGGTTCTGCAAGACAAGAACAGCACAAAGGGTTGGCCACCTCACAAAAGGGCTTGAGTTCAAATCCATCCCGTTCCTAAGATCCATCTAGATTACCACGGAATAACTTTCTTTCTCAGGATATACTCAGAGATTTCCTCTGGACAAAGAAACTTTCAGTGGAAATGATGTAAGGCAGACTAAACCCAGAAATTCTTCTCACTGCCGGTCTGCCTTACCGGCTGATAGCCAACGCCTATTATTTTATTCACTGAACTTTTATTTTAACTTGCTGTAGTTGAGATTCCTGGCAGGTTACAATCTGAACAATAAAAATGTCCGGTTGCAGAGGCGTGTTAAAAAGGTCATCAAGCCAAGAGTTCTTATATCGGATTCATGCAGCCGGCTAAGCTATCATGGTTAACAGTGAGCGGGGGAGTCAGTCCCTTGGCTGGCTGGGTCTTCTGATTTGAATGTTGGTGGTTGGAAAAAGCAGCGAGGGGCTTTCATTAGCCACAGACGGTGCTTTTTCCTGTTCAAGATTGCAAGTTATTTCTCACCAACCAAGAGAAAGTAGGGCAAACGGTTCCCACACTGGTTTGACCACATTAAGGTAAAAAGAGGAAATAAATGCAAATAACTTTTCCCAATGGCAACAGATGAGTGCAGAATAGCAGAGTTGGAAGGGACCTTTGGAGGTCTTCTAGTCCAACCCCCTGCTTGAGCAGGAGACCCAGTTGTTAAGTTATTGCCATTTACCACCTTTCCAGCCGGCTTCCGACAAGCAAGGTCAATAGGGGAAGCCAGATTCGCTTAACCATCATATGATTCACTTAATAACAGCATTGATTTGCTTAACAACTGTGGCAAAAATAGGTCATAAAATTAGGCGCAACTCCCTTACCCACCACCTTGTTTAGCAACTGAAACTATTGTGGTCGTACGTCGAGGACCACCTGTGTGCCCACCCCCATTCATAAAAAAAAAGTTGTCTGTCGCCTCTGTGAAAGCAATTACTATGGGAGGCTGCTGGGATCTTTGGCGGGGGGGGGGAGCGTGGGTGAGGGGTAACGATCCAACATTGGCAGAGAGAGGGACCCCAGCCCGTTGAGGGGGGGCAAGGAGAGGACGCAGACCCCCCCAGGGCAGCTCCTTGGAAGGCCGGCCAGAGGTCCTCCCGGCTGTCCACCTCGACCAGGCGGCCCCTTTGAAGGCAGGGGGCACCCCGAGGCCATCTAGCCTAGCTGGGGTGGACCTGATGGGAGAGAAGCGAGCCGGGCCCCCCTCGGGCCGCCCGGCCACACCACCCTGCCCAGTCTCCCGATCCAGGCGCCGTGCAGGATGTGGGGGCGGCGGAGGCTGCGGGGTCTCCCGGGATCCCCCCGACGCCCCCTCCCCTCCCGGTGACGCCACAGGTCGCGCCAGGCCCCGCCCCCGCGCTCACCCCGCCGGCTGTCCGCCTCCACCGGCCCGGCTCCGACGCAGCCCCGCCGGCCGGCCCAGGACCCAGCGCCGCCCCGGCCACCAGCAGCAGCAGCAGCGGCAGCCCCGGCGGGAGCCGCCACCTCCTCGCGCCGCAGCCCGCCGCCGCCATCCTCTTCCGGCCTGCGCGTCACGTGGCCCGGGGGGCGGGGCGAGGGCGGGCGCGGCGAAGGCCCGGGGGGCGGGGCGAAGGAGGTCACGCCTCCTCAGGGCGGCCCGAGCCTCGGCTGAGCCCGCGTTGCTCGGCTTGAAGAGGGCTGGACTGCAACTCCCAGAATTCCACCCCTCTTCAAGTTCCTTAGCGTGCTGGCTGGGGCATTCTGGGAGTTAAGAGTCCATCTCTCTTCAAGTTACCCAGTTTGAGAAGCCCTGGGCTAAGCAGCTATCTCCGCTTTTGCGGTGCTCTGCACCTGCTCAGGAGCACCCTGGCTTGAATTGCAACGCTTCTGCCCGGGCAGTGGTCACCTTCGTTGCCCCATGGTGGGTGCGCCCTAATTGCCCTGGCCGCCCACTGACGGGCTTGGCTGCAAAGGGGCAGCGATGTGTGGAGCCTTCTTTGTGCCCGACGGCTGGTGCAAAGCGAAGCTGCGGCCTCCATTGTGATGGGGTCTGGAGCCTCAAACGTGCCAGACGGGCTCTTTGTGGCCCCCATAAAATTGGACGCACATTTTGAACTCAGCTCTGGCCCACTTTGCTTCCCTAAGCGTAGCTGGGCTAACCTGATGTCAGGGCCCCCGAATGCTCGCTAGTTTTTTCACTCGGTATTTCAGACAGTCCTCCATTCACAATGGTTCATTTAGTGACCTTTCAAAGTTACAACGGCCCTGAAAAAAGTGACTTAAGACTGCTTTTCACACTCTGTGAAAAAGCGCTGTAGCATTCCTCGTGGTCACGTGATCCAAATTTAGAGGCTTGACTCCTATTTATGACAGACGCAGTGTCTAAAAGTTGGGTGACCTGCTTTTGTGACCTGCAAAGTCAACGGGGGAATCCAGATTCACTTAACCATGTTACCGACTTAACAAATGCAACCATTCCCTTAACAACGGTGGCAAGAAAAGTCCTAAAATTGGGGCAAACGCTTAACAAATTTTTCACTTAGCAACGTCAGTTTTGGGCTGAGTTGTGGTCATAACTTGAGGACTACCTGCCTCACCGCTTCGAGCCCACCAGCGCTGGACCCTGGATGAGGGATTAACGGGGTAATTAATTATGTAATTAAAGAAATGCGTCAAGCAAGCACCTGGTCCTGCTCGTTTGCGGTCTGTTCCGCAGCGCCGCTTTGCAATCCGTCTCGGGCCGAGTCTAGGTCGGGCATAGCCCCCCCGCAATGATGCCCGGGATAGTCGGGGAGTCGGAGGCGCGGAGAGCCTCTGGAGGGCGCCCGCTTGCAAAAGGCTTGCGTGGAGGCGAAGAGGCGCTAGGACCCCGCGGGTTCCCCGGCTGATCCGCTGCAGTGAGTAGTCCGGGTGTGGTAGATCCCGCAAGAGATCCACCGCCCGCCGGACAAGTCGCCCCGAGCAGCGTTTGGCGGCCAAGGTAAGCGGGGCTGGGGTTGGGGGTGGGGAGTTTGGGAGGTCGCGGGTCTTCTCTCCCGTGCTCTAGATCCCGCTGGCTTCCTGAGATCCCCTCGCCGGAGCGCGAGAGGAAATCTGCTTCCTGCCCGGGCCGCGTCTGGCCTGGCCTTCTGCGTCCCCCACCCCCCCTTCCGGGACCGGTTCCAGAGCGTTCCGCTCCCCGGGATCGGTCGTGGATCGCTTCTCCTCCGCCCTACAAGAAGGGATCTCCTTAGATCCCTCCTCCTATATTCCTCTTTGGATCTCCTGGGCCACCTCCCGCTCTTTTCCCTATAGCCTTATTTGGGGGCACAGAGGGGAGCCGCACAGCTGTTGGACTCCAGGTCCCATCAGGCCCAGCCAGGGGAACTGAAGAGTACCAGAATGGGAACCCCGTTTTAGGTCCCTGCTTAGGAGGATGACTCCTCCTTCTGCTCCCCTTAACATTCTTTCATTTGTTTGGACTCCCAACTCCCATCAGCCACAGCCAACTGAGAGGAGAGATAGGTGTTGCAGTCCAACACGTTCCGAGGGACCACCAGGGTCCTGGATTGGATATACACCGGGCTCCCCCCCTAACAGTCCTGCATTTGTTTGGACTCCCCAACTCCCATCAGCCACAGCCAGCTGACAGGAGTCATGGGTGTTGCAGTCCTTGGTCTTTGCTTAGATCTACATGCCTATGGCAGATGGCAGCCAGCCCCACAGAGGCCAAAGTGGGTGCCCCCATTGGGGTACCTGCAGGGACCCCGAGAGTCATAAGGATGAACTGTTGCACCCCTGGTGGAGTTTGTGCATTGCCCTCCTGAAATAAGATTGCTTGGTTTGGCTACCTTCCCAGTCTGGGTCAACCTTGTCAAAGTTGGGGACTTCAACTCCCAGAATTCCCCAGCCAACAAAAGGACTTCTGGGAATTGAAGTCTCACCAGGGAATTCTGGAACTTATTTCCATGTTGCTCAATCTTGGCAGCTTTAAGATGGGTGGAGTTCAACTCCCCTGGCTGGGGAATTCTGGGAGTTGGTCCATCCATCTTAAAGCCACCAAGATTGAGAAACACCGGTTTATTAGACGTCACTTTCTTCAGCGATCCTAGTTACTGAGTTTCTATTACCCACTAAACAATTCTCAAGTAAACCAATTCGCTGTAGTCCATTGTGAAGACACTGAGGTACTTCACGCTTGGAGACAACCTGCAAACCAAGGAAACTATGTGGATTGAGTAAACTATGAGTAAGCCTGGCTTGCAAATCCAGTTGTATGTCAGGTTTATTTGCTTAGTACCTGAAAGGGATGGTTCTTTTATCTAGTGATCGTCCCCTGCCTTACCCAGCTTAGCAGGTCGGGAGATCAGAGATCTGGGAAATGGTCTAAGAGGGGAAACTGAGGCTCTTGGGGTGGGTGGGAACCCCCATTTCTTGGCAGCGAGCCTGGTGAGTGGAATCCGGTCTTCCCAAGGGGAGAGAACTAGCTGGGGAATAATAACGGAAGGGCACCAGCTGAGTTGGAAGGGATCTGAGAGACCATCTAGTCTGACCCCTTATTACATCATTAGGAGGAGTTAGATTTGGAAGTTAGATTTGCTGGTATGTTTAAAAAAAATCCAATTCAATTTCAGTCTATTTAATGCTGACCAGTTGGTTTTTGTACCCTATACGGGTTGTCCTCAACTTACGACTGTTATTGAGCCTACAATTACAGTCGTAAGTCGACTCTAGATGAGATGGGAGGCATGTAAATTGAATGAATGAATGGTGCTGGTCGTTAAGGGGGTCATCAAGTGACCTGGCCGATTTTGCCACCTTTTTCTGCAGCTGTTGTAATGTGAACCTCGCTGTCGTTAAGCAGACTAGAGGGATTTTCCCTGGAAACTGGAAATAAAAGCCAGTTTCTAGCAAAAACATAGTAAATCTTGGTCGCATGACCGCAGGACGTAAGTGTGGGCCGGTTGCTGGATGCCCAAAAATGCTGTGACAGGACCCTGTTGGGGGGGGCATCTGGATTGCAAGTACCTGTTGAGGAGGTTCCTCGTAACTTTGAACGGTTGCTAGTAACTGATTGTAAGTCCAGGACTACTTGTGATTGAAGTGTGAAGCCATTCCCTCCCCACATACACACACACCCAAGTGGGGCAGGTTTACTTGGTAGCTAGTTTGAGCTACTTTTCTGAAAGTGTATCCAGGAGTTAAACGCCAGATTTTGTACCTCCTGCATTAAGGAAGAGATGATTCATTGTTGCAGCTGAGTAAACCCTGTGTAGTTTTTGCACATTAATGCAGGGATTCTCAACCGTGGCACTTTAAGACATGTGGACTTCAACTCCCAGAATTCCTCAGCCAGCCTTGGACTAGAGCAGAAGTCTCCAACCTTGGCAACTTTAAGACCTGTGGACTTCAACTCCCAGAATGCTAGAGAGGAACGAGAGTTGGGCCCACCAGTAATTCAACATTGGGAGTCCAACAGGACTTTTTCTGTTGAACTCCAGTGTTTCTCAACCTTGACCATTTTAAGGCATGTGGACTTTAACTCCCAGAATTCCACAGCCAGCAATGCTGGCTGTGGAATTCTGGGAGTTGAAGTCCACATGCCTTAAAATGGTCAAGGTTGAGAAACATGCTCTAGGGACTGAAAAAGCTTTTGTGAGTTGTGGGTCGCTTCCACCAAGAGGCGTTGACTCATTTTTTCATCAGAAACAAAAAGAATCTTTAGGCATGAATCATCAAAGATCCGAAAGATTTTAAAAGCTTTCTTCTTTGTTAACCCTGCCCCTTTCTCTCTGGGGTTTTCCTTTTTTTGGAAAAAATGTTTGTTTGTTTGTTTGCAAAATGTATGAGTTGCCCATCTTGTCACACAGTAACTCTTGTTGCCTTCTATTTCCAAAGTAGAGATCTATTTGAAAAACACCCTATTTTCTATTTCTTTTTTTAAAAAAACAGTTGTCAGTTTTGCTTTGTGTATTGTTTTCTCTCCGTTTTTCTTTTCCTCAACATGCAAATAAGTAACAATACCGAATGCAAAGTAATCAAGGCGGAAACCTGAGGTGTACTGCACCCTATTAAATTTATGACCATTTACTGTATCTTCTATCTCTTTCCTTCTCTCTCTCTCTCCCTCTCTCTCTCTCCCTCTCTAGATCCCCTTTCTTAGCATTTTCTGAAAATGTTCCTGGTCAAGAACTTTCTTGGAGGCGGAGGAGGTGGTGGCGGTGGTGGAAGCAACATCAACATTGGAAATGTCATTGGAGGATTTTTAAGTGGGGGAGGGGGTGGAGGGGGAGGGGGAGGCCAAGGGGGAGGAGCCATGAAATTTCTGGGAGGAGTCATCAGTGCCATCAGGTAAGAATGCGCTCTAAATTTTTATTTTATTTTATTTTTATTTTATTTTTATTTTATTTTATTTTTATTGTTTATTATTTTATTGTATTGTATTGTATTTATTTATATTTTATTTTATTTTTTATATTTGGAGACCATCCCTCTCACAGAGTGACTCTGGAAGATGTACAATAATAGAGAAATATGTGTTATAGTATTACACTGATATTTTATATTACACTCATAAGAATGTGAGAAATGGCTATTTTCCTGATTGCTTTTGGCGAGCCTGAAGTACTTTCCACACCTCCAGGAAGTGAAACTTCCTAAACCATGGTTGACACTTTCCTTTCAAGGGACATGCTACATAAAGGTGTTGCAAGCCTGGAGGCTTAGCTCAAAAATTCCCCACTGTGGACTAGCAACTTGCATTATGAGACGTTGTATTTCAGGTTCTTTGCGCCAAGATGAACAATTTTGCAGACGGCCTGAGGTCTTTCTTCCTCATGGCCAGCTCTGTGTGTCTCAACCTGCCAGAGAGCTGAAAATGGGAAGGCTGCATCCCAGTCAGATTCACACACAACCTGATTTGAGGATTACCTTAATTTAATCTCTTGTGGGAAGACAAGTAAATTGTGGTACATCAGATCACCAATCCTGTTCTCTGTTTTTAGAATTAGCTGTGGCTTAAGATGGAGCAAGGAACCAGGTATCTGATGGGTTTGCAGACCCCTTGCCCTCCACTTGTCACTTTACAGACCCCTTGCACACCACTTAAATCACACCTCCCCTTTATTTTCACCCCCTCAGCTTTTTGCTTTGGTGCCTCTGAGAAAGCTGAGTAAATTACACAAAGTTGCTTCCTTTTTGCATCTGGGTCTACTGGCATGGGACGCCCTGGGCGCTCCCCATTACGAGAAACTTCTGCTGGGGTTTTGTTTACAGTCAAACCGGTTTGCTAGCCCTGCAACACCGTCGCCATCCAGAAACCAACAATGCTGAGTTGAAATTCAGGTCAGCGGTTCTGAATGGCTGAAATTCCCAATTTATGAGCCATGAAAAAAAAAACACCAATTGGCATTAAAATGAGCCAATTTCAGGTGTTCTGGAATTTCCTTCTGTTCTTGGTGCTTGAATGAGAGAGAGGACAGCAGCAGCAGAGGGGTGCAGCGAGTTTCTGGCAGCGAAGACGCAGGTGTGCAGGACACCCCTGTTTCCTGAGTGCCTGTCCCCATGTTATAATTTCCTGCAAAAAGTGCTGCAGTCAGAGGTGGTCTGGGCCTGTCTACGGTTGCTCAATCAGTTACTGTCCAGAAGTAGTTCCTCAATTTTGCCACTTTAAGATGGGCGGACTTCAACTCCCAGAATTCCTCAGCCAGCCTTGCTCAGCCTCCTTCAGTGAACCTTGCTGGCTGAGGAATTCTGGGAGTTGAAGTCCGCCCATCTTAAAGTGGCAAATTTGAGGAACTGCTACCCATTGCTTTGTTGTTGTTGTTCCAATTCTACCTTGCAGGGTTATTGCAAAGATAAAAGGAAATGTTAGGGACACACACACAAACACACCAGTGACTTAAAGGATGGCCTGAATTATTAGTAGAATAAATTAGTGATATCAGTAAACCCTGTGTCTGGATGCAGCCATTGCAAGACATGTTTCATGTTAAGGAGTCTGCACACACACACTGTGTGTGTTTGAGAGAGGGGGCGGGTACAAGAAGAGCTTGCAACTTAGCTCCGAACTGCTTTGTTTGATGAAAGAGGGGTTGTAGCCATTCTGCATAGCCTGTTTGCATACAAATGTCTGCCAGCAGCAGAAAACTTCTGTGGAAGGAGATTTTTCTGAAATTCTCTTTTTATTTTTCATGCCTTCCTGCCTGCCAGTGAAGCAGCAGCCCAGTATAACCCAGAGCCTCCGGTAAGACCCCTCAGCTCTTCTCGCATGGTTGAAGGGATCTGCCTTTATTTGACTTGATTCCCTTCCTCCTTCCCTCCTTTTCCTTTACCCTTTTTCTCCTTCCTTTCTTCCTTCCCTCCCTCCCTCCTCCTCATCCTTCTCCCTTTCTCTCCTTCCTTACTCCCTCCTTTTTCCTTCTCCGTCTCCTTCTCCCTTTTTTTCTCCTTCCTTCCTCCCTCCCTCTCTTTCTCTTTCTCCTTCTCCCTTTCTCTCCTCCCTCCCCCCCAGTGAACCCAAGAAATGAGGGGAGGTCTCTTTTGAACCTCTTGCCCCACCCACTATAAAACTGCAGACTCTGCTGCTGCTTATCTTATCACTCCAGCAAGCAACATCTAGTTCAGGGGTAGGCAACCTTGGCTCTTTTATGACTCATGGACTTCAACTCCCAGAATTCCTGAGCCAGCTTGGCTGGCTCAGGAATTCTGGGAGTTGAAGTCCATGAGTCATAAAAGAGCCAAGGTTGCCTACCCCGATCTAGTTGAAGCATCGGAGAAGAAAAAAATATTATTTTATTCCCCAAACTACCAAGAAAGAACGCTCCCTTCCCAGCCAAGACTGGCAGAGCAAGCGACCATATTTAAACCACCAGCAACCTTAAGCCCCCCCCCCCCCACAGGCAGGGATGTTATTACCCATTACCCAGTTTATTTGGGTACTTCCTCTCCTCCTCTTCCTCCTGTAAGTGGTCTCTCGCATCCTGTCTTCTTCCCCAGCCGCCTCGCAGCCATTTCTCCAACATTGAAGCCAACGAAAGCGAGGAAGTCCGGCAGTTCCGCAGACTCTTCACCCAACTGGCCGGGGACGTGAGTATGGGGCGAGGGGGGCTCAGCAATGGAAAATTGGGGCTCAGTTGTGGCCGTAAGCCGAGGACTACCTGTAACATATAGCAAAAGTCACAGTTCAAAGGCTCGCCTGAAAAGCTGTTTTCAGAAACTTCCCCCAAAGCAAAGAAAGTGGGATTTATTGAAATCTTGGATCTATCTGCTTTGAATCATAATTAGATCTCAGACTGATATTCTTTTGTTAGGCCGCTCAACCCATAACTCTGATCCTTGGCTTCAAAAAAAAAAAAAGAAAAGAAAAAAGCCTCTTGCTCTCCTGAACAGGGTGTGTGGGGGAAGGGGTTCAAAAAGGCAAGATGGTGGCCACGGTCCCATTTTTGGCCCCTCCCCTCTCGAAGACCCTGCTCCTGATGGAGGGCCTTCTCTTTCGGCAGGACATGGAAGTGAGCGCGACGGAGCTGATGAACATCCTGAACAAAGTAGTCACCCGGCGTAAGTAGAGAACTCCTTCAGGGTGGTCCGTGGAGAATCAGAGCTGGGGGGGGGTTGTCACCTCCCCCCTGCCGATTCTACATCTTTCAGTTCTGAGAACGAAAGCAGACATTTCATTACCAAACATTCATCAGTGCTGCAAGAAAATCCTCAAGCTCAGAGAGCACCAAGGACCCCACAGTCCTCCTCTTCTCCCTTTTAGCCTTGATGTTGTTACCTAGCTGGGTCATGAAATGTCCGCAAAGAAACTATCAAGCTCAGAGAGCACTAAGAACAAAACAATTCTCCCCCTCCTCCTCCTCTCCACAAACCCTACTCCCTTCTATCCCTGATGTTGTTACATAGTTGGGACATGAAATGTCTGCAAGAAAGCAGCCAAGCTCAGAGAGCATCAAGGACCCCTCATTTCAACCCTGTGCCGTTTTGCCCATAGTAAAAAAATGACAATAAAAGTTATCTTAACTACAAATATTCCCTTACAAATATCTTAACTACAAATATTCCCACATGTCGTCCTCCTCCTCCTCCTCCCCCCTCTCCCTGCAACTCCTCTCCCTTCTAGCACTGATGATGCTGCCTAATTAGGATTGTGAAACATCTGCATGAAAGCCATCCAGCTCAGAGAATCCCAAGGACCCCTCATTTCAACCCTGTGCCGTTTTGCCCATAGTAAAAAAATGACAATAAAAGTTATCTTAACTACAAATATTCCCTTATATAGGCAGACACCTCCCCCCCCCCAACCCACCTGCAGCTCCAGTAGAAGGACCGAGTAAATTCTCTGCTGCAAAGGCAGGCAAACAGCGGTTGCTCCCCTGGATCGCAAGCGGTTCTTCTTCCCCAAACGGGGTACCATCGAGAGCGAAAGCTCACACGTCTCAGCCCATTTCTCTCCCCTTTTCAGATCCGGATTTGAAGACTGATGGGTTCGGGATTGACACCTGTCGTTCCATGGTGGCCGTGATGGACGTACCCTTTTGCGGTTGAACTGGGAGGGGGGGGGGCTTCTTAAAGGGGCTGGGCCGAAGGGTTGGGGGGACAGCCTTTTCTCTCCTTCCGGTCTGCGTCTCTTCCTCCCGTCCCTTGTCATTTTTCAACACGGAGGCCGGTGTTTCAAGTAGTCCAGTGTTTCCCAAACTTGACAATTTTAAGGCATGAGGACTTCAACTCCCAGAATTCCACAGCCAGCGTTGCTGGCTGTGGAATTCTGGGAGTTGAAGTCCTCATGCCTTAAAATTGTCAAGTTTAGGAAACACTGAAGTAGTCCCAGGTCCCCTCCATCCTTCAGTTTTTCTTGACGATGCTCCGTCCAGAGCGACACCACCGGCAAGCTGGGCTTTGAGGAGTTCAAGTATCTCTGGAACAACATCAAGAAGTGGCAGGTAGCGAATTTGCTTCCCCTTCTTAGGGGACAGGCGGGGTCTTGCCTGGGGGGCCAAGGACCCTTTTTGGCTTCTGGCCAGAGGCTAAGCACCCCCCCCCCTGTCTCCACTTCTCAGTGCATCTACAAGCAATACGACAGGGACCGATCCGGCACCATCGGCAGCCAAGAACTGCCGGGGGCGTTTGAGGCCGCAGGTGAGCAGCTTGATCGGAACAAGGTGACTCTTTTTCCAGCCTGCAAGTGACAGAAACCTCAGGCACCCGTTCTGCTCCTTAAAATTAAAAAAGAAAAAAAGAACGGCTGTTCCTTGGGTGGCTTTTGACTTTATTTTATTTTTTTAATGGGTGAATCGTGCCCCATATCAGAAAACCAAAACTTCAAGATCGCACAAATGGTCTACGGGTGGTCCTCGGCTTGCAACAGTTAGTGATCGTTCAAAGTTACAACGGCGCTGAAAAAAGGGGACTTAACAACCATTTTTCACACTTACAACCGTCACAGTCTCCCCACGGTCGTGATCAAATTCAGACGCTTGGCCACCGGCTCGTATTGATGGCGGTCGCAGCGTTCCGGGGTTCTTGTGATCCCCTTTTGTGACTTTCTGACAAAGTCCATGGGGGAAGCTGGATTCAGCTAACAATCTGTGTCACTCACTTAACAACTGCAGGGATTTACTTAACAACTGTGGCAAGAAAGAGGGTAAAATGGGTCAACATTCAGTTAACCAAGGTCTCACTTAGCAAAAGAAATCATAAATCGTAAGTCAAGGACTGCCTGTAAATCAGTTCCAACTTCTTATGCTTCCTTCTCTCCACCCCACCCTCCACCCCACACTCTCCATTTTTCTCCAGGCTTCCACCTCAACCAGCAGCTTTATGCCATGATCGTCCGCAGGTATTCAGACGAGAACGGCAACATGGATTTTGACAACTTCATCAGCTGCCTGGTGCGCCTGGATGCCATGTTCCGTAAGTGGCTGGGGCAGCCGTGCCCATTGGCATCCTCTTTGTCTCTCGGGTTCTCCTGCTTGAGCGGGGGGAGGGCTGGGCTAGAAGACCTCAGTGGTCCCTTCCAGCTCTACTCAATTCTTCCTCCATGGGGCTGAAGGGGATCCTAGCTTGGATGTCACCCGTGCAACTTCTGCCCCACTTCAGTCTCTGCGTCCTGCCCAGCAGTCAGCCATCCTCTCCGAGGACTCCCCCAGCCAGTGGGTGCCAGTTAGAGGGGCTGACGTGATTCAGCATCCTGAATCTCTAACCAGAGTGGGCTTTGGTGATAGGCAGGGGATTATGGAAGTCGGAGTGCCAGACCTCTGAAGGGGCAGAGGATGTGCCTCACTTCTGCAGCCTTGCCTGATTCATCCCTGGGTGTCAGGCACAACAGACCAGAGCCATTCACAAATGGCTAAAACTATCAACTTTATTGTTCTCCGCCTGTACTACAAGAATCTTCCCAAGCTGCTCTCCTTCCATTGGGAACGACCAGATCTTGGGATCTTCACGAATCTTGGGAGCGGTCAATGTTTGTGCCTCTTGCAGCTACGCAAAGGTCTTGAAACTAAGCCCATGCGTGACCCCCTCCCCCATCTAGCCTAGTTTCCCAACACCGGCTTTCTTCTTATAGGTGCCTTCAAATCTTTGGACCGAGATGGCAGCGGACAGATTCGTGTGACTCTGAAGGAGGTGAGAAAGAGCTTTTTGGCTCCTGCTCAGTTCAGGCTGCAGAGTGCGTTGCATACGAGTTTTCAGCAAGTACCACAATGTGCCAGGATATATCAGAGGCAGTTTTGAAGGAAAGGGCGCCAAGAAGCAGGATTATGCCCTCACTCCTCCCCACCCCACTCTTTCTTTGCATAACTTAGACCAAGGTTATCTAACCTACCTACCTACCTTCCTTCCTTCCTTCCTTCCTTCCTTCCTTCCTTCCTTCCTTCCTTCCTTTGTCTCTTTCTTTCTTTCTTTCTCTTCCTTCCTTTGTTTCTTTCCTTCCTTCCTTTGTCTCTTTCTTCTTTCTTTCTTTCTTTCTTTCCTTTCTTTCTTTCTTTCTTTCTTTCTTTCTTTCTTTCTTTCTTTCTTTCTTTCTTTCTTTCTTTCTTTCTTTCTTTCTTTCTTTCTTTCTTTCTTTCTTTCTTTCTTTCTTTCTTTCTTCTGCCCAAAGTCATCTTGTAGGGGACATGGGTGGCACAGAAATTTGATAAATAAATAAAATAAATAAGAATGTTTTTATGCCATCAGCACACGCTAGCTGAGGAATTCTGAGAGTTGAAGTCCATGAGTCTTAAAGTTGTCACGTTTGGAGACCTCAGTACAAGAGCGATGCAAAGAGGAGAGAATGGACAGGGAGAGGCAAAACCTGGGGATTAGAAGCTTGGAGAGGATCTGGAAAGTGAAAAGTCTCTCTCTTTTTTGTGTGTACAGTGGCTGCAGCTCACCATGTACTCCTAAGAGCCACCGGCTGTCAGGAAGACCACCCTTTCCTCTACCATCCCCAATTCTGTCCTGGAGTGGTATAGAATTCGGCATTACCTATTTGCAGATGTGTCTTCACCCTGGGAAAATCCAAGGAGATTCTATTCTGCGGTTCTGCTTCCTCTCCTGCAACCAAGCCAGGAAACTTCCTGTTTTTACTCTAGTGTTTTGCGTTGCAATTTTTACTCCCCATTGTAAAAGCAACGGCTGCTCTTCTCCATTAGCTTTTCACTTGCTGTCGCTGCTGCCTTTTCAAAGCACCAAGAGAGGGGGGGTTGTCTCTTGAAAGAGAAGCTCCTTTTCTCCCCCTCCCCAACCTGCTTGGATTCGAATGGTGCCATGCAGATTTGATAGGACCCCCCCCCTTTTTTTGAGTAAGTTTCATTTTGTAAGAGCCGTGTGAGATTTGGATGGAGAGATGGGCTTGCAAAGCACCAATTCCTTGCAAAACCAGGTTCCTTGTATGTGGGGGGGCAGTGTATACGGGTTTTTATAAATGGGGGCTAAAGCGATCTCTTTGTGGACACTGTGAAGTGGTGATGGATCCTCTGGACTTTCATCTGGACGTAATTTGTATTTTCCCAAAAGAGCCAGGTCATTGCACTAGAAATAAGATGAGCTGAGCTTGATGGTCATTGCCTACCACTTCTCAACCCCAGAAAATGTTTCCTCCTTTTTAAAATCCCCAGCACCCTTTGCCTGGACATGATTTAAAAAGCAATAACTTAGCAGTTTAGGGAACCAACGCTGAAGCTACTTAAATAATCCAGATATATGACAGCTTGGCCCTTTTTTTCTCAGGCTCCAGGGGCTGCCGATAGAGGCTCGGCCCAGACTCTTTAAACTTGGCTTTTGAATTCTATTTAAAAAAAGAAAAAGCATCTTTATCGCACACTATGTGGCTGCACCATGCAAATTTCTCAGCAATGCACTTTTGTCGCATGCCAATTCTCTGCGTGAATTTTGAAGGTCTATAAAGCAAGGCTGTCCAACTGTGGAAACTTTTAAGATTTGTGGACTTTGCTGGCTGGGGAATTCTGGGAGTTGAAGTCCACAGGTTGGACACTCCTGCTCTAAAGTACATGAAGGAGAACTCCGAATTTTATGGGCAGCATTTCGAGAATTGGTTTCCTTTAAAACGTGTTGAGGGATGTGTGAACCCTATCAGATTATGAAATGTGGACATTGTGAGTTTATAAGTCCTGGTTTCCTCCCTTTTTGAAAGGGCTGAGAAGGGAACCAGAGTAACACTAGGGGCTCTTTATACTTCTAAAAGCTGCAAATGCTTTCCCCAATTTGTTTTTGGATTCAGCTTCTCCAAGTCCAATTGTTGGCTTGAAATTTTAATGAATCACGTTTTTTCTCCTCCTAAAATTAATGAGAAGGACTTGGGGGGGGGGAGCTTTTGCAAATAGTCCTTTTGGAAATTTCCCCCAATTCTGGCCAAAGGCTTTGCTGGCTCAAAAAGAGAATTTGCTGGGGTGAAAAAAAAAAAGAATCTTGTGATGAATAATTTGCAATTCTAAATGGGGCTAATATTCTCTGTTTAGAACTGCCAGCAGATCTTTTCCTGTTGCCCCCCACGTCCCCCACAAACACCCCCAGGGTTAGAGGCTGCCTCCCACTGTATGCTCACTTTTTTAATAGCTCAATAGCAACCGGAGTAAAAGTTGCATAACAATTAGAATCCGCGTGCCTCTGTTGTGTTGTTTGCTCAGCGCCTTCTCCAGCAGAGGGAGGATGTGTTCTGTTTTCGGTTAATGCTAGTCTGTTTCAGCGTTACTCAGCCTTCTTTGCTGCTTAAATCTGTGTGAACTTCATGACCAAACTAGAGAATTTCATCATTGTTAGAAGGGAGGAGGAGGACTGTGGGGTCCTTGCTGCTCTCTGTGCTTAGCAGTTTTCTTGCAGACATCTCATAACCCAACTAGAGAACATCATCAGTGCTAGGAGAGAGTGGGGTTTGTTAGGAGGAGGAGGAGGAAGGACTGTGGGGTCCTTGGTGCTCTCTGAGCTGGGTTGTTTCCTTGCAGACATTTCATGACCCAACTAGGTAACATCATCAGTGCTAAGAAAAAGCATTGAACCCTGAAGAAGCTGCCTTGTGGGTATGCAAAGAAAGCCAGCCAATTCAGAGAGCACCAAGGCCCCACATTTGAAGGGCTGCCTTAATCTTGCTGTTTTTGGAGCACGTGGAGGCTCTGTTTTCCAGCATGGCTCAAGACCTGGTTTTTGTCTGCAGACGGGCCGACTGGGGGTTGTAAGGAGGGGCGAACGCCCCTCTGTCACATCTTGGGCACATTGGCGGTCTCTTTTGATGGATGTGCTGCCTCTGCCGATGAGTCACAGGCACTGAAGGCTGGACCAGCTTTGAGTCAGGAGAAGGTGGCTGTGACTGTCCTTGGGAGAAATGGAAGGGATTCGAAAACGGCCGAGTGTGGAAGGGATTTGGGGTGTTGGAGGTCTTAAGGTGTGAAATGAAGGGAAGGGGACCCTGAGGGAAGACTGGGGTCCCCCTTGGTTTACAGCACCTATCTTGCAACAGAAAAGGGGATTATTCTAAACCAGACCCAAAACAGATGTGTGTGTGTGTCTGTGTCTACCTGTCTGTCGGTCTATCTATCTGTCATCTACTATCTATCATCAATCCATTTATCTATCATCTCTCTCATTCCCTCTGTCTCCCATCTATCTCTCCATCCATCCATCCATCCATCCATCTCTATCTGCTAAAACCTCTTTTGTTATTGTGTCTCATCCATCTCTCTCTCTCTCTCTCTCTCTCTCTCTCTCTCTCTCTCTCTCTCTCTCTGTGTGTGTGTGTTTGTTTTGTGTTCCACCCTGTTTGAGAACCACCTGTGAAAATAAAATATTCCCCGGGGGATTTTGGGAAGCGAGGGTGACAATGGGCTGCAGCTGACAGCTGAGGCAGGGTGTGCTCGGGGTTTTCTTGCAAAGAAAGCTCACAACAAGCCAAGTTTCTCTCCCATCAGTGGCGTCTTTTTGCAAGTCCCCCCCCCCCCATGATCAACGCCTCCGGGGTTCGGCAAAGGGGTATGCCTGCGTGTGTGCCACCTGTCTTGTTGTCTCTGACACCCACTCTGTTTTCGAAAAGCTCAGTAGAAACAGGAATCAAAGTTGCATAACAAGAAATCAGCCTGGATTTTTATCCGGGTTGTCACACAACGATGCTTCCTTGGCAGGGAATAAATCTCACCTTTGAATCTCTGCCTGTCCAAATAAAGCCGGATTCCCACAATACATTTATTATCTGCAGTCACAATCCAGATGAGAGCGACATTCTCAGCGATGTGTGTATTGTGAGCAGCGAACTACACACTCAAACACACACACCGAAACCAACAGTGGATTTATGCCACTGGCATCAAACCACACACACCTCCCACTTTTTCTGAAATTAATTTATTCCTCCTTTGTTTTGCTTTGACAAACACAGGGAACACAGCAAGTGCTAAATATTCATCTGGAGAATGACATTTGGGCTCCCTGTTTTGTCTTTGATGCCAAACAAGCAGGTTTTGCCCAGGAATTGAAGGGTGAGCTGTAGAGAGGGATGTCCCTGGGACTTTGAACCAAATGTAACTTGACTCGCTTTCTCGAGTTGTCTTTTGACATTTTTCTCTATGAGGACCCCCATGTTGGCACTTGTTCTGCATTTTGTGAAGTGGATGAATACTGAAGAGCCCAGAACCATTGGGCTGGAGTAAGGAAAAACTTACCTACAAACTACAAAGAATTTCCTGAGAAATTTCCACAATTAACCAGTGGAACGGCTTGCCTCAAGAAGCTTTGGGTGCTCTTATCACCGGAGGCTTTCAAGAAGAGACTGACAGCATTTGTCCGGAATGGCATAGGGCAGGGATGTCCAAACTTGGGGACTTCAAGACTTGTGGCCTTCAATTCCCAGAATTCCCCAGCCAGCCATGAATTCTAGGAGTTAAAAGTCCACAGGTCTTAAGGTTGCCAAGCTTGGACACCTCTGACGTAGGGTCTCCTGCTCGAGCAGGGGGTTGGACTAGAGGACCTCCAAGTTCCTTTACAACTCTGTTGTCCTGTTCTGTCCAAATTTCCTTTTCAGATAGACTGCCATTCCAGGAAGAACGGCCTGCCAACGAAGCCTTCTCTTTTGTCCCTCAACCAGGACCGTCTTTGGCATTTGCCAAACTGGAAGTTATTTAGCTGCGTTGCCCAATTACCCAAAGATGCTGTGGTTGCCTTGGTTACCAAGACATCTGCCGGGTAACCAAGAGGTTCCAGTTGCCCCGGGTTACAGAGATGTGCCAAAAAGCCCAGGATGTATCCAAATCTTGGCCCAGTTGTAAGAGGCGAAGCCGGGCCATAGTTCACAGGCCTGCTGTGTCCAACCTGACCCCCCGCCCCTCTGGCTCTCTGTGCCTCATACTGGAGGAGGGGTCCCTGGGGGCCTAAAGTTCATTGTGTCGGCCGCAGAGTTACTCAGGTGACGGCACCAAGTTGCCATCTCCATCCTCCCGGCCTCTCATCAGGTTGCCCTTGGCAACAGCATCCCCTGGAGGGAGGGAAAGAGAGGGTACCAACTCCAGTCCTACCCCACCCTTTTTCCCCCAACCAGGCAGCCAATGGGGAGATTCCGCCGCCTGCCTTTCAGGGTCTCTGCCCAATGGCTTCCCTCCAGAGGCGGGAGCCAGGCTGCCTTGATCTTGCATGGGAAGGCGTGGCTCATTTCTGGATGAAGCTTGGGCTGAACAGAGAAGAAAAGCAGTGAAGCAGGAAGAGGTATGTGGGGATGGGGGTGACGGGGTGGGAGGGGCACATATTGGGGTGGTGGGCTGCAAAAGGAGACCCCAACGGATGGAGGGACCCTTAAGAAAGTCAACCTTTGCCACAAGCATCCTTGCAAATCTTCCCGGATGCCGAACTTGATGCGAAGCTGATCCTGGTGACCTGCACCCAGTCTTGGTTTTCCCCTGGGGACAAACTCCCAATTTGGGGGGGGGGGGTTGCATGATCCTAGATCACTTACAAACCTCTTTCTCTGGTGCGTCAGAGGCAGCGAAATGGGTCCTCCGACTTCTCAGCGACCTGTTGTTTACTAAGGACCGGTTGCAAACTGGCAAAGGGCTTGGAGGTCTGTGGTTTAAAAAGTGAATTTGCCAGGAAAAAACAATCAAAATTGGCTGGTGCCTCAGAAGGGTGACTGTTCTTTGCAAGTCTTTGAGCTGTGTCTTTTGGGAACCAGGGAAGTATGCGTGCGTCCGTGTGTGTTTGGTGTGTGTTTGTGCCTGTGTGCAGGCTGTTTGGAGAAGCAACCAGCCAGACACTCTGGACAGAGCTGCCTTCTTCAACCTGGCGCCCTCCCCATGCCTCACGTTACCCCTCCTCTCCAGCCTTGTGGAGACCCCAAAATATGAGCCCAGAGGTTTTTTTTCTATATATTTGCAAGGTGTAACCCAGGAACTTTCTGCAGAAAGCTTGCCAAATTGTTTCGCCAGAGGATCCAGTCTGGAGGTTGAATGGACTCTGATCAATATCTCTCTGTAGGGTATTTCTACGCAGTTGCTTTTTCTAGGTTTTCCAGATGTGAGTGATGGGGACACCTCTGGTCTGTCCAGCCCCACAGCTGGATAAGTTGGTTAAACAGGACTCAACCTTTTCTCCACAGTGTCTCCTGAGGAAGAATTTGTATTTAAGGATTCAATTCGTCCTCTGATTTGTCTTTCAGCTTTAAGCTGCTCCCCCCTTTTCTTGCAATTTTCCCTCTTCTGTTCCAGACTTGGAGATTCCAGTTGCAGAGGGTAGGTTTGGTTTGAGAAGGCCAACCTGTAGCATGTCAGCCTGCTCTTTTGCAAACACTGGCACTTTCCCTCTTAGGCTTTCTCATTTCAAGATGCTTCTGCTGATCTTTGCAAAGAGGCCTCTCAAGCAGATGGTGTCGGAAACAAAGTTAGCATGTTCTCGTTATACTTTGGACCCTTCTCGATTCATGCATACATTTTCATGAGTTGGGGTATAATTAGACAGGGAACGCTCTCTGTTCAAATGTGATCTGAGGCAAAAAAAAGAGCCCCCAAAACCAACTCTGCCATCCAGAAAGAATGGAATGGAACAAGCGCCAATGAGTTGGAAGGAAATAATGCTGTTTGTCCCGTGTGGGGGAGCCAAGCTGCAGGGACGGCTTGGGTCTGCTCTGATCCTCATCCTGCAGGCAAGGACTTCTTGTTCTTGATAAAAGGGCATTATTAAGCTGCAAAGGAGTGAATCAAAACTGCCCAGAAGTCACTTTGCAGAGTAACATGAGCGGCATATACAATTAATAGATAGATGATAGATAGATAGATAGATAGATAGATAGATAGATAGATAGATAGATAGATAGATGATAGGTAGGTGGGTAGGTAGATAGACAGACAGACAGACAGAGACGGACATATAGACAGACAGAAATAGGAGAGATGAGAGATGTATGATAGATAAATGATAGGATAGATAGAAATAGGATATATAAGATATAGATACAAATAGAGACAGAGAAATAGACAGATAGAAATAGGATAGATAGATAGATAGATAGATAGATAGATAGATAGATAGATAGATAGATAGATAGACAGACAGACATAGGATAGATGACAGATCAATACAAATAGTGACAGACAGAAATTGGATGGATGGATGGATAGATAGATAGACAGATAGATAGATGATAATGGACAGATAGAAATAGGATAGATAGATGAGAGATGATATATAGATGGATACATAGATATAGGTAGATAGATGATAAATGATAGATAGATGATACATGATGAAAGACAGACAGAAATAGGATAGATGATATATAGATAGATACAAATAGAGACAGTGAAATAGACAGATAGACAGAAATAGGATAGATAGATTGATACAAATACATAGTGACAGAGACAGACAGAAATTGGATGGATGGACGGACGGAAAGACAGGGAAGTGAGAGAACGAACGAGTGAGAGAGAGAGAGACAGACAGACAGCATGTTGAGATGTTTGGCAACCACAGTGGTGTTGTGGTGCAGAAGTTGGACCAATCTGAGCAGACCCAGGTCCACATCTGCCCTCAGCTATGGAAACTCATCAGGTGATTTTAAGCCAATCATTCTCAGTTCAGCCTACCTGACAGGATTGTTGTGGGTGACGTGATGGAACAGCTTTGTGAGGGACTCTTGGAAAGCGATGACAACCCTGTGTGGGTTCCTGAACTGAACAAAGGAAAGAAAGAAAGAAAGCTTTGCTGTAATGGTATTAAAAGGACCCTCTTCTTCCTTCTCCCACCCCCCCCCCCAGACAAGGACTTGTTCTTTTCCATTTTAGAGCAGGCCAAAATATCCCTCGGACTGAGTCACTCTCAACAGCTCAATTAACCGATGTCCTGGGTGCGCCTGAAACAGCCGTCTCTTTTTTTGCTAGAAATAATGGCAGAAACACCGCAGCTTCTCCCCACCAAGTCTGAAAAGGACATTCTCTGTCTGAAGAGCTCTTTTCTTTGCTGGCGCCAATTTAATCCGGTTTTAATCTAAGCGCATCTAGACAAAAAAAAATCTTCCAAAACCTTGCGTTGCCTCGATGGAAGACGGGGACGGGATGGCTGCTTTTGATCAGCCAATTTCCTTTTGTGTTTCTTCGTGGGGGGAAGGGGGGGCTCAAGGTAATCCAAATAGAAAGCGAAGAGCAGGATGTACGGCAGGGATCCTCAAACTTGGCCACTTTAAGACTTGTGGACTTCAACTCCCAGAATTCCCCAGCCAGCATGGCTGGCTGGGGAATTCTGGGAATTGAAGTCCACAAGTCTTAAAGTGGCCAGGTTTGAGGACCCCTGATGTATGGTAACGGGGCTAGGGGGGGCTTTGTCAGCTGGCAGCTTGAAAGGCCGTTTTGAGACCTTGGCAATTTCCCCGTTCTTTTAAAATCCTTTCAGAAGGCAAAATAGAGAAACACAGACCGGCTCTGAGCAACAGAGGGGAAAATTTTGAGCAGGGCAAAAGTTGCTGGAAAGGGAACAGCCGACACTCTCGGAATGCCAGATTCCCACAACCAGCTGCTTCTGTGGCCAGAATTAAGGCCGCAATTTCCAGACTTGGAAGGGACCTTGGAGGTCTTCTATTCCAACCCCCCTTGCTCACGCAGGAGACCCTGAACTATTTCAGACAAATCCAATCTCTTCTTAAGCAAACACCCCCCCGTGTTGGAGCACCCACAACTTTTGGCAGCAAGCGCTGATTCAATTTGGGGAGTTTTCTTTTTTCAATAAAATGGAGACTTCCAGAGATTTAAGAAACGGGGTGGTCGGTTGATTGGAATGGAGGACACGGGCCGCATCCAGCAGCTTGAGAAATGAAACTGGGTCTGGAAGACTCCGGGGGACTTGCTCCCCCCAAGAAGGCCCCTCCTTTTATTCCTAAGTAGATCCCTTTGCTGCACCCCCAATGCTCCTAGAAGTGGGACATGGCCAGCCAGGATTCTGTTTTGTTTGCAAACCGATCTGAGCCAAGCTTGCTTCAAGAGGAGGAAGAACTGTCAAAAGAGGGGGGTGGGTGTGCACCCACAAAGTTGCTTCTGGAAGGTAGCAGATGGGGGAGAGAGCCCCCCCCCCACACCCATCACTCTCTTCCCACACCCCGGAGCCAAGCATTGTCTTCTCTGGGAATCGCACCCGCAGCTTCCCAAGTTTGCAGCTATAAATACAGAAAGTTAACAAGGGCACTTTGTTTTGCAACGCGGCGCCCGCCTCTTGTGCATTGTGCAAGGTGACAGCAACACCGGGTGTTGTTCTCCCGAGGCATCCCTGGGCTTTTTTTTACCCGGAGGACCCTCCTTTCCTCCCCCCCAAGCGCTATCTTTGGCTGCCGGGAGGGGGGGGGTCGGCTCTGTGCCTCCCCCTCCTCCGCCTCTTCGCCGCGCTCCGCTTGGCGCAAGATCCGCGCACAAAGGCAACACCTGTTCTGCAAAGAGGGGCCGGGGATGCTCCAGGAGGGGGGGGGGGACAGAGAGCGGGGAAGACCTGAGCTGGGGGCGGCCTGGGGAGGGGGAACGGGCGGGGGCCCGGCTGTTTCTGGCTCCCGACTCGCAACAGCTGCGCTTTTTTCCCACGTGATAATTACACGCTTGGAATCCGGTGCGGGAGAATAGGATCGCGGGGAGGAGGGGACTGCGGAGGTTTCGGGGGGGGGGCTCAGGGCCGCCCTATTGGGTTTCTTTTTCTTGGGGTGGGGGGGGGGAACAGCAACAATAGGACGACCACCGCCGAGTGAGGTTGCGATGTGGAGCACGAGTCGCGTGGCACCTGAAAAGTTGTGTCACTGGGTGTCACGGTGCGCTTTTCACGCAAAGGATTGCGAGGCCAGGCGCTGAAAGGGAATGGGGCTGTGTGTCCGTCCGTCCGTCCGTCCGTCCATCCATCCATTCATGCTCAGGTATAAATTCAGTGGCACCCATGTCGCAATTCTGCATTGTTATATGATGGGGTCCGTGGTACTTTAATTATTTTGTTTTGAATCGCTTTGACCATTCGCTTTGAGAGTTTTTTTTATGGGGTGGGGTGGGGGCCCCAGAGTCACACCTAGGAAATAGCCAGGTCTATAAATGTAATAAACAAATAAGGAAACAATAAGCATTTTCTAGTGCTTGGTACAAAAACGTGGGATTTGGGTTTTTTTTTAAAGCCAAGTTTCTAGCCCTCATGGCTATGAGGTCATATTTGAATTCCCCGCTTGCTCTGGGGAATTCTGGGAGTTGAAGTCCACCCACCTAAAGTGGCCAAGGTTGGGGAAAGATAGGGGTAGATCGTTTGACGGATGGGCTGCCCACCTACCCAAAAGATATTTCTCCCCTTGGTGCCCCCTCTCCCCCCCCGTTCTCTTTTGCAGGAGAAGCTGGCCCTTCCCGTCCGAAGGAACCCTGTCCCTCTGTGCTCCCCGGGGGCAGCCCAGCATGGCAGCCCAGCATGGCAGCGTGGCGGGATCCGAGTCGGAAGGCCTGGAGCAGCGGATCCACCACATCAACAACGAGGTGGGGGGCTTTGCCGGGGCGGACAGGGAGCTCCAAGCCCCTTCCTCTCATCAGGATGGCTGTTGCCCCCACCAGAAACGGGACAGGGCGCCAATGGGGCACCCTGGAGGGCAAGAAGCCTCCCCTTGGCTCAGCCTCATCTTCATATTCTTGACAGACATTTATTCATTTATGAAATTTACTCCTTTCTGCAAACAGGGAGCGAAATTTCCAACTTGCTAGAGGTAGTCCTCCACTTACATCTATATGTTTAGTGACTGAAGTTACAACGGCATTGAAAAATGTGACTTATGACCATTTTACACATTTGCAACCGTTTCGGCCTCCCCAGGGTCACGTGATCAAAATTCGGACGCTTGGCAACTGACTCACATTTACGACGGTCGCAGCGTCCCGAGGATCACGTGATCCTCTTTTGAGACCTTCTGACAAGCAAAGTCAAGGGGGGGGGGTGCAGATTCACTTTACAACCATGTGACTAACTTTACAACCGCAATGATCCACTTAACGACTGTGGCAAGAAAGGTCGTATAATGGGACAAAACTCACAACAACGGTCTTATTTAGCAACAGAAATTTTAAGTTGCGGTTGTGAGTCAAGGACTTCCTGTGTATTTCTGTGCCTTTGGGCTGCATCCCCCTTTCTCTGACCCCATTTGTAGTTTGGGTTCCTCCCTACCCCCTCCAATGAAATAAAATTGTAGGATCTAATTGTTCAATTTGGATTAGGAGATTTGTCAGGACTCCTGCAGCTTTAATTAATACTTTCCCCCGTTGAACTAAGCAGCTACCAGTGCCTAGAAGTACCTCCTATTTCACCAGAGTGGGAGATAGACCAGTGGATAACTGGTTAATTGCTTCTTAATTGATCTTTAATTGCCCAAATCCTTGCATTTTCTTATTCTCCTATTAGCAGAACAGTGCTGGGCTGTTTTTTTTTTTATTAAAGGAAAGAAAAATGAGAAAATTGTAATTAAAGCCATCCAGTCGCAGGGCAATTAAACTGCAGCTTAATCAACAGTTTACCAGTCATGTTGCTGCTGTGTGGAACGAATAACAATTAATGGCAAAAAGAGAAAGCTTCTAATTAAAGGTTCAGGAGCCCTTTCTCTTCACTTTAGAGAGGGAAAACCACAAGGAAGGACTGACTTCCAGAATATTTTGTCAAGGGCTAGACAGAAATTAAAATAATGACAGTTCAAGGAAATCTCCATTTCCAGAATCTGAACAGTACAGATTTATGTTGCTAAGTGAGACAGATGTTAAGTGGGTTTTGCCCCATTCAATGACTTTTCTTGCCAGAGTTCTTAAGTGAATCACTGCAATTGTTAAGTTAGTGACTCAGTTGTTAAGTGAGTCTGACTTCCCCTGTTGATTTTGCTTGTCAGAAGGTCTGAAAAGGGGGATCAGGTGACCGTGGGATGCTGCGACCGTCGTAAGTATGAGTTAGTTGCTGAGCATCCGAATTCTGATCATGGGACCACAAGGATGCTGCAACGGTCGTAAGTGTGGAAAATGGTCATCAGTGTCATTGTAACTTTGAACGGTCACTAAGTGAACTGTCGTAATTTGAGGACAAATCTATATTGTATATGCTGAGCTCAAATATTTGCTGGGTTTTTCCTTTTGCAATCAGTTTGTGGGTGCTGACAACACCTTGAGTGCTTTAGAGCTGATTAAGCATCGTCTTTTTCACTTCCAATTAATGAGAAAAATATGCAGAGCAGGCAGTAGAAGCTGATTCTTTTTTTAAAAAAAAACAAGCTGTTTTTTAAATCTGAAATTTTGGAATGTCTGCAGTGGGGTTTCAGGATTCTCACTTAAAACAAGATATATATATATATATATATATATATATATATATATATATATATATATATATATATATATATATTAGTCCAGTCTTCTGAAACAGACAATATGGAAGGACAGTGACTGTTTTTCTCTCATAATATTGCATTCTTCATTTTTAAAAAATTTTTTTTGCAGTCTCTGGAAAGTACCAGGCGAATGCTGCAGCTGGTGGATGAGGTAAGAGGCGAAGCGAGGGAGGGGTGAATAGCATTTTTATGACTAGCTAACAGGGAACACTTGGGGAAAAATGAGACGCCCATTTTTTTTTTTTAAATTCTAGCCTAGCCATTGTTCATTCTCGTTTGTTTCTGATTTTCCCACAGAGCAAAGATGCCGGGATTCGAACTTTGGTGATGCTGGATGACCAAGGGGGTAAATTCTGAGGATTTCTCGCAATGGGAAAATATCCCCACATCCTAAACTGCATTTCTTTAATCATGGTTTATGGGAGTTTTATACCACTGTTCTCCAATCTTGGCGACTTTAAGACTTATGGACTTCAACTCCCAGAATTCATGGCTGGCTGAGGAATTCTGGGAGTTGGAGTCTATAAGTCTTAAAGTTGCCAAGGTTGGAGACCCCCGTTATAAATCACAATTATACCCCTTATGCTAAGTCAAACCACATTATGACAGCTTAAAATTTGAACCCATTCATTGTTTATCTGTGCTTCTTTCCAAATTTTTATACACCACCCCAATTGTACAGTTCTGGCCGGGGCAAAGAAATCACAGAAAAAAAGCAAAATAAATTCAGGCCCCTCATGATAAGTTAATGAGGTAGACTTAACGATCATCTGTTTAACAACCATGGCAAAAGGTGGTCCTAAAATTTGCATGGTTTCAGCCTCTTTGGACACAACTGCCGCTCGCCTATGGATGGCCTCGGGAGGGCCCTTCCTGAGCCCCATATTCACGGTCTTCTCTCTCCCCCTCCTCCCGCTCAGAGCAGCTGGACCGCATTGAGGACGGTTTAGACCAGATTATCCAAGACATGAAGGAAGCGGAGAAGAACCTCAGCGACATGGCCAAGTGTTGTGGCCTTTTCGTCTGCCCCTGCGCCAAGTAAGTTCTTGGGTGGGCACAACTCCTTGCGGGAAGCCAGGATTCGTGGTTTAAGCATGCTGTGAGCCACGGTAATCGTGTGTGCATGTGTACACAACAGTCAGTCAGTCCTGGATTGGACCAGGGTGCTTCAGGCCTGTATTTCCCAAACAGGGTGTTTGCAGATAAACTGCTCTTGTATAAGGAGGCTTTCCTCCTCCTCCTTGTGGTTCCTTGCTGGCTTCCTTCGTGGATTTATTCTGTGCTCTCTCATCCTCCAAAGAAGGAACCCTGGCAGCTTTTCTTCCAGAGAAGCGTCTACAGGGCAGGAAGAGAAGGTCAAAGAAGTCAAGAGGGCAGCCTGAAAAAGGAGCAAGGTTTGAAGCGCACGGTGGTGGCTGCCATCTTGACTTCTTTGACCCTCCTGGACCCCCGTGTCTTCTAGCAGGGAGCCTCAGAGAGGGTGCAAGCAAGGATGTTTTTCCTTTTTCATTCCAGGTTAAAGAACATGAAGGCCATGGAGGCTAGTAAGGCGGCCTCTAGCAACACCCAGGATGTGGTCTCACAGCAACCCATCATGATGACCGCGGGGACACAGATGATGATGAGCGGGCCCTTCATCCAGCGGTAGGGCAAAGGGTCTCTGGAGGAGAGGAGGAATGGGGGACTGTGGGGGTCCTCAGTGCGCTCTGAGCTTGGTGGTTTTCTGGCAGACATTTCATGACCCAACTAGGGAACATCATCAGTGTTAGGAGGGAGGAGACGACTGGAATCTCGAACGCAGGGCTCAGGCCCTGCTAACATGAGAGAGCTTGTAAACTGCAAACCCTACATTTGGGACTCCCAGTGTTCATGCGTGGGCACGCTTGAGCCCCACAGCGCTCTCTGCACGTGTGTTCTTGCCCAGGGTAATGAAGGACGACGTGGAGGACGAGATAGAGCAGAATCTGACCCAGGTGGACAGCATGCTGAGTAACCTGCGCAGCATGGCGGTGGACATGAGCAACGAGATTGATGTCCAGAGCAAGCAGGTGGAGAATATCAAAGAGAAGGTGAGCAATGTTTCGCTTAACAACGGCAACGGGAAAGGTCATAAAATGGAGCAAAATGTTGATCTCAATTGTGATCGTAAGTCAGGGATGATCTGTATGTTGCTGTGGCTATTTCTTGCTTCAGCAGCAGAGGGCACTATTGCTTTATTATTTAAAACAGGGGTCTTCAAACTTGGCCCTTTTATGACTTGTGGACTTCAACTCCCAGAATTCCTCAGCCAGGAATTCTGGGAGTTGAAGTCCACAAGTCATAAAAGGACCAAGTTTGAAGACCCTTGATTTAAAAAGTAAAGGCTCCCTCCAGCTGCCTCCCCAGGGTTAAGTTGGCAACCATTTAGAATACAGAATAACAGAGTTGGAAGGGATTCTTAAGGTCTTCTAGTCCAACCCCCTGCTCAGTGCTTCTTTTCTTCTCTTCCCCCCCCCCTCACCCTGGCAGGCCGTTGCCAATGTGATCAGCATCAGCGAAGCCAACAACCAGACCACGAAGATGCTGAAGAAAGCCTGAAGCTACTTCGGCCCCTCACCCCCCTCTTCCCGCCCCCCACTTTCACCAAATGCAACCGGTTACCGGCTTCTTCCGTCCTCAGCTCCAAAGTGGACGCCTTCCGATCCAAGTGATTTAAACCAAGTTTCCTGTGTGAATCTCATCCATTTTCTGAACCAACATGCATGCTTTCAGGATGCTAAAGTGATGCCCATGTAAACGGCAAGGGGGGGAGGCTAACCTGAGCTTTGGCCCTGGGTGTGTGTGTGTGTGTGTGTGTGTGTGTGTGTTTCCCTTGGTACAAAGAACCCGCTGGGCTGTCTGGGTGCCACCCAGCCCACCCCCTCTTTAATGGCTAGGATGGCCGATGAGCAGCCCCCTTGCTGGAGGAACTGCTCTCTTGAAGAGGAAAGGAAAACTGAGAAACTGACTAGGCTGCTTCCAGGATTCCCCATGGGAAAAAGCCAGGAACAGCTATTTTTCAGCCCGATGGGAAAATAAACGTCCACCCAATTTGGCTTAGTGTGGCCACGAATGTTTCTGTAGCTGAAAGCTACAGAGCTTGGGGAAGCCAAGAGCCCTGGTGGGACACTTGAGGTCATCCAAACAGGGATGGGGTGACTGCTGAAAGAGGCAGGGCTGATCTCCTCTGGGGTATCAACACCCTGATGCGGATAGAAGCGGGTCCATTCAGAAAAACCAACAGTCCAGTGTTTTAATTTATATTTAGGCTCCATCCAGCCTTTCCCAATCAAGTCCTCCGGGTTCTGTCCAAGACAACAGAGGAGAACCAAGCTGCCCACTTGGCCGGGCACCGGACCAGGCAAGGCTGGCGTGGCCCAGTGGGAGCGTTGGCTGGATGCAGAGTAGGACCCAGGCCAGCAAGCGCGAGAAGGCAGCCCCTCCAAATGTCCAGTCCACGCACCACCCCTGAAAATATGGCTTGGCTTATTTGTCACTGTGGATTTCAACACTGTGTGCCTGTTTCGTTTCTCTATTTTTAAAAAATCTGTTTCTGACTTATGGTGTGAGTGGTGGGTTTTAAAGTCCAGGCAAAATGCGTTTTTTGTTGTCTTTGTTTATTCGTGTCGCTCTAGGGATCGTGTACGCTTTGAAAACAAAAACCCCTTTCCTTGCAGATTTGGGTCTTGCGAGCGCCCCAAAATTGCTCTTATCTGCTTCCGGAGTTTTCTGCACAGGAGCGGCAGCCAGGGGTGGGTGGGTGAAGTGGGATAGGGTGGGGGTCCCAGCAGGGTCTGGGCTGGCATTCCCGGCTTCCTTCTCAATGCTTCTTGATTTTTCCAAGGTCATAAATGCAATAGACCGCATAGCTAGTGGCTGCAGAGAAATATTTAGAAACAGTTAATTCGAGGTGATCCTCGACTTAAACCTATTTTAGTGAGGTGCAACAGCACTGAAAAATGAGACTAACGGCCGCTTTTCTCACTTAACGACGGTTGCAGCATCCCCCTGGTCATGTGATCAAAATTTGGGTGCTTGGCAACTGACTCGTATTTATGACGGTGGCAGCATCCCCGGGATCATGTCATCACGATTTGTAAACTTCCCAGCCGGCTACTGACCGGCTAAGTCAAGGGTAGGCAACCTTGGCTCTTTTATGACTCGTGGACTTCAACTCCCAGAATTCCTGAGCCAGCCTGGCTCAGCTTGGAAACCTCTCCCTTTCCCCTCAGCATGGCTGGCTCAGGAATTCTGGGAGTTGAAGTCCACAAGTCCTAAAAGAGCCAAGGTTGCCTACCCCTGGGCTAAGTCAATGGGGAATGCCGGCTTTGCTTAATGACCGCATGGGTCACTACACAACTGAAGTGATTCGTTTAACAACTGTGGCAAAAGGGATCGTAAAATGAGGCACAAATCGCTTAGCAACAGCCTTGCTTAGCAATGGAAATTTGGGGCCCCGTTGTGGCCGTAAAGCGAGGTGTACCGGTGATTTGGCTCCTTAGTTCATCCGGCTGGACCCCAGGGAAGCTGGGGAGAACAACCTCCATAGGGGCTCCCTACCCCCACCCTTGAATTGGGGGGGGGGGTGTGAGGCAGGTTTCTGTGACCGAGTATTGTGTTTGTGGGTCTGTGTGTACGTACGTTACCCATAAAAGTCTGCTGTCAGCTGACGCCATTGTTTCTTTCACGTGAACCCTGGTCGCTTTTCGGACCACCTGCTCTCCCCTCGGCAGCCCCCCTGCCTTTCGGCACCCAAAGTCCAGATGGGGAAGGGTCGGCTTCACTCACCCCCAGCTGCAAGGAGCATGGTGGCGCGATACATCAACATATCGGATATCCCCCTTTTCAGGTGCACCGGCAAGTCGTTGTCCGCCTGGGGAGGTGGGCAAAAGAGACCCCCCCTTAATTAGTGGCTGTCTGCACCCCTTCAAAGGGCTCAGGTTGAGAAGACCCGACGGTGAGGAGGAGAGTTACGACTGTCCCAACTGCTCCTGGTCTGCCGAGTAGCCCCAAAAGAGACCTGGCACCAGTGTGATCTAGCGGTTAAAGCGCCACTCCAGAAACCAGGCAACAGTGGGTTCTGGTTCTGTCTTAGCCGTGAAATTTGGCTGGGTGGCTTTGGGCCAATCACCCAAAGAGGGTGAATTCTGGTCCTGCCTTTGCCGTGAAAGGCAGCTGGGAGATGGTGAGTTCTAGTTCTGCCTTAGGCATGGAAGCCGGATGGGTGACTTCAGGCCAATCACCAGGAGATGGTGAGTTCTAGTTCCGCCTTAGGTATGAAACCGGATGGGTGACTTCGGGCTAGTCACCCAAAGATGGTGAGTTCTAGTCCTGCCTTAGGCATGGAAGCCAGTTGGGTGACTTCAGGCCGATCACCAGGAGATGGTGAGTTCTAGTTCTGCCTTAGGCATGAAAGCTGGATGGGTGACTTCAGGGCAATCACCCGGAGACGGTGAGTTCTAGTCCTGCCTTAGGCACGAGTTGCAGCATCCCAGAACCAAGCCATCGCCATTTGCAACCTTGCCAGCTGGATTCCAACCAGCAAAGTCAATGGGGGAGGCCAGATTTGCTTAACGACCACCTGGTTCATTTAACAACGACCTGGATTTGCTTAATGACTCCCTCGGGAAAAGGACACACTTAACAACTGCCTTGCTCAGCAATGGACGTTCTGACGTGACAGGCGCCATGCCGGTGAAAAAGGGGCGGGGCTTTAACTGCTGGTTCTCAGGTCCTCGCTCGGGCTCCTGGCACTCCGGCTGAGAGCGCCGCAGCTGCTAACGGGGTCACAAGGGTTGTTGGGATGCGGCCAACGTCTCACCTGGAAGATCTTCTGAAATTCAGGGACTTTGTTTTCCATTTGCCGGGCTGAAGTCGTGAAGCATCGGAGGGATTGTAAGCGACTCACCTAAGCAAAATAAGCTGTAATAAAGATTTGTCCCCCCCAACCCCCCCCCAATCTCTCTCTCTCTCTCTCTCTCTCTCTCTTTTTTTTTTTTTTAACAAATCCAGCAAGGAGAAATTGTGGGCAGTACAAGCCGTCCTCGATTTAATGACAATTCATTTAGTGACCGAAGTTACAACGGCATGGAAAAAAGCAACCCATGACAGTTTTCACACAACCAGGTGATCAAAACTGGTGGATGCTCGGCCCTGACTCATACTTATGACGGCGGCCATATCCCGGGGTCCCCTTTTTGCAACCTTCTGGCAAGCAAAGTCCATGGGAAAGCCAGTTTCGCTTAACAACCGTGTTGCTAACTTAACGACTGCCGTGATTTGCTTAATGACTGTGGCGAGAAAAGTTGTAAAATGGGGCAAAACTCACTTAAGTGTCTCGCTTAGCGACAGAAATTTTGATCGTAAGTCGAGCGCTACCTATATTGATCCCTGTCATTCGGTGGGTGCCAGCTAAGTTTACCTTCCAAAGCTGACCCAGAGGCCAGTACCCAGCCCCTGATGGCAGACCCCCCCCCAATCTACCGCATATTAATAATAATGATGATGATGATGATGATGATGTTGGAAGGGACCTTGGAGGTCATATAGTCCAACCCCCTGCTCAAGCAGGAAAACCTATACCATTTCGGACAATTGGCCTCCCCATTATGAGCACCCCATTTACTTTCCCACTACCCCAATGCCTCCCCCTCCCCCAAATCTGGCTCTTTCACAAGCATTTGAGACAGAAAAAGCCGTTTGGGACGCAAAGGGGGGCAGCCCCTTGAGTTAGGGGCCGTGGCCAAAAAATAAAATAAAATTCATTTGCTTTCCATACCTTCTCGGGTTCAAAAAAAATAAAATAAAAAAAATGCAGCCACAGGAGCAGTTTGTGACTCGTTCACAACTGCCTGTGCAGTTTCTCTTCTGTTGTGGGCACAGGGGTGTGTGAAGGGTAGAACACCCCCCTCCTTCTGGGGGGGGGGAGGAGGTTGTGGGAAAGGAAACTAACTAAGCTTGCAAGGAAATCGCAACCCCCCCCCCAAAAAAAAAGTCAAAAGGAACTTAGCGTCAAAGGATTCAGCCGAATCAGCTGCACTGCAGAATGTTTTCCAACTTCTGCTTTGTAAGTAAGTAAGTGGAAAACGCACCCACCCACTTGCATTTCCTGGTTCTGGTTCTTTTTTTTTTCCCCTGGGGGACCGAAAAGCAGAATTACAATGTCTTTCTTCTGCAGATGTTGCCAGCTGTCTGGCCTCCCACCAACCCTTAGCCCGAGCAGAGACCTGTTACCCTTCCAAAACATTGTTTGTGTGACTTGCAGGGCCGAAGGGCAACAGCTGAGAAGCAGCCCCCAGCCACCCAGGGGGAGGGGGCTGCAATTAGCCATTGTTCCCCCCCCCCAATTTTCTGTTTTTACCAGCAGAGATCTCATTTTCTCCTGCGTCTGCTTCTCTCTGGTTTACTCTGTCGCTCGAGTGGGCCTCGTCCTCTGTGGGGGATTCTCCAAGGATACTACTCCTAGTGGCAAAACAGCTGAGGGGGTGGAGACAGCTGGAAGTGGCTTGACCAGATGCCAGGACTAAGGGAAGCTGGGAAGGTCAAAATACTAGTTGCAACTGAGCGTCCACCCCCCCCATCCGAAGGGGGAGGTGCGGAGGGCAAAGGGGGGGTCTTCTCCCCTTGATACCAGATTTAAAGACCCTGCCCCAATTAACCGGCTGGCCTCCAGTTGTTAGGGGTGCTCCATTGCTGGAGGTTTTCAAGAAGAGACTGGACAGCCATTTGTCTGGAATGGTAGGGAGTAAAGGTGTCCAAACTTGGTAGCTTTACGATTTGTGGACTTCAACTCCCAGAATTCCCTGCCTAGAGCAGGGGCCTCCCAACGTGGCCACTTTAAGACCTGTGGACATCAACCCCCCCCATGCATGCTGACTGGGGAATTTTGGGAGTTGAAGTCCACAGCTCTTCTTCAAGTGGCTACGTTTGGACACCCCTGCCACAGGGTTTCCTGCTTAAGCAAAGGGTTGGACTAAATGACCCCCAAGGGCCCTTCCAGCTCCTGCTATTCGTTGGATCATTACATGAACTGCATTTTGTTTTGAGGGACCTGCAGTCAACAGCCGGGCATTTGCTGGTGTGACTTTGTCCACTGGCAAGCAAGTCGAGAGAAACAAATCACACTGTGGTGAACAGGGAATATTTCTGCATTAAACTCTGGATTAAAGGAACCCTCGCTTTTATCCCTGGCCTGCTGACTGGGGGATTCTGGGAGTTGAAGTCCGTCCATCTTCCAGGGGCCGAGGTGGAGAAATTGGGCCTTGAGTAGTCCTGCGAAACCATGAGGTCTGCATCTACCTCTTCCACCTTCCTTTCAGGAGGATGTGAGGCCCCACAGGGGCTGGGGCTGGGTCCCAGCTGAGCCCTGGTTCCTCCCACCAAGAGGAAGTGAAAGCAGCTGGAGGCTTCTCCTTGCAGAGCAGGTTGGTGGCTGGATCTTGCAGGGGACAGGTGTGGGGGTCTCAGGTACGTTCCTCTCTGTGATTGTGTGGTGGAAGGGAAGGTCAACCTCGGCCAAGGGGAGCCAAGAAAGCTGCAGCAGGGAACCACCAGTGTGGTCCAGGAGTCCTCTGGCATTTCGGACACTTCCATAAAGACTTCACCAACCCAATCTGGAATTTTCTGCCACAAAGTCGAGGTTCCACCAGGAACCTGGGACTTCTCATCAACTGGACCACCTTCTTGGTTCTGTTCTTGGAGCCAAAAGGCTCCTCCTGAGTCTGGGAAGAACACAAGGTCTTCGGGCTCAATGGGACAATGCAAGGAGAGGACCACCTTTTCTCTGACCTTCTTCCGCTTGACTTGCAGACATGCCGCTCAGCTGGGCCATGCTGGGCTTCCTCTCGACCGGCTCTTTCTTGTACCTCTTGAGCTTCGAGAAGGTGTGGGGGAAGTCGGAGAAAAACCACTCCAGGTAGGTGGGACGCCCTGCAAGGGTGAGGGCTGGGGAGCCCAAGGCAGAGTGATCAAGCGGTTGACTTTCCCCGCAGGCTCTGTCCTTGGGAATGCCTGATCTTTGTCCAGATGTGGCCCAGCTCCTTCTGCGTGGTGAGTGGATCGCCAGTTTTTTTTCTGAAGAGGGGGGTTCAAGGCATCACCCCAGGCAAAGAGCTCCTCTAGGATTGGATGTCAACTGTTAATTAACCATCAACCAGCGGGACGGCTTGCCTCCAGAGGTTGTGGGCGCCCCGTCCCTGGAGGGTTTCAGAGAAGGAAGGGGCAAGTCAAATTGACAATCTGCTTTTGAAGCCATCTTCCGGCTGGAGTGGGATAAGCCCTGCGTGTGTTGGATTTGGGGATTAACGGCTGTGTCAGATAGTATTATCAGGATAGTAAAGAGAGGATCATTTTTATTTTTACCAGTTGAGGAGAATATTTGTAGCTCAGGACTGAACTAGGCGCTCTCTGAGCTTGTTGGTTGCCTTGCAGACGTTTCATGACCCAACTGGGTAACATCATCAGTGATAGAAGGGAGGGGGGTTTGTGGAGAGAAGGAGGAGGAGGAGGAGGAAGAGAGGAGGAGGAGGAGGAGGAGGAAGAGAGGAGGAGGAGGACACTGTGGCTCCTTGCTGCTCTCTGAGCTTGGCTGTTTTCTTGCAGACATTTCATGACCCAACTGGGTAACATCATCAGTGTTTTGGTGCTTCTTTTTAGCACTGATCAAGTTACCTAACTGGGTCATGAAATGTCTGCAAGAAAACCACCAAGCTCAGAGAACTGCAAGGACACCACAGTCTTTCCTCCTCCTCCTCCTCCTCCTCCTCCTCTCCTCCTCCCTCCTCCTCCTCCTCCTCCTCCTCCTCCTCCTCCCTCCTCCTCCTCTCTCCTCCTCCTCCTCCTCCTCCTCCTCCTCCTCCTCCTCCTCCTCCTCCTCCTCCTCCTCCTCCTCCTCCTCCTCCTCCATCATTCCCTTCCCTTTAGGTCACGAAACAGCTGCAAGAAAACCACCAAGCCCAGAGAGCATCAAGGCCTTCACAACGTGATTTCTTTTTCTCTTTTCCTCTTTTGTTCAAAGTCTCTACCGAGCCAGCTGGACTGCGTCATGTCCGAGAATGCAACGAACTGGACCATCCACGGATTGTGGTGAGCTGCTCCCGTCTGAAACAAAACATGCGCCTTTCCCGTAACTCCGACCCCTCTTCCATCCCCGTTGTGACCCTCGTGGCTCCCACCCAGGGCACCCTGGGAAGTGGGGTTTTCCCCAAGGAGAAGGGAAGCTGGGAAAGGGGTTCCCCCTTGGCTGTAACGGCCTTCCCCCTTTCACCCCACAGGCCGAGCGACATCCAGGAATGCTGTCTCTACTGGGGTCTCTTCCCTTCCGACCTGGCGGTCTGTAAACCTCTCTCCTAAGGGAGTCAAAAGCTTCATTGTTATTGTAGTCCATTGTTATTGTAGTCTTGCTCTTGGGCTGGGTCCTCTTGTCAAATAACCCAGGACGGGCTTTGCACGTTGTAGCTTACAGGCAGTCCTCAACTTACAGTAGTTTGCTTAGTGACTGTTTGAGTTACAACGGCGCTGAAAAAAAGGGACTTATGGCCACTTTTCACACTGACGATCATTGCAGCATCCCCAGGGTCACCTGATCAAAATTCGGATGCTCAACCAATGATTCGTATTTATGACGGTCACGGTGTCCCGGGGTCCTGCGATCCCCTTTTGCGACCTTCGCACAAGCAAAATCAAAAGGGAAGCCAGGTTGATTTAACAGTCACCTTACTGACTTAAGAACTGCAGTGATTCACTTAACAGCTGTGACAAGAAAGGTCGTAAAATGGGGCAAAGGTCACCCAACAACTGTCTCGCTTAGCAACATAAATTTTGGGCTTCATTGTGTCGTAAGTCGAGGACTACCTGTATTCAACTAAACCGGACCAACCAAATGTTGACTTAACGCAACAGGTAGACCTGTTTCTCCCTCTGGCTGCTGATACACACACCGAATGGATCAGGACCTTACAGGTCAAGCCAAAAGGAAAAATAGGATCTACAAAACTGGTGTGTGTGTGTGTGTGTGTGTGTGTGTGTGTGACTCTCCTGCCCCCTAATATGACATGCATATAGAACAACTAAGATGATTAAGGGCCTAGAGGCTAAAACATACAATTAACAGTTGCAGAAATTGGGTCTGCCTAGTTTAATGAAAAGAAGGACCAGGGGTGACATAAGAACAGTTTTCCAATATTTGAGGGGCTGCCACAAAGACAGAAGGGGGGGGGCGTCCATCTATTCTCCAAAGCATCTGAAGGCAGGACAAGAAGCAACGGTGGAAACTAATCAAGGAGAGAAGCAACCTGGAATTAAGGAGGAATTTCCTGATAGGGAATTAACCAGTGGAACAACTTGCCACCAGAAGTATTGAGTGCTCCATCACTGGAGGCTTTTAACAAGAGACTGGACAGCTATTTGTCCGGGGGGGGGGCATAGAACAGGAGTGTCCAACCTTGACAACTTTACAACTTGTGGATTTCAACTCACACAGTTCCCCAGCCAGTGCATGCTGGCTGGGGAATTCTGGGAGTTGAAGTCCACAGGTCTTAGAAATTGCCAAAGTTGGACACCCCCAGCACAGGGTCTACTGCTCAAACAGGGGTGGACTAGAAGACCTCCCTGGTCTCTTCCAACTCTGTTATTCTGACACAATCTCTGGCTGATGTCTCAAGTCAACTTTATTTTTTCCTTCTTGCAGAACCTGGTGCCCCAACTGGACCGTCATTGGCCAACTTTCACTAATCTGAGCAACTTCCAGTTTTGGTAAAACACTTTTTTTCGGAAGACGCTTTTTTTTTTTCAACAGTGCTGTAACTTCAAACAGTCAATAAACAAACAGTCGTAAGTCAAGGACTTCCTCTAGGTCTAGAAATATTCCATATTAACCAAAGGGTGATTTGTTTTTCCTCCAGGGAGAAAGAATGGAGAAAACATGGAACTTGCGCTGGCTGCCTTGAAACCCTGAACAGCCCAAATAAATTCTTCGGGGCTGCACTTTTCCTGCGCACCAAATACAATATTGACAGGTGAGCCAGAAAAAAAGGGGGCCCCAAGGGGACCCCCGACTTTCATGGGAATTTGAAGCAGAAATGTAAAGTGATTTCTCTAAAGCAGTGTTTCCCAAACTTGACCATTTTAAGGCATGAGGACTTCAACTCCCAGAATTCCACAGCCAGCAACGCTGGCTGTGGAATTCTGGGAGTTGAAGTCCACATGCCTTAAAATGGTCAAGTTTGGGAAACACTGCTCTAAGGGAAAACTGTCCAGTTACTCTGGAAGGAAGAAATAACAGAATAGCAAGGTTGGAAGGAAGCCTTAGAGAGGATTAACTTGCACAGTCCAGTTTTAAAATAAATCTCAAATAAAGCCAGAATTATTCTGCCTTTTCATTAATTAACTCCTTTTTGCTTGCATTTTTTTTTAATTGCAGGGCTTTTGAAAAGGCTGAGATTATTCCCACCTGCAGGCGGAGTTACCAGGTACCCGTTTTTTTTTTCCTTCACTTCCCAAGAATTGAGTGTCTGCCAAATATGGCCACAATAACCTCTTGTTTGAATCACTTGGTCACTAAGGGGATCCGTCTTCCTCGGTTAACTTTGCTGTCGGAAGCAGGTGGAAAAGTCGCAAAGGGTGATCACATGACCTTGAGATTTGGCACCCAAATTTTGATCCCCCGACTATGTGGGGTGCTGACATGGTCGTAAGTATGAGGACCAAACACAAGGCACTTGTTTTTCAGTGCTGCTGTAATTTCAGTTACTAAACTAATCTTTGTAAGTTGAGGAGTAGCTACATACTGTATACTAGAGGTCTTCAAACTTCAACTCTGAAGTCCACAAGTCTTAAAGTTGCCAAGTTTGAAGACCCCTGCTCTATTGTATATGTGTACTGTTCTACATACTACCTGTATACTACACAGGTAATCCTTGATTTACAACCATCCATTTAGTGACCGTTCGAAGTTACAACTGTACTGAAAAAATTGTGATCGTGTTTCACACTTACGACCGTTGCAGCATCCCCAAGGTCCTGTGGTCAAAATTTGGATGCTTGACAACTGACTCATATTTATGACGACTGCACTGTTCCGGAGTCACGTGATCCCCTTTTGCGACCTTCTGACAAGCAAAGTCAACAGGAAGCCGGATTCACTTAACGACCGTGTTGCTAACTTAACAACTGCAGGGATTCACTTAACGACTGTGGCTAGAAAGGTTGTAAAATGGGGCAAAACTCACTTAAGAAGTGTCTTGCTTAGCAATAGAAATTTGGGGCTTAATTGTGGTCGTAAAACAAGGACTACATGGTGTCATAATGCTGGGCAGAACCTTTCAACTCAACTGGGTCTGTGGGTGAGTTTCTGAGCTGCAAGAGGGCTGTTGGGGTCCCCACCCCCAGAATTGCTGGGTCTCTCTCTTCCCTGACCCCCCCTCCCTCTTTCCACGGTTTCTTCTCCCCAGCTCAGCTCCTTCGTGGACGCCCTGGAGCCGCTCCTGGGACCCCAGTACCAGTTGCAGTGCGTGACGGACGGGCAGGTGGGTTTGCTACCCTCCCTGCACTGCGGGCCTCTTCCACCGTGACCCGCCTGACTCTCGTCTCTCTGTCCGCAGGGGCGAGAGATGCTGGTCCAGATCAAGGTTTCCCTGTTCAGCAACTTCTCCAGGGGCTGCGTGGCAGACCCCCCCATGGGCATCTCCCCCTACCATCCCTGCAAGCCTCAGGGTGGGATATTTTACGCCCCTCCCAATCAGGAGGACCCCCGCCACCCCTGCCCCTGATCCCAGGCTGGCAGAGGGATCAACTGGAGGCGAGGGAAAGCAAGGAACTGGAAGGAAACCCATCATCCTCAGCCGGGGTATCTCCAGCAACCGTCTCCAGACAGCCATCCGTCTTCTTCCCCCACCAAAGTTTGGAGGATTTGAACAACCCAGATGTTAGAACTTGGAACGGTCACTAAACAAATGGTTTTAAGTCCAGGAGCAGCTGTAAGCAATTATGATGGAACTAAAAAAAAAACCTTCCTTAAATAGTTTGACAGTGCAGGCAGTCCTCAACTTAACAGTTCATTTAGTGACCGTCCAAAGTTACAACGGCACTGAAAAATCAAGGAGAGAAGCAACTTGGAATTAAGGAGAAACTCCCCGGACAGTGAGAACAATTAACCAGCGGAACAGCTGGCCACCAGAAGTTGTGGGTGATTTTTCACACTTGTATTGTATTTAAACATGAAAATGAGCAATTCTTCCAATCCTGAGGCTTAGCAGAGTAAAATTAGAATACATAGATCTAATAAACACTTTAATAAATACCTGCTGTCTTTTCTGGGGCAAGGAAAATGTGGTGCTTTCCTAATAACCATTTTTTGGGGATAGTTTTTAAATCCACAAAATTTTCAGGATAGCTTGCAAACAGAATTTTGGAAATCCCCCCCCCTTCAGGTTCCAGAGTATGTTGCTGGGGGATTCTGGGACTTGGGAGTTTCCCCCCCCCCATCTTCAACTTCATTAGCATGCTGGCTGGGGAGGGCAGGAGGAGTTCCCAAACTGGAGTCCCACCCCTTCCCCACCCCGCCCCTAACTCGGCAACACGAGGCTCCGGGCTCCTGATTGGCTCGTGGGGAAGCAGAGGGGATTCCCTCCCGGGCCCCCTCCCCGGGGAAGGAGAGGCGTGGTCAGGCCCCGCCCCAGACACGCCCCGCCCAGCCGTGCCTCCCCGGGCTCCGCTCCCGCCACCTGTTGCAAGCGGGCGCCCTCCGCACGCGCTCCTCCCCGGCCCGGCGGGCGGGTCCTCCCTCGACGCCCCCCCTGCCCCCCCCAGGCAGCCACCGCCTGGCTGGGGGATTCTGGGAACTGAAGCCCACTCCTCTTCCACTCGCTTGCCGTTTTAGACGCCGCCCTGCTGAAACTGCGGGCGTGCTTCTCGTCCACTTTTGCAGGAAAAGGAAAGAGAGAAAAAAAAACCGGAATGGAGGATGCCAACTGCCGGGAAGTGGGCTTTGCGCCCCCCTACCGGGAAGGGCAGAGACCCCCGCCCTGGAAGGAGGAGAAGCTCCCACCTGGCGTCCGGGAAGATCTGGACGATCCTGGGGATGCTGCAGGGAGAGGTGGGGGGGGCTTCTGGGGGCAAAGGGGGTCTGGGAGGGGGGTCTCCGAGGGCAGGGTGCAGAGGGACCGGCGTAGGGGGGGGGCTTGAATGCAGCGCCCCCAACGCGTGGAAACCCCGCTGCAGGCGTCCCAGGTTGCCACGGGCCCGGTTGAGGGATCCTGGATTTTAAAGGTCGTAAAATGGGTCAAAACTCACGTAACAAATGTCTCCCTTAGCCACGGGAATTTTGGACTCCATTGTGGTTGTAAGTTGAGGACTACCTGAATTAAATTCCCTGCCTCCCTACCCCAAGTGACTCCAGACGTTAAAAAAAAAAAGTGTAAATACAAAAGCATGGATCAAAGTTAGTGTTAACCATTATTGTTTTATTGTCTGCCCAAGTTTTATATTTTATTCGCCTAAGACGGCTTCTTCTCTCTCTGTCTCCTCCCCAGGTCCAGCCTTGGCCCAGAAGGCAGGCCCTGAAGCTGAGCTCTGCCTCCTCCCCCCTTCAAAACCCAGCGGTGAGGGGCAAACAAATTTAATACATACAGAAAAAAAATAAATACATGTGTACAGGGTGTGTGTGTACAAACAGGTTATTGTTTTTGCAAAACAGATCTAAAACAGGATGGCTCTCTCTTTCATACCACTATTACGGGGGAATCAAACTCAGGACTCAAAACCCAATAATCAACACTGTGCAATAATTATAAGAAAATCTTGAGATTTCCTCCTTGTTAGAAGCTTTGCAAAATCTGTAACTTTCCTCTCTCTCCATTCCACACGCCTCACTCCTTACTAGCACTGATGAGGTTACCTAGTTGGGTCATGAAATGTCTGAAAAAAAACCAGTCCTCCTCCTCCTCCTCCTCTCTCTTTCCCTCTTTTCACACACCTCACTCCTTACCAGCACTGATGAGGTTACCTAGTTGGGTCATGAAATGTCTGCAAGAAAACCACCAAGCTCAGACAGCAGTAAGGACCCCACCCCACCCCTCCTCCTCCTCACCTCTCCCCCTCCTGCCTGATCCTCATTCTGGACCAGTTTTGGGGAGCAAAAGGACAAGTGATCCACTTTCCAGGTGGAATAAGCGGGTGTCCGGCCTGATCCATCTCCTGGTCTTCCTTCCCCAGAATCCTTCCATCAAGAGCGATGTGCCGCCGTCACCCAGGTCCTGTGTGAAATGCTTCTGGAGAAGCAGCCGGCCTACCACGACTGTTTGGGCAACCTGGCGGCGTTCATTCTGGAGCGAGGTGAGTCCCGCTTTGCTTTTGGAAGGTGGCCCATCTGGGGTCTTCCTGGCCAGCTTGGCCAGAGGGGCAGCCCTAACGCAGGGCCACCCCAGGGCCAGCCCAAGTCCGCCTTCTCCACTGCGTGGAGTCTAGGAGTGTTTCCTCTCTGCGAAGCCCCCGGGGTCTTCTCTAATCCTCTCTCTTCTCTGAAAAAGCCACACCAGAAGCAGGTAGATGGTTAGCTTCCTTGGATATTAAACCATGGATAGTCCTCGACTTATAACCATTCGTTTAGTGACTGAAGTTACAATGGCGCTTAAAAAAGGACCGTTTTCCCCGCGACCGTTGCAGCATCCCCAAGGTCACATGATGAAATTTTGGACACTTGGCAACTGGCATGTACTTATTTTCAGCCTCCTGGGGTCACGTGATCCCATTTTGCGTCCATCTGACAAGCAAAGTCAATGGGGAAGCCAGTTTCGCTTAACAATTGCGCGACTCAAACTACTGCAGTGGCCAGAAAGTTCATAACATGGCAACAGAAAATGGTGGTCGTAAGCCGAGGACTCCTTGTAGAGCATCTATCCCAGGGGTAGGCAACCTTGGCTCTTTTATGACTCGTGGACTTCAACTCCCAGAATTCCTCAGCCAGCATGGCTCAGCATGGAAACCTCTCCCTTTCCCCTCAGCACGGCTGGCTCAGGAATTCTGGGAGTTGAAGTCCATGAGTCATGAAGGGGCCAAGGTTGCCTACCCCTGAATCTTGTCGTGATGCCACAGTGCCCTAATTTTATCATGGTTTTTATACCCTAATTTAATATTTTATCCTGTTTATTGTAGCGTCCCCACACTTCACCTTCCTGCAAACGCTGATGCTTTATTTAAACTTACATTTGTGCCTGTACGTGTAACATGTTTTACGAGTGCTGTGCATCAGTGACTGCCTGACCTCTGTAAACGGCACACGCTAAACAAACTAAATAAAATCTGCTTTGAAGAGGTGGCTGAGAGCCAGGGCGCTTGCCGAGAGACGTACGAGCTGGTGGCCCTGGGGACGGGGGATGCTTGCTACAGCGGCTGGATGGAGTTTGATGGCCACAGACTCCATGACTTGCACGGCCTGGTGGTGGCCCGCCGAGCCCTGATGAGGTGAGGCCCCTACCCAGAAAGACAGCTGTGTTTGAGGAAGGGAGAGGGAGGGATCCCGGTTGAGATGCCTCCCTTCCACAGGTAGTCCTCGGCTTACGACCGCAGCCGAACCCAACGGTCGCAATTTGGCCCAGGCTTAGGACCTTCGTTGACACAGCTGTTAAAGTGAGTCCCTGCAGGTGCTGAGTTAGTAACACGGTTGTTAAGTGAATCTGGCTTCCCCCGTCGGCTTGGCTTGTCGGAAAGTTCGCCAGAGGGGATCACGTGACCCTGGGATGTGCAGCCGTCATAAATACCAGTCGGTTGCCAAGCCTCTGACTTTGGATCACGTGACCTTGGAGATGCCGCCACGGCCGTAAATGTGAAAAATGGTTCTAAGTTATTTTTTTCAGCGCCGTTGTAACTTTGGTTGCTAAAGGAATTGTTGTAAGCCGAGGACTACCTGTAGCTCCTTGGTGCAGTTGGGCTGCTTCAGTCCCTGTTTAATGGGAGGTGCCATTGAGTAGCTCCCCAAATCTGTGCTCACCCCATCCTTTGACTCTGCTCAGGTACCTCTACAAGCAACTCCTGTTGTGCTGTAGCCAGGATCCTGTTGCGCTCAAGGAGGGCATCTTTTGCTGGGTCAAAGGCGAGGAGCACCTCAGGTTGAAGCCTGAGTGCCACCTGCACCTCTACCTGAGCCAAATGCCACACGGAGCAGCAAGCAAACTCCAGTGAGTGTCCAGCGAGTGAGTGGTCCAATATTTGCCCCCTCTTTTCCGCCGAGCTGACCTCTCCCTATTGCGCTTGGTTCCTTCCAGCTCCCGCTTGTTGCAGTCGAACCCTTCGGCCGACCTTCACGTCACGGTCAAAGGGCAGTTCACCTCGGTCTCGTATTGCTCTCCCACCATGCTGTCCAGCCACGTCTACTGTGCCTCTGGCAGTGACAAGCTGACCCGCTGGAGTGTCCTGGGGGTCCAAGGGGCCCTGCTCAGCCACTTCCTTCAACCCGTGTACATCACCAGCATTGTCCTAGGTGATTATTGGATGCGCTGGACATGTAGTTGTAAGTCAAGGACTGGCCGTAGAGCGTTGCCCTGACCCCTGTTTTTTCTCCCTTTGGCTTTTGGACTTGTCCGTCTTCAGCTGACCCTTACCACAACTGTGACAGTCTCCATCAGTTCATCAACGAGCGGGTTCAGCTGGGACCGGGGGAGGGCTTGCCTGCTCCGTACTGTCACAAGAAGATCTACCTCTTCGAAGGCCCCCCCGTGGCCCCTCCCAGCTCCTCGTCAGAATGCGCCTTGCTGAGTCTCAACTGGTGCGCAGGAGACGAGATGCTGGAATGTGTGGACGGAGCTGTCGGGAAGGCAGAAAGGGAGTGAGTGGAAGATGTTGAGGGCTGGGGGAGGCGGTGGGGTCAGGGGGCTGGGGGAGACCAAGGCTAGTCTGCGTTGGCTGGGTGGTTGAGTTTGATTTGGGATTGACTTGGGATGAATTTAGAGTGATTGGAGATTGACCTGGAATTGACGAGATTGATTTAGGATTGACTTGGGGTTGATTTGAGATTGACTTGGAATTGTCAAGGTTGAGTTGGGGTTGATTTGTTATTCTGTTTTTTCCCCCCAGCATTGCAGATCCAGGAGGCGAATCCCAACCTAGCCGGCTCTGTAAGGCTGCCATGTTGAAATCCTTCAGGAAGGTGGCCCAGGAGATGAACAGAGAGGACCTGGTGTTGCTGTCCACCTACCATGAAGCCAAGGTGAACCTCTCAATCTGATCTCTGTTCTTCAGGTGTCCCCACAGAAATTATTTGATTGTGGTTTAATGCACTGTACACAAAATCCCACATTTGGTGGACTTAATTCAAGAAACCATGGTTAAGCAGATGTCTGTAGTTTTCACCAATCAGTGTGGATCCTTTGTTTGCTTCTTGATTTAAGGAAAGAGGACCCAAGTTGAGTATCTCTTGAATGTTCCTCCTAGACTATGTTTCTCAGACCTGGTAACTTATTAAGAGAGGTAGACTTACTCTCTTTTGGGTGACCTAATTCAAGAAACCATGGTTAAGGAAATGCTTGTACAATTTTCCCCAGTCAGTGGTCTTTTGCTTCTTGGATCAACGTAGGTGGACCCCGTTGAGTATCTCCTTCTTGTTCCTCTTAGACGCATGTTCCTCAAAGTTGGCAACTGTTAAGAGCTGTGGACTTCAGCCAGCATTTTTTTGAGATGTATAGACTTTAATACTGGCTGGGGAATTCTGGGAGTGGAAGTCCACACCTCTTAAAGTCGCCAAATTGAGGAACTCAAAGTGTAGGAGAAACACTGAAGACATGCTCAGCTTTGGTTTCTCTTTTCCTCACTCAGGTTCATGCTACAGCTTACCAGAATGCAAAGCTCCAACTATACACTTACTTGAGTGTGCAGGGTTTGAGTAAGTGGCCTCAAAAGCACCTGGTTGACAGTTTTTGCAGATAGACTGGCCTAGGCAGCTGAAGACCACTCCAGCCAGTGGATAGGAGCAAGTTCAAGCAAGATCTTCTTCTCAATTTCGTTCCCTAACTTATGGGACTGTTGATGTTAGTAAGTTTCAACTCAAGACTTGTAAAAGTAGCTGGTTTCAACAAGCCGGAAGAATGGTTAACTCCCATTTTGGGTTCAGGCCTAATGTTCAGACGAGATGAAACTGTGTTGGTGAGCAGAAATGAAGGCTGTACTCTCAGGTCTTCCTTCAGTCAAGACCCCTGAATTTATCTAGAACAGGGGTCTCCGAACCTGGTAACTTTAAGACTTGTGGACTTCAATTCCCAGAATTCCCCAACCCGCTTCTGGGAGTTGAAGTCCACAAGTCTTAAAGTTGCCACATCTGCAGATCCCTGATCTAGAACGTAGGTCTGTTGTGTTTTTCACAAACAGGTTTTCACTGTTTTTCAGTTAACACATGAAAAAAAGTCACACAAATACCTGAGAGCAAAACAGCACGAATAAACAGTTGCACTACTTTTGGGAAAAAAATCCAGATACTTCCAAAAAGCAAATTTTGAATGATGTTGAGGGTGGAATGTTTTTTTTTTAATCTGTACAAAATATATTCACTTGTATATTACCTTCTGTAGATGGAAACCTTCTATTCTTTCAGAGTTAACAGTAGGATCCAGGTAAGCATGTAGAGTTGTTTTTAAGCAAATTACAGTCTTCTTAATTTCAGTGTTCCTGCCCCCCTTGTTAATTTTTAGAATCGCCCTTGACGAAATTGCAATGTATGCAGATTTTTTTTAAAGACATATGTTATTTTGCTTGTTTGGAAATATGTTTGCTCGGCTGCTATTTTTGTAGACCCAACTTGGCCGCCCAACATCCAATTTAGAAAGTGGTGATATCAGACATTGTTAGGGTCTTGCTCCAAAATGCTCTCCAGCATTGAAACCTTGTTTGGAGTCACGCTAAGCCCAAGTGTGGATTATCTGGGTTTGTCTGGATACATGGTGAGACCCTATCAGGTGTGTTTCATTCAATAAACCATAATTAAGCAAACTGGGCTTAGCAAGCAGGTCTGGATATGTTCAACACCTTGATGGGAGGATAACAAGCAAACGAGGAGCATCTTCATTGCTGTAGCAGCCCCAGAGGACAGTCTTTGGGGTGAATGACCTTGAATCAGGATGCCCCCTCCCCCACGAGGCCCTCTTACCCCCTCCCATCCAGCCCCATTTCTGCAGACCCAGGGGAGACCCCCTGATTTCCTCCTTACTGACCTAGAGAGAGAGCCATGTATGTGGGAGAAATGGTTTATTGAACACATACAACATGGCTAAGAGGGGCCAAGGGCAACAGCATAGGTTACTACAAGTGTTTTAAACGGGCAGGAGGACATGAAATTGGTGGGTGTAAAAATCATAGCGGATCTAAAAGGGGAGCAATTAGATCAGAAGTCATGCAAATGGGGTCTGACAGCTCAGCCCACCCTCCTCCCCCTCCCCCTCCCAAGTTGTGCTCCCAAACTGGCCTGTCACCAGCTGCATTATTGGATGCAAAACGGCTCTTGTGCCACGGAAGGTCACGCGATCAACCCACGTGGTTCCAGCAGGATTTTTCTTCCCCTTCCAGAATCTCTCTGGGATCCACTGTGGCTCTCAACGGAGGGCACAAATTTCTTAAGAAGAGGGGATCTTATCTGCATTGCCCCTCATTTTAAAAGCTATGGACTTCAATTCCCAGAATTCCCCAGCCGCTCATGCTGGCTCGGGAATTCTGGGAGTTGAAGTCCCAGAATGCCTCATTCTGAAAAAAGGATGCTTTGAGGGCAGAGCTACAGTGGCTTGAGAAAACCTTAACATTGAGTTTAAAACCAGAGTTGAAGCAGAGTTTTTCCATTTTGACAACTTTAAGAGGGGTGGGCTTCAACCCCCAGAATTCCCCAGCCGGCATGTTGGCTCCAGACATCTTAAAGCATGCTGGCTGGGAGTTGAAGCCCACCCCTCTTAAAGGGACTCAGATTGAAACCTGTCTAATGTCGTCTAATGCAGCAGAACACCAGTTGTGCTGGAAAACCAAGTTTGCACAGTAATAAATCAGTCCAATGATTCTGTTGTGTGAGCAGAGAAGAGGAATACGGATCCTAAATGTAAGGAATTGATGTAGAAATGCACCAGAAGCACTTTGGATACCCGAATTTGCAGCTGTCGCAAAACCCTTCTTCTCTCTCCTCTACATAACAAATAAAACGCCTGCGTGGCTCTTTTCTGTCCACACCCTCCTCATCCTCCGAGCAACAACTTTGACAGAGCTGCTGGCTGATTGATTCGCACAACCCTTTTAACCCGAGTAGTTACAAACCGTACAATTGCACATTCTCTTAAAGTTGGCTTCCTTTTAGTCCGTAACTTGGGCTCGTTGTTTACGGTTTAGCGTGTCGTTCGGTTAAGGTACGATTCAGCCCAGTGCCTGAACTTTAAAAAGATGCATTTTTTTAAGCAAGGAGATTAAATTAAACTCTCTGACTCATTTAGTCCTATGGAGAATGAGCTCTTGGAGGGAGGAAAAACAGGGCAAATAAGCTGGAAATAAACCTAAATATGACTTTCTTGAACCCTTGTGTTGCATGGATAAAAATACACAGGAAAAGGGGTTTGTAGGTTAAAAAAAAGCGGCTGTGCCATTATTCAAAAGTGGTGTGAATCTGAGGTTTGCATATCTGCTGAACAGGGATTAAATACCTGATTTTTCCTGGCTGGTATTCCATCTTGCTGAATTTAGGTCCTTTATGCCCAAGAAAAGGCTTGTGACAATCCATGAGGTCTTTTGAATTGATTTTCTTCCCCCAAATTTGGAGGGTGCTTCCATTTTTGGGCAGATTTACACCAGAAAAATGTCTATGTCAATATTTTTCAAGCCAGGCTGTTTTCTGACGAGGGGACTTCAACTCCCAAAATTCTGGAAGTTGAGGTCCCCACATCAGAAAATGGCCTGCCTTGAAAAAATATTGGTGCATGTTAAGTAGAACCGTGCATTCCTACCATTTTTTTCACCTTTAATTCAAAAGCTTAGCCTTTCTTCCTTGGGGAACCTTAAATTCTGTGGAAGCAGGCAAATAAGGTAAAAAAGCAAATTAAAGACATTCTGAATTACAAGAGGCAATTTTCACAGCCATTAGAACCCCATAGAAGTATTTGCCATACGTTTTTCGTCCCCCAAGTGAGAATGGAAAGGGGAGGGAGAGGAGAAGGGAGACTTATCTTTTAGGGTCCTCTAAGGGTCTTCAACCATTAAATAAGGGGGCTAAAAGAAACAAGAGGAGAGGGCTGGGACCCCCACATGGTGTAATGGAGGGCATGCTGTAGCTATGACGAAATAACAGTTGGGAGGGACCTTGGAGGTCTTCTAGTCCAACCTCCTGCTCAAGTAGGAAACTATGTAGTGGGGAAGGGGGGTGTCGATGAGTTCCTTCTGAATCTGCTCCAACTTGGCCACTTTCTGGACGGTGAGATGACCACGGCTGGACAGTGCAGTGGTCAGCCCTCTGTTCCAGGGCATCCTGATGGCGAAAGAGCCCGGCATAGAAGAGGCGGATTCAGGACGAAGTCCAGAAAAGTGGAACGAAGCCGGCGCAGAACAAAGCAAGGCGACGTTATCATCAGATGCTCCATTTTGACATTCTGAGTCTCCAAAGGTAAGCTGGCAAGGCGGGGGGAGGGCTTCCCAGGGCTGGCATTGCCCCCTTCGTGGGCACTGTCCAAAATCTACCCTTCATTGCTCCACGGACGGTGGCCCCTTAGCAGCATCCCCTGACCCCCTCTTCGCCGGCCCCTGCGCCTTCTTGCCGTAATGGACCGCTCTGGATGTGGACGGCCGACTTGTGGTTGTCGTTCTGCGTCGGGCCGCTGCTGACCCGGTTCTTGATCTCGGCTGCCATGGTCAAGAAAGCCTGCTCGACGTTGGTGGCATTCTTGGCGCTGGTCTCCAGGAAGGGCACAGCCAACGAGTCGGCGTACTCCTGCGTTCGGAGAGGGCAGAATAAGAGCAGGGTAAAAAGCTCTTACAGTCCTTGCTTAATGGACAGTCCTCGCTTAATGACCGATTGATCACCAACCAAAGTTTGATGGATCACCCCAGAGAGAGAGAGAGAAACTGGCCCAAAATCACCCAGCTGGTTTTTATGCCTAAAGTAGGACATGAATTTACCATTTCCTGGTGTTTGGCCCAGACGCACGGATAGGCAACCTCGGCTCTTTTATGACTCATGGCTGACTCAGGAATTCTGGGAGTTGAAGTCCATGAGTCATAAAAGAGCCGAGGTTGCCTACCCCTAGCCCAAAGTCACCCAGCTGGGGGACTAGAACTCACCGTCTCCTGGTGATTGGCCCAAAGTCGCCCAGTTACTTTTCATGCCTAAAGCAGGACTAGAACTCACCGTCTCCTGGTACAGTACCGTAAACTTTGTAACTCCTTGCCTTCGATATAAAATCCATTCATTTAGTCAGGATATTTATATTTTTACTTGGTGTAGAGATGGGGCACTTACAACTTCGGATAACCCTGAAGTCTTGCCACTGACCTACTACTGGGAGTTGTGGTTGAAGGGGCTCGTGAGTTGGCAGTTCACTTCAACCACATCTGGATCCATTTCACAGCAATGCTGGGTCAAAACTGCTGTGTGATCCACCCATATCCTTTCCCCTCCCCCCCTCCCCAAAGGCACCTTGGCAGTTGTGTAATCCACTGCTTTCTTGCTGGAAAGGTCACTCTTGTTTCCGACAATCAGCTTGTTGACGTTCTCGCTGGCGTAGCGAGTAATTTCCTCCAGCCAAAGATGCATGTTGTTGAACGAATCCTGGAAGCACAGGAAAGGGGGAGGAAGAGAGGGCGTGAAATACCTGCATTTGGAGTTATCGCTTCGTTTGTATCTAACCCAGATATCTGTTTTTTTCTCAGGCAAAAATTTTGCATACATATTGGCTGTTTAGGATGAGCAAGAAGCTTTTTCATGCAGGGGTTTTCAGATGCTTTTCAACCATTTAGTCCTCTCTCATTGCACATTGGAATATCTATCTATCTATCTATCTATCTATCTATCTATCTATCTATCTATCTATCTATCTATCTATCTATCTATCATCTGTAGAGATAGATAGATAGATAGATAGATAGATAGATAGATAGATAGATAGATAGATAGATAGATAGATATAGAGACAGAGAGAGATATAGATATATAGAGGTAGACAGAGATGTAGGTCTTTGGTTATTCGGGTTGGAAGTGTCTTGGCGACGTTTTGACGAAGTTCCATTCGTCATCTTCAGGCTGGTGTTTTCGTGCTTGAAGCACGAAGCCAAAAACACGAATAACCAAAGACCTACGTACAAACACCCGCGAAAACCTCAGAAAACAAATAGACAGAGATATAGATATATAGATTAGATATAGATCCTCAGCCAGAATTCTGGGACCTGGAAGTCCACACATCTTAAAGCTGCCAAGTTTGGCAATCCCTGTTCTAGCTCAACTCTCCTGCTTGGGCAGGAGACCCTCTGGATGGAGACCACCTAACAGGGCCTCTTCTCTGCCTGCCTTGGAGAACCAGCTGCCCCACCTGGTCCGTCACATCGTAGACAATGATAATGCCATGTGCGCCTCGGTAGTAGCTGGAGGTGATGGTTCGGAAGCGCTCCTGGCCAGCCGTGTCCCACTAAGGAGAGAGGAGATACTAAGTTACTTTTTTCAGAGCTGTTGTAATTTCGACGGTCACTAAATGAACTGTTGTAAGTTGAGGACGGTCTATATTGAAAAGCCGTGTATGAAAATGAAACAAGAAATGCAAAATAAAGCGCAGGACTTTCTTACTGAAGAAAACGAGAGACAAACATCAATGTGGACCTATGAGTTGCAACAAGGAAGGTTGGAACGGCCTCCTAGCAGGAGTAGTTCGTCCTTTGCCAGCTTCCCTTTTGGCCTTGCACGGGATGCCCCAGAAATGGGTGAAATTTTAAGCGTTTCATAGTTGAACGTTCCATTTTTTGGCATTCCATAAGTTTCCTAGGCATTGATACAATGCCGAATTTCACACAATTTTGTGACAATAACGTGTGTAACGGCCGTCTTTATTGACTGATGGGTTTTCCATCCCGGGAGTAACTCCGGAGTAAGAACTTCAGTTTTCCGAGTGAAGGATCAGAAGGGCCAACCCTGCCCTCTTTTCGGCCTAGTCGCTGAAGTTACACCAGACGCCCCTAAAGATGGGAGGAAGCGGCAGAAGACCTGATGCTCAACCTCTCCTCCAAACCCCCCCCCCCGGAGATACTCACAATCTGCAACTTGATGGTTCTTCCTTCCAACTCGATGGTCCGGATTTTGAAATCCACTCCAATGGTGCTAATGTAGCTGTCCGTGTAGGTGTCATCCTGGGGAAGAAGAAGACCACCAGAGATTTAAGAGTGCAGATGTTCTAGATGTCTTCCAAGAGAGGAAGGTTGGTGGGCTCCATAAGTTCTTGGAACTGGAGAACCCTTGAAACCACCGCTTGGACACACAAACAAGGATGTGGCTGGCGTGTGAAGGGGGATTCGCCATCATCCTGCTCATGCTTGTCCCAAAGGTGCCGTCCAAAAGGCAACTGGACTGTCCTGGTTTTTTTTTCCTGGAAGACCTTTCGCTTCTTATCCTCACGAGCTTCATTGGTTCATGAAGCTCAGAACCTGAAGAAGCTTCTTGGATGAGAGGCAAAACATCTTCAAGGGAAAACCCCCAAGAAAGTCCAGTTGCCTTTGGAAAAGCAACTTTGGGATTTGGCTGGAGGTGAGGGGTGTTCCTGAAAGTGACCCTCGTCTGGACTTTGATCTGACCCCTGCCCAGATGCCCCTCGCCCTCTAGCCCCAAGAGGTTTGAGGGACAGCTGGCCTGAATCTGCATTAGGTTCATTGCCTTCGTGTCCGTCCAGCCCCAGGGACTTCTGCAGAAGCCAGCGCAGGATTGCAAAAAGGTCCTCTTGAGTATTTTCTCAGAAGCCTTTTCCTCCTCTCTAGACCCACACTCAACCTGGCCTTGAGAACGAGGCCCTGGGTTCGAGTCCTGCCTGCCGTTTCCCCCCCTCCCCCCATCAATTTCCACGGAAGATCCCCTCTTACCGCAAAACGGAGGAGGAGGCAGGATTTCCCCACTCCGGAATCTCCGATCAGCAGCAACTTAAATAAATAATCGCTGCAAAAAGGAGCAAAAGGAGACAAAAAAAGGGTCAGCCTTTAAATGCGTCGCACAAGTAGTCCTCAACTTACGGCTTAAGGGCATTCGGTATTTACGACAGTTGCAATGTCCTGCAGTCACGAGATCGCCATTGGCGACCCTTCCAGCTGGCTTCCATCAAGCAAATTCAATGACCCTGGCTAAAACAGTTGTGAAAATCCACCACCTTGCTTAGCAAGTCGTAAGTTGAGGACCCCCTGTATTGCAAACAGCCCTGTCTGGATGCTTCTTTCTCCTTTGACCGATGCTCTTGGGCTCACATTTTTGTGGCTGCGATCTGTCGCTGTCCCAGGCCCCCCAGTTGGGAAGGGCCGAAGGAGGGGAACCCTAGAAATACAGGTAGCCCTTGACTCACAACCGTTCATTTAGTGACCCTTGCCATGTCCCCAGGGTCACATGATCAAAATTCAGAGGCTTGGCAACCGACTCGTATTTATGGCGGTTGCCGCGTTCCGGGGTCACGTGATCCCCTTTTGCAGCCTTCGGACAGTCAACAGGAAGCCAGACTCAACAACCATGTTACAAACTTAACTGCAGCGATTCGCTTAACAACTCTGGCAAGAGGCCGTAAAATGGAGCAAAGCTCACTTTTAACAATTCAGGAACATAGTTTTTGGGATCAACTGTGGTCGTAATTCAAAGGCTACCTCTAAAAGGCCTTCGATGAATTATTTATTATTTATCTACTTCCCCACCCATCTCACATGCGTGACTCCTTATCCATCATGCTGTGCTTGGCAGGATGTAGGGAAGACCCTCCCGGCAAGGGAGCCTTCTGGGCTGCAGGATACTTACTATTCGGGGCTGATGGTTGACATGGTAGCCACAATCCTTTCCAAAAGTCCAGCGTCCCCCCGGTTTGACTTCGCCAGGGAAGGTGGGGTGGCTTCCTAGCTGTGACTGTCTTTGGGGCACGTAAGGCTGCGTGGGTCCAAGATTATTGTGTTGGTAACTTTTAAATGAAAAAAAAATGTATTTGAGGCACGAGCACCTGTGTTAGAGCACCTCCAGGAAGTAATGGTGAATGGAAAGGGTTTTAAAATTAAATATAGAATAACAAGAGTTGGAAGGGACTTTGGAGGTCATCTAGTCCAACCCCCTGCTCAGGCAGGAAACCCTATACCATTTCTGACAAATGGCTGTCCAGTTTCTTCTTAAAAACTTCCAGTGTTGGCGCATTCACCGCTTCTGGAGGCAGGTTGTTCCACTGGTTAATTGTTCTAAATGTCAGGAAGTTTCTCCTTAGTTCTAGGTTGCTTCTCTCCTTGATTAGTTTCCATCCGTTGCTTCTTGTCCTGCCTTCAGGTGCTTTGGAGAATAGCTTGATTCCCTCTTCTTTGGGGCAGCCCCTGAGATATTGGAGCACTGCTATCCTGTCACCCCTAGTTCTTCTCTCTAGGCTGGCCATACCCAAATCCTGGCTGGGGAATTCTGGGAATTGAAGTCCACAAGTCTTAAAAGTTGTGAGGTTGAGTATCCCTGCACAGGGTCTCCCGCTCAAGCAGGGGGATAGACTAGAACAGAGATCCCCAACTTTTTGGGCACCAGGGACCACCGGTTCCATGGAGTGAGTTTTTTCCACGGACCGGAGGGTGCGTGGTTTTGTGTGCTGCCTGCATCCTGCGGATAGGGCTTTGCTTGTTTGTGTGGACCGGTTGCTGGCATGCTGGGGGCCCGGTACTGGTCCACAGATCGGGTTTGGGGACCCCTGGACTAGAAGACCACCAAGGTGCCTTCCAACTCTTATTCTGTGTCCTTGTTTTTGAATTCTGATAGCCCCAGATGCATTGTGTCTCGTTTTGTTTTCAGTGCTTTTGCGTTTATTTGGGGTTGACCCAAGAGGAACCCCACCCACCCCCATTAAATTGAGCAGCCCCATGCCGATTTAATCCATGCATTTTCCATCCTGGGGTTCCCCCACCCAAGCCTTGGGAGGATGCACATTTATCAGGGGGAGCCTGTTCCCAAACGCAGGTGCAGCCTAAATTCTGGGCCCTGCCGTGAGGCTCGGGGGCAATCCACACCTCACATTTCCACTAATACAGGACCCCCCCTCTAAAATGAGTGAGGACCCCCAACGCCAAGACTTCAGGTCACACAGCGGGGAGGGGGGGAGTTTAGGTTTGAGGCCCTCCCTGCTGAGTCCCCCAACCAGCCTCCTGCGGTCCGAGGGTCCCCACTTGGGAAGCCCTAGCCCACCCACTTGTATTGGGTCGGGGTCGTCCGATGCGAAGGCGGCAAGCGCTGCCTTACCTGGGTGTTGTTTTTGTTTTTTCTGGAGCGGGGCCAGAGATGCGCTCCGCAGAGGCAAAGGCGGAGGTCAAGCCGGGGGGGGGGCTACCCTACCTGCAGGGTGGGGGGTCGTGGGGGGCTCCCGCCCGGGGAGCTGCAGCTGAAGCTCAGGCCGGCCATGCCGGAGGGAAGCCCCGGCCGGTCCCCGATGCAACGTGACGGCGGCTCCGCGATCGAGACAAAGAGACCCTCGCGGCGACCCCCGCCCCTAAAGCAGCGGCGGCAGCTGGCGCGCTCCGTCCCCGGCCCGGCTGTCCTGCGGCGGCGGGGGTGGGGGCTCCAGCTGGGTGCGCAGCCATTGGCCAGCCCCGGGAATGACGTCATGCGACCATGCAGAGCCGGGCTGCAGTGGGGGGGGGGCGAGGATCGGCTGGCCAGCGTTATGCATCGCGCAGGTGGGGAGGGGGCGTCGTCTCCCGGGAGGGGGGGGCTGGTGGGGTGATGGGGTGGGCAGAGAGGCGTGGAGAGACGCATCGAGCACCCGGGGGGGGGAGTTTAACGTCGTTCTGGACTCGTGCCCACCCGGGTGGGGCGGGGGTCTGCGCACGTGTGGACGGACACTTCCTCGCCCCTCGCGTGGAGCTCCTGCCCCGGCCTGAGAAGAGGGAGGAGGGGTGAGGAGACCTCCCCCCCCCTTCAAGAGGGTCTTGTGATGTTGCAAAAAATGCCTTCGGTGCTGGGGGGGGAGGCTTTTCCTGAGCTGAAGGGCCAAAGTCGGGGGGGGGTCTTCGCTGGAGGCAGAGAGCTAAAGTCGCTGGAGCCGGGTTGGAGTTTAAGGAGGGGCTGGCACGGAGGGGACTCGGGGTCTATTCCACCCTCCCCCGCTCGAAAGCTATGGAAAACTTATCTGGGAAACAGCCCAGCCCACCTCACAGGGCTGTTGTTGAGGGGAAAGAGAAAGCGAGCGGGGGGGGGGGTGGTTGTTGTAGTGCCTAAGGTGTTGGCCTAGAAACCAGGAGAGACGAGTCCCACCTGAGGCACGAAAGCCGGCTGAGTGACTTTGGGCCAACCACTCCTCTCAGTTCAACCCCCCTCACAGGGTTGTTGTGGGAAAATGGGAGGAGGAAGGAACATGGTGTACATTCACCACCTTGAGTTATTAATAAAAACAATAAAGGCAGGATACCCATCTGATAAATAAGATAAATCACCCTGGACTCACATACAATAGGTGGGATGCATCTTCTATCTAGCCCATAAAAGATGCAGTTTTGCAGCCGGGGAGGGTCGGCCTTGCTTTCCTTCCCTTGAAGAAATCCAGGGAAAATCTCCACACACCCCTTGCAAATTCTTGGCTCCCAGGCATTGGCAGTTGGCAGCTCAGCCCCTGCCAGGAATGCTGTGCCCATCGGGGATGCTAATAGCTGGTGGGCGAACTTTCCTGGCAGCGAAAAGGAAGTTAGAGCTCCCTCCTGGTTCTGTGTACACACACAGGGGGGGGGGAGAGAGGGAGAGAAAGAGGAGAGAGAGAGGAAGGAGAGAGGAGACAAAGAAAAGAGAAAGAAGAGAAAGAGAAAGGAGAGAAAGAGGAGACAAAGAAAAAAGAAGGAGCGAGAGGAAAGACAGAAAGAGGAAAAAAGTAAGATAAAGAGAGAAAGCGCCGTTGTAACTTTGAACGGTCATTAAATGAATGGTTACAAGTTGAGGACCACCTGTTTAATTAATATTTTTACTAATATTTATATGTTACTCATATGTAAGGGTGAAGGTCTATACATACGTTGTATATAGTATGTTTTAAATGGGTGTTATGTATGTGTACACTTTGAGAGCAAGCAACTAAATTTCGTTTTTAATGACAATAAAGTTTATCTAATCTAATCTGATCCATCCTGGTTGGGGAGGAGGAGAAGCAGCGAGTGGAACACCTGGAAGGAAAGCTAGAAATAAAAAAGAAAACCCAGAAACGGGTCCAGGCTGACGAAGCATTTAATCTATATAAGTGTAAATCCAGCACAGGATTTTGTTGGCTCCACTTAGTGGCCATTTCCCCCACCCCCTTTGCTTGCCGGACGTCAACCGGGGAGGGTCACAAATGGCGATCACAAGATCCCAGGATGCTGCCACTGTCGTAAATGCATGCCGGTTGCAAAGAGTGAATTTTGATCACGTGACCGTGGGGATGCTGCGATGGTTGTAAGTGCGAGGACTGGGTGTAAGTCCCCTTTTTTTCAGTGCTGGTGTAACTTCAATTGGTCGCTAAACAAATGGCTGTAAATCGAGGACTACTTTCATGCATCTTTTACGTCCGGAATCCGTTGTAAAACATCCAGAAAACCTGCAAGTCCTCATATTTGTGCCAATGGGATAAAAGAGCCCTGAATGCTAGACAGATTTCCCCTTCTCTGAAACAGATCAAAGCGCCTGCAATACACACGAACGCACAAAATGCATGCAGTCCTCAACGTATGACCACAATTGAGCCCCAAATTTCTGCTGCTACGCAAGACGGTCGTTAAACAAATTTTGCCCCATTGTCACGGTTGTGAACTGAATCACTGCTGGGATTAAATTAGTAACGTGGTGGTTAAGCAAATTGCCGCACCCGTTAAGGTAGTAAACACGGACGTTAAGTGAATCTGGCTTCCCCATTGACTTTGCTTGCTCAGAAGGTCTCAAAAGAGGATCACGTGATCCCCGGGACACGACTGTGACTGTCATAAACACAAGTCAGTTGCCAAGCGTCCAAATTTTGCTCACATGACCCTGGGGAAGTCGCAATGGCCGTGGGAAAAACGGTCCTTTTTTTCAGTGCCGTTGTAACTTCGAACGGTCACTAAGCAAATGGTTGTAAGTCGAGGACTGCCTTTAAGCACCGCACCATTACATAAATTGCTCCTTTTCGGATCACAGTTCTACTAACTAAGCTAATCCATAACTGGAGGCCTAAGACTCACACCGCAGGCCAAGTCACAGCTGCCCGAACTCGTGGTCACATCTCCGAAACAGACCTTCTGCGCAGGGGGCTCCCAAGAGTCTGTCGGGAACCCGAGAAAGATTGGACCAGATCCGGATGCTTTGCAACTCATATTTTTCCTGACCTTTCGCCATAAAATCCTCTTTGGGGAGCCCCCTGCGCCTTCCTCATTTCAGGATGCGCAGACTCATCTTCCGCTCAATATTCAGCTTTTCCACCGACTGCAAAAACAGCAGAGAGGGAGATTTAGGAAAATGTCCTGCCCTATTAACAGGCAGTCCTCGGCTTATGACCACAGTTGAGCCCAATGTTTCTCTCTGTGGCATGAAACTGCTGCCTCCCCCTCCCCAGCCGCTCTGTATCTGCAACCCCCCCTGAAATTGTCAATTTATTTTTGTCTGACAGACCTTGGTGAACTCCTCAAAGGAGATCGCGTTGTCTCCATCTCTGTCAGCCTCCTGGATGGTTCGGTCCGTGATATTCTCCAGTTGGTCGTTGGTCACCTGGATGCCCACCATCATTCTCAAGACCTGGGTGCGAACGGAGACAAGCAGAAGTTGAGTGTAGCCAGAGAGGTTTGGGAGTGGGGGGGGGGCGGATTCCCACCCCTGGATCATCTCTTGACAAAGGCCAAACTTGGATTTTACCGGGAAGGACCGACCCTCACTTAAGAAGAGGTCGACTCTGGCTTCACGGTGCAAGTTAACCGTTTACCATTTTCACGGGTGAATTTGAACTCGGAACTGCCACTATCTGTCTTTTCACTGCAAGGGGAAAATAAAGCACAGCTGCTCAGCAGAGACCCAGGACGTTCTTTTTGCCAGAGGCGTCGGCGAAAAGGGTAGATCAGGGTTTCTCAACCTTGGCAACTTGAAGACAGGTGGACTTCAACTCCCAGAATTCCCCAGCCAGCTTAGCTGGAATAATAAGGTTGGGAGGGACCTTGGAGGTCATTTAGTCCAACCCTCTGCTCATGCAGGGAACCCCATCCCGTTCCATACAGATGGATGTCCAGCCTCTTTTTGAAACCCCCCCCCCTGAGATGGAGCACCCACAACTTCTGTTCCACGGATTAATTGTTCTCACAATGAAAGAAATTCCTCCTTAATCCCAGGTTGCTTCTCTCCTTGATGAGTTTCCATCTGTTGCTTCTTGTCCTCCCTCCCTTCAGGGGCTTTGGAGGATAGATCAGCCAGCAATTACCTGCAGCATCTCAGCCCGGGAGATCTTGCCATCCTTATCTTGGTCGTATAACTGAAAAGCAACTTTGCCAGAATCAGAAAAAGCCAAGAATTAGAACCGAGGATGACAGTCAGAAGATTAAAGAACCGGAAATACGATGCCAGCACTCATAAGACTGAGTTTGTTTGTTTATTTATTATTCATTCATTTGTTCGTGCCTTCGTTTTATTCATTTTTACAAATAATTCAAGGCCGCGAATATACTTAACACTCACACTTCAGCTTGCTAAGGCGGCTGTTGATGTCCTCGGAGTTGCCGGGGGCCTCGACCGGCCGGAAGTGAGCCAGCACCCGAGCAAAGGAGCGGAAGTCGGCCTCCTCACCCCTGGGGGAGAACGAGACCTGGCATTTTTCTGGGGTCTTTCTTAAGGACGTTCCTCATCCATGGACATTTCCGGATAAAATAATTAGTAGAATAAGAATAGAAGAGAATGATCTTTGCTGACTACAAGCAAGCTACAGAGCGCAAACCGCACTCCCTTCTAGAAACATAAAAACAACCAAGCTCAAAGAGCACCAAGGACCCCCCCCAGTCATCTTCCTCCTGCTCCTCTCTGCAAAGTCCACTTCCTTCTAGCACTGATGAGGTTATCTAATAATAATAATAATAATAATAATAATAATAATAATAATAATAATAGTAGTAGTAGTAGTAGTAGTAAAGTTGGAAGGGACCTTGGAGGTCATCTAGTCCAACCCCCTGCTCAGGCAGGAAACCCTACACCATTTCGGACAAATGGCTGTCCAGTCTCTTCTTAAAAACTTTCAGTGTTGGCGCATTTACTGCTTCTGGAGGCAGGCTGTTCCACTGATTAACTGTTCTCACTGTCAGGAAGTTTCTCCTTAGTTCTAGGTTGCTTCTCTCCTTGGTGAGTTTCCATCTGTTGCTTCTTGTCCTGCCTTCAGGGGCTTTGGAGAATAGCTTGACTCCTTCTTCTTTGGGGCAGCCCCTGAGATATTGGAATACTGCTATCCTGTCCCCCCTCATCCTTCTCTTTGTTAAACTAGACATACCCAATTCCAGCATCTGTTTCTTGTATGTTTTAGCCTCCAGTCCCCTAATCATCTTTGTTGCTCTTCTCTGCACTCTTTCTAGAGTCTCCACATCTTTTTTACATCGTGGTGACCAAAACTGGATGCAGGATTCCAAGTGTGGCCTTAGATCAGATCATGAAACGTCTGCAAGAAGACCACCAAGCCCAAAGAGCACCGACCCCTTAGTAATCTTCCTCCTCCTCCTCCTCCTCCTCCTCCTCACGAACGTACTCTCTTCTAGCACTGATGATGATACCTAGTTGGGTCATGAAACGTCTGCAACGAAACCACCAAGCTCAGAAAACACCAAGGCCTCCACAGTCCTCCTTCTCCTCCCCTTTAGATCATGAAACATCTATTAAGAAAGCCACCAAGCTCAGAGAGCACCCAGGACCCCACACTCCTTCCTCCTCTTCCTCCTCCTCTCCACAACCCCCCTGCCTTATAGCCCTGACAGCCAAGCTCAGAGAGCACCAGGGACCCCACAGTTCAGCCCTGAGCTACAAAGAGTCCCTACAAAGACTTAGCCTGGCTGCTCAGATGCTCTTTCTCTGCCTGCTGGTAAACAAAAGTGGGTGGACGGTGAATCAGAGTCTCTGATTAGGGCAGGGCACAAGGAAGAGGGCCAGCCATTCCCAGCCCCTCCTCCCTGGCTGGACTTTGGAGGTTGCTCCCCACGCACCCGTCCGGGAAGAAGGCGTTGATGATGCGGTCTCCGATGGGGTTCACTGCCAACTCCCCGATCCCTTCCAGATCGTATCGGCTAGAGAGAGCAAGAGAGAAAAACGTGACTTTATGGCAACAGCTTAAGCCAGGGCTTTCCCACCGTGGCAACTTTAAGACCTGTGGACTCCCAGGATTCCACAGCCAGCTTCGGAACTGAAGTCCACAGGTTTTAAAATTGCCAAGGTTGGGCCCCGATGGCTTCAACTGTACATTCACGCTAGAATTAATAGCATTTTCTAATACGTTCCACCGTTTTGCTCAGAGGAGCTCCAGGGTGGTGAAAACAGGGTGGGACCTGGACGCACAAATAATCAAACGCAGATGTCCATTGTTTCCAAAACAGAGAGTTATTTTGAGATGCTTATCTAAAATCAGCTTTCTGATTCTGCCTTCTTCTGGAATCGGCTGTTTTCCTGCTGATTACTACCTGCTGCGAAGCCTTTGTTTGCAGCTACCCTGGCGGGCTCCTTTTGGGGGACGGCTGAAAATATAGCTTCTTTCCAGCGGCCTCAATTTACAGGGCAAGATAAATAAGGCAGGACGCTTTCCTGGCTCTGCCTCCCCTTCCCACTTACTTCAGGTAGCCCTTCTCCTCCCTGTCCAAGGCCTGGAAGCGCTGGTGAAGGCGGGCAAGGCTGGCTTCGGAAACTGGGCGAAAAAAGAGCGGATTTAATGATTAATTGCAGGAAATCCTGGCAGGTTATTTTGACCTTGCGGCTACTAAGAGTAAAGTAGCCATGGACTTTGTGCTGGTTACAAGTGTTGATTTGGGGAGGGGGGGGGCTTCGCTTGCAAGGGGGGGAGCGAGTCTGGTTGGATTGGGGGGGCATTTGCTCTCTGCATGAGGGGTAATAGGGGTGTGGGGAGGGGGGAGATAGGGAGGGATGGTGTCAGTTCAGGTGGACCTTTTGCTGGGGGGCAGAAGCGGGCCAAGGGAGGGGGGGCAGGAGAGTCCTCCCAAGCGGGCAGGTAACCCCCTGGGAGACAAAGTAGCCCAGGCGGGCTTAAAACTAGTGGAAGGCAACCTCCCGCCCCCCTGCCCAGCTCCGCGTCACCCCCCCAAATGATAACCTGATCACCCCCCCAAGATATCTGTCCGTCCGTCCGTCCGTCCGGTGCAGCGAGCCGGGGCCCCACCTCAGTCAGCCCTTCTCTTCCCGGCCGGAAAACTTCAAAGCTGGCGGGGGGGTCGAGAAGAAGAACCGCGACCCCCTCCCGGGCAAGTGGGCGAGACTTCTCGCCCAACTGCTCCTTGGCCGAGGCCGGCCGGGACCCCCACCAGGCGAAGAAGCAGCCCCCCCCTGCCGGGGTCGTCGGAGACTCGGCCTTGGGGGAGGGGCGCAGGGGGAGGGAGGCAGTCCTACCACAGACGGGGAGGGGGGAAGCAGCGCCTCTGCCCTCCCCTTCCCCAGGGAGCCACAAGTAGCCGAGATCAACCCCTACCCGCTGAACCAAGACCCAACTTTGCCGACACCGCCCCCCCCCCGTGCCCAGCCTTTCTGTTCGACTACACCGCCCAGCGGGCGCAGCCAAGGCGGGCGCTGATACCCCTGAGCTCCCCTCCCTCTGGGGCCCCGCGGAGCCCCCCACTCTGCCCCTCCCCTCCGGAGCCCCGACTGACGCGCTCTCCAGCCTCGCCCGAGCCCCCGATTCGGCCGCAGCTCGGCTCTCCCGCGGATGATGGGAGTTGGAGTGCTGGCGGCGGGAGCCCGGGCGCGGGGCTGCTGTCCGCCGGAGGGCAGCGACTTACAGCCGGTCTCGGCCATGATCGCCTCCTGCTCCGGAACCGGCCGCTGCTGCTGCGAGCCCTGCGCGCCCATGGCGACCCCCAGCCTGGGCGAGGCTTCGGACTGGCCCGGGAAGCGGAGGCGTCGCCGCGGGGTCGGGTGGGGTCGGGGGGCGGCCGGACCGCCCCGCTCCGCCCCTCTTGGCTCCCAGCCCCGCCAGGCTGCTCCCGGCTCCAGTTACGGCCGCCCTCCGCCTGCGGGGCTCCTGCGCCCCCTTCGGGGGGCTCCGCACCTCGGGCGACCTCAGCCCCGTGACGGCTCCGGGGTGGGTGGGGGTCGCATGGAAAGAAACGGGGGATCCGGCCCGCTTGGCGTCTGAGCAGAGCCCAGGGGCAGCCCTGCAGTCAAGGGGAGGGGGTCTTCTGGGGGGGGGTTTTCCACCGGGGGGGGGATGGCTGGAAAGAGGGCGCCTCCCAGCCCACAAGTGAAAGACGGGGGGGGGGGGTGTCGAAAAACAGGGGTTGCCGGAAGAGATCCGTGGCTGGGGATCTTTGCCCCTCCCCCAGGCTGGTGACAGTAGGCAAAGTTTAGGGAAAAGTTGGATAATTCTAAAAAGGGTAGAAGAAAAGAGGAAGAGAAGATAGATATCCCCTCTCTCTCCTAGCACTGAGGATGTTACCTAGTTTGGTAATGAAATGTCTGCAAGAAAACCAAGCACCCCCTCCCCAGTCCTCCTCCCCCCCCCTCCTTTCCACAACCCCCCTCCCTTCTAGCACTAGTGATGTTCCCTAGTTGGGTCATGAGATGTCTGCAAGAAAACAACCAGCCCAGAGAGTACTCAGGACCCCACAGAATTGCACTGGATCCCCTGATGGGGTTAACTCTTCCCATAAGCCACAACAGAAGACAACCCTTGTTCTTGGATTGGGTTGGTTAGAGAGGAGGCGGAACCAAAGAAAACACACACACACACACACACACACACACACACACACACACACACACACTCGCTCGCTCGCGCGCAGGAACCATTTGCTCAACTAAGTCATTCCCAGCAGCGGGATAAGTGAGTAGCCTGGACAAGGCTAAAAAACTTGCACACCATTTACACCAAATCTTTGAAAAACTTTGACTTAACCTCATGTGCCCAGCCACCCACTCGGCCACACGGCAGGCAATCAGAACAGAAAATATCAGACGGATTGCAACTTGCGCAAAATAGATATTTTATATAACTTTCTTTTGCGAGAAAACACACTTTAAAAAACTCCACACAGAATAGTTACAGAAGCTGGGAAAAGATACATCAAGAGAACACATAAATATACACAAAAACAACATAAATATTTATATAATTATCTCCAGGAGGCTTTTCTTTTTTCCTTTTTTTTAATACTGTACAATATTTTTGTTTGTTTTTAAATTAAAAGAAGAAATATAGGGGAGGGAGAGATAATTTAAAAAGAACTGCTGCCCTCCTTGGGATGTTTAAAATTCTTGATTTTTACCATCCGAGGCTACACATTTAAATTTTTTGAAATAAACCAAAAAGGCAGCTGCCACGGGGCTTCAAATTAAATTAAGATGACTCTGTTGCTATATAAGCGATGCTTTAAAAGTAGGATTCTGTCTCTTCATACTTCGGTTTTCATTCCAAAAAATGCTCACTCTTTTTTTGGGGAAAAAAATCTTAACTTTTCCATAACTGGCGAAAAGAAAATGGTAAGGTCCCTTCTCAAAAAACAAAACCGCCCCAAAATGTTGAAACAAAATTAACACAATGGACAAGCAACTTACAACGTGCGCACAAGTTTTTATGTAAACGGCCACAGATTCTATTGGTTGCAGTTGCTGAAATTTTATAGAAAAGCACTTAATGCAAGGGAAAAACCGAAGCCCTTCGTAGTAATTCTTCATCGTCCAATTGGGGTTCAAATTCCCATCCTCCCCTCCACACCCAGGGAACTCTAAGGCAGGGGTGGGAGGTTCCAGATCAGCGGAATCTGAGTTGTTTTTCTTTGATTTCTTTCCACAATTCCATTTTTGATTCTGACCCTGAGATCAAGCAACAGAAAACACATGCAAACTAGGGATGCAAGCCTGCTAAGAATTAAGGACCTGGGTGCCTCTGAGCATATCCAGAGCTCAGGAACGTTTGATTCAGTACCAGAACCAATCGCAAGCTCTTCCCGAAACGTGTTTACCCATTGCAACGACAAACGCTTCCCTCTGCAAATTGTCCACTGCCAGTCCAAGGTGGATCGATCTTCTCTTGAAAAATTATATATATTTTAATGGCTGAGAAGGACCGTCCCGAGCTAGATTGCAGAACAAACATTTGGTTGAGCCAAAATCTTCTGCAGGTCTAGAGCGGGTCAGTGTAGGGTGGCTTTCGGGGAAATACAGAGGTCATCAAGCCGGACAAGAAATGATGGTGGGGGTCTCTCCAGAGAAAACAGCTCTAGAATCTGTTGCTTCCTGGTGCTGCCCTCGTGTGGCAAAAGGTGGCATAACCAGGGAGAAGCCATTTTCAGACGGGCATGGCTTGGTCAACGCACCATCAGCAAAAAATATTTATTTACTTTATTAGACTTCTATGTGCCTACAGGTAGTCCTCGACTTACGACTAGAATTGAGGCCCAAATTTCTGTTGCAAAGCGAGACATTTGTTCAGTGAATTTTGCCCCATTTTATGACCTTTCTTGGCCACAGACGTTAAGGGAACCGCTGAATTTGGATCAGGTGACCCTGGGGAGACTGCAGCGGTCGTAACTGAAAAATGGCCCTAAATCCCTTTTTTCAGTGCCATTGTCACTTCAAATGGTCACTAAGCGAGGACTACCTGTAATTGCCTTCATTTCTAACACTGCATATTCCTGAGCTGGCCCTGCCGTTTCTTGGTCACCAAACCAAACTTTTCTGCTTCAATCAAATCAAATCAAAGGCAGAGCTGGAATCTAATGCTGTCCTTTAGACTGCAGGGGTCCGCAACCTTGGCAACTTCAAGACTTGTGGACTTCAATTCCCAGAATTCCTCAGCCAGCTTTGCTGGCTGAGGAATTCTGGGAGTTGAAGTCCACAAGTCTTGAAATTGCCACGGTTGAGGACCCCTGCTTTAGAGCTTTCTGTCCCAAGCAATGTTTTTCTTTTTCTAGTGGACCAGGAAAAATCCCACCGGACTGACACCAGAAAAAAGAAAAGAAAAAAGAATTAAGCGTCACAAAAACCAACTTCGGTTCCAGCATTTATGTAGGGAAAGGACCTGCCTTTTATCCCCATTCAGAGAACCCTAGTGCAGTTTTATTTCTTTCTCATCTTCCTTTTTTCCCCAAATCAGCTTCTCTTTTTTCGCCCGAAAAAAAAAGACAAATTTCTTTGAAATCCGGCTCTCGCTTTGCATTTTTTTCTTCCAATCTCTTGGTCATTTCCGTTCCAGTCAGATCCAACAGTTCTGTCTCTTGTTCTCGATGCCAATAATAATAATAATATAATAATAATAATAACAATAACAACAATAACTATAAAAATAGCAGCAAGAATAAATATTAAATATCTTCCTTTAAAAAAGGAGTCTTTCTTATAATACTCTAGTGATTTCAAAAATAATTATTAGCACGTCGTTGACTGCTCCAGGAGTCCATGCAGTGTGCGCAATCTGTAAACATTCCTTTAGCTGAAAAGAATTAAAATAAAATAGTGGACAGAGGCCAGAGTCCGAGGCTCGGCAGGTGGATCTTCTTTAGACCTGGAAAAGAGCAGGGAAGAAATTAGAACATCCCACTATGGCAAAACATAGAAGAGCAGAGTTGGAAGGGACCTTGGAGGTCTTCTAGTCCAGCCCCCCTGCCCAACCAGGAGACCTTCTACCATTATGGACAAATGGCTGTCCAGTCTCTTCTTGAAAACCTCCAGTGATGGAGTACCCACAACTTCTGGAGGCAAGTTGTTCTCACTGTCAATGGGGATACAGAATAATAGAATTGGAAGGGACCTCGGAGGTCTTCTAGTCCAGCCCCCTATTCAAGCAGGAGATCTTGTACCATTCTGGACAAATGACCGTCCAGTCTCCTTAAAAAAAGTCTCTTGTCATCTGATGGGACTGGAGAAGTCACCCCTTGCTTCTCCAAATAAATGGGAGGGGGCTTCCTGTGCCTGCCCCGTTCCTGCCTGCCTGTCCTGAGGGAGACTGAAAATCTAGCGGTGCAGAATGGGGCAGGAAAAGGGGGGCTAGAACTGAAGCCTTCAAACTAGGAAGGTCCAGATTATCATTGCTGGGACGTCTTGGAGGAGGAGGAAATGGGACAGGGCAAAATTTATCAAAAGGAGTGGGTTAAATCTATCAATTTAATCAAAAAAAAAGCGCCCCATTCAATGTTGGTCAATGTCTAATTTAAGCAGGCCAAGATCAGGCCTTGCAACCATTTGGACTCCTCTATCACTTGTCTGCTTAAAATGGGTCTTAAAGGCCAGGAGAAGAGACCGCCAACACGACAGGTAGCCCTCAAGTTACCACTGCTCTAAGGTAACCTGAAGGATGCGAGAAGGGACAATGGCGAGGTGACCACTACCTCCCAAATTTATGGCCAGGTAAATCCTGGCTTGCGAAGAGGGGTTGTGGTCCTGAGGTCAGCTGGAGCACTCTCTTCCACTTCTGAAGGGACTGACCCTTCGTTGGCCATCTCCTCGAGACCACCCCCAACTACGACCTTCCACGTCCAGCCTGCCTCTAAGAGACCCAGCAAGGACCTCTTTGGACCATGCAACAGATGTTTCAGCCACGCCGGAGATGAGAACGTGGGACTTACCGTGGAAATTGTCCTCTCCTCGGTGGGTGGAGAGGGTTCTGGAGTAGGCCACTCTAGAACCTGTTCTGGCAGGCAAGAAAGCCACGGGGCAAACCAGCAAACTTAATATTGTGGTGGGTTGGGGTAAATTTGCTCTACTGTTGGGTTAAATCTACTGTTAAAATTAAACCTGGGCTGATGCCTTCAGATAAGTCCTCCTGTTCTCCTTCCCATGGAGAGAGAGGGCTCTCCTGGGAAAAAAATCTGAAAACTGACCTCAGCTTTTGAAGGTCTAGATCAGGGGTCCCCAACCCCCAGTCCATGGACCAGTACTGGTCTGCGGCATGCCAGCAACTGGTCTGCACAAACAAGCAAAGGCCCATCCGTGGGATGCAGGTAGCACACAAAACAACGCACTCTCCGGTCTGTGGAAAAACCACTCTCCCTGGTTGGGATGGGGGTTTGGGGTTGGGGACCTCTGGTCTAGATCTTCTGTGTGGATTTGAGCCCATCTAGATTCTAAGATTAGTCTGGATCTGCCTCTGAAAGACAAAACACCCCTGCCCCAATTTCAGAAGACCATCTAACCTATCTTCTCTACCACCAGAGGGGAATCATGGTTGCTAGGTCCCGTGGCTTTGCTTGCAGGAACACAAGAGAAGTGACCTAGTCCAGGCCACACAGCACCCACCGAGAGAGAACTGTAGGTTCATGCGGAGGTATTTTCCCAAACTTGCGCTGGATCCTGAAATATTGGTTAAGTATATATATACTGTATATATTTTTTGGAAGAGACCTTCCATTTCTCCGCTCCGATCCACACTTTTTACTCTACTCTGATCTGCAGCAATTAGATTCTTCCTCTGCTGCTGTAATATTTTTGGGGGGTGCAAGGAGATTAAACTGCCAGGGAAGGTGCCTAATCCAAGTTATCTCTTCAGGGACCACGTAGGAGCCAATCGCCAGCTCCGTTCAAGAGATGCCGTGCTGAAAAGGAAAAGTGCCACCTTGGCAAGATGGGCAGCAAACAAGCCTAATAAATAAAGGACTTTGGGGGTTTAGGCTTGTTATTTATGCAAACGAGGGTTCGTCCCATTGCGAATTCCTGCGCCAATGAAAATGAACTACGCCTGTTGGGTCTCACTTAACAATGATTCCTCCTGTTTTTGTAAAAACACAGCTAGCTGTTGCTTGGCCTGCTTCACAACAATCATCTGCAAGCGCAAACCACAGAGAATTGTGCAATGCATCAGATTCAATCTCAAAAAAATGTCACATTTTTCCTGGCAGCCTTCAATCGCTGAAGACAGGAGGGGAAGCTCAGCCCCAGATTCCAGTGTTGTTTTGGAGATCGAATCCAACTCTCAGCCGTCAAAGCAAGACTGAGTTGTATTAAACGAAGGAAAGCCCCCTTTTAACGCTTCCAGGGAGCCCCCCATGTGGGCTGCCTGTAGCAGGATGGCCAGCATCTCCTTTCCACCAAAATGAGTCCACTGGGGGGGGGGGGGCTCAACTGCCAAGCTGACCAGGAGCCAAACTCCCATCACTGCAAAACTCTGGTTTGCAATGAATGGCTTAAGCTTTCAAGTCCCAGAATTTATAATGACCTGTCAGCCTTTTCCGATATACAAAGCCAGGCCTAAAAATCACATGCTAGTCTTGCTAGCTCTTCCCAGTTTACAGCGGTGCCACTGTGGTGTAATTCTGCCTTTGCCCTGTCAGGCTGACCGGTTAAGGATGGCATTGGCTGACCGGTGGATGCAGAGATTTTTGTTCTCCTCTCCTGCCTCACAAGGTAGTTGTAAAGTCTTCTCCCTTCTGTACTCTTTGGAGAAAGGGACTGAGGTGATGAAGGAGATGGAGGAGGAGAAGGTAGAAAACATAAATAGATGAAGGAGAAGGAGAAGAAGGAAGAAGAAGGAGGAGATAGATGGAGGAGGAGGAAGGAAGGGAGGAGAGAGAAGAAGAAGAGGGAAAAGAGAAGGGAGAGGATACAGATAAAAGAGAAGATGGAGGAGAAGATAGATGGAGGAGGGGAGGAGAGGGAAGAGGAGGAGAAAAGGAGAAGGAAGAGGACACAGATAAAAGAGAAGATGGAGGAGGAGGGAGAGTGGAGGAGAAAAGGAGGAGGAAGAGGACATAAATAAAAGAGAAGATGGAGAAGAAGGAGAAGATAGATGGAGGAGGAGGAGGAAGATGAAAAAGGAGGAGGAGATGGAAAAGGAAGAGGAGGAGGAGGAGGAGGAGGAGGAGAAAAAGAAAGAGAGAAGGAATTGACCTCAGGAATGGTATGAAAGAGCCCCTAAAGAAAACTTGGAGAAAAGATTTCCCCAAAGCCAGAGCTTGAAGGAAGCTGAAAGCCGCCCCTCCTTGACTGTTTAATAGAAGAGGGGCAGAGACTCCAAGAGACTGTCCGACTCCACTTATCCCAATTCAAGTACACTCCCCCTGCAGGGTCTCCCTCTTTTTTCTAGCCTCCTTTGAAAGGCTGAGATCGCCCTTCAGAGACTCCCAGAACCCCGGGGGGGGGGCAGCATCGGCCCATTACCTCTGTGGCGTAAACGCAGGGCTCCACCTGGCCGGGGATGATGTAGATGGGGTGGTAAGCACCGTCCTTCGGACACTCCGCAGCCACGGGCCAGCTGGGCTCCGACGGTTTGCTGCAGGGGAGAAAAGAGGCAGGCGGGTGGTGAGGACTCAGCGCTCTTCCCGCAAATCGGGGTCACAAAAGCTAAATCTGGGCAGGGTCTCTGCAGGGGCATCAAGAAGGAGGTCCCAGCCATGTGATGGAAACGCCGCTCCGTTTTACGTGCAGTTTCTCTGAACTATGACAAAAAAAGAGACAAGCTTTGCTCAACTCAGTAAGTAGGCTGTCATTAAACGTCCTTCCCGCAAATTAGACCTGATCCAGGATGTTTTTTCTCAAGCTTTGAGCCAGAGGCAGGGACTCCCTCCCTGCAGGGCACCCCAGCCAAACTTTCCTGGAGGTCTCCCGTAAACAGGATGGCCGATGGTCTGTTTCACCACCTCCTGGCTAGGAAAGGCTACGCCTCCTTTTCAAATATCTTTGCCAGGCACGAAAGGTCAGGTCCCCAGATGAAGATCCAATAAAACTGAAGCACTGCTAAGAGATTATGCCCAGGAATCTGCTCAACTAGTGGTGAGCACCTGGTTAGTTAGATCAAGGTCAGTGGCAATCAAGAGAGGTTGGATTTAGTTCTCTTGTAGCTACGTAGGGATTCTAGGCTGATGCCTCTCTTGACTCCACCTCCAGGTTCTGACATTCCAAGATGTGACTTCTGTGGTTGGTGTTAAGATTCTGAAGTGTAGGGAAGGGGGGAGGAGGAGGAGTAGTAGGAGGAGGAAGATTAAACATCTCACCCATGTTACCAGCAAGGACTATGCTGGGAAGAGGAACCAGTAGATCTGGAGGGCGCCAGGTTGGAGAAGGCCCTGCAAATACCTGCAATTGTTTGGCAGGCAACAAAGGAGCCAGACATTTTGACGCCATCATGGCGTGTAACAGATATCTACTCCGGCTCAGCATGCAAACACGAATTCTGAGCTTGAAGAGTTATATCTGAATGGATTTTCTTTTTTTTCAGATCAGGTTCACCTGATTCAAACACAGCACCTGGATTCTCCTCCAGAGTACGAGGCTGAAAATTATTTTCTGGTCACGTTCGAAACCTGGCTAACATGGGATGGCCCTTATCCCGACCCCCAAGTTCCTAGCTAAACATGGTCAAACCAAGATCGGGTGCCACTTACTTGTCCAGCTTCTTGCAAATGGACTCGTAACTCTGATCCAGGAGCTTCCTCTTGCAGTTGAACCGGTCCCTGTGGAACCGGGCCTCCTTGTTGGAAACTTTAAAGCAGCCGCGTGAAAGGAGGCAGTTGTCCCGGTCTCTGAAGTTGTTGACAGCCGCCAGGTCGTTGCACACGCGGCTTTTCAGAGGGTGAGGCCCATTCCTCATGTGCCGAAGCACCACCAGGATGGCGCAGGCCGCCAGCAGCAAGGTCAACAGCCCCAGAGCAAAGGAGACGGCCATGGCGGTGGGGAAGGGTCCCTCGGCCATCCATTGGCTGCTGACGGGCGTGGGCAGCTGGACGCGGAACTCGCAGCTGGAGCCCATGAAGCCTGCTGGACACTCACAGACGTGGCCAGAGAAGTGAGTGTAGCAGGTGCCGCTGTTCTGGCAGGGGCTGGAGATGCAGGCGTCCATGCGCACGCTGCAGTCCTTCCCCCCGTAGCCCAGGGTGCAAGAGCAGGAGTAGGAGTTGGGGCCGTCGATGCAGGTGCCCCCGTTAGCACAGGGGTTGCAGGCACAATCGTCGATATTCAGTTCGCAGCGGGAGCCAGCAAACCCCGGATAGCACTTGCAGAGCACACTCCGACCAAGGTCCAGGCAACGGGCACCTGATTGAAAGAAGGGAGAAGATTGCTAAGGTCCACTGACACACTTCTGGCTGTGGCTGATGTGCTGTCTGGGCCCTGGTCGCTGGGAGGAGAGGCAATACGGAATGTGTCACCACGTGGACCATCCACTCAGGACGCAACGCGGAAAGGATGGAAGGAGATTGTGCCTAGAGGTCCTCCACAAGGAAGAAGGTTCAACCTATTCCCCAAAGCACCTGAAGGCAGAGCAAGAAGCGACGGGTGGAAACTAATAAAGGACAGAAGCAACCAGGAAGTAACTAAGAAGAAATTTCCTGATAGTAAGAACAATTTGCCTCCGGAAGTTTACCATCACTGGAGGTTTTCAAGAAGAGATTGGATAGTCTGGAAGGGTACAGAGTAAAGATGTCCAATCTTGGCAACTTTAAGACTTGTGGACTTCAACTCCCAGAGTTTCCAGGTCGGACACCGGTGGTGTAGGGTTTCTTGCTTGAGCAGGAGGTTGGAGTAGAAGACCTCCAGGGTCCTTTCCACCTCTGTGATTGTGTTATTCTGTTATCTACGTGGAGTCCTGAGCTCAAGGAGACCATTGCTGGTTCTGACCTTGGACAAAGCTGCAGTTAATGGCTTAGACAGGAATCTGTCTACAATGGATCTAACAGTTAACGGAACCAAATGTAGGTTAGTCTATTGTATTGCCCGTAGCTACCTATGGTTGTGAAAGTGAGACCTTAAAAAAAGCAAAACAGGAAGAAAACGGAGTTGTTTGCGCTATGGTGCTGGAGGAGCCTCCTGCATTATGCCTTGGGCAGCAAAGGGGACTAACAAGCAAGTCCTGGAGCGCATCACACCAGGAACGTCATTGGAAGGCAAAATCATGAAACTGCGTCTCACTTATTTTGACCATGTCATATGGGACAATTCACTGGAGAAAGTAATGATGTTGGGAAAAGTTAGTGGCTGGACACTATGAAAGCTGACATAAACCAGAGCATAGAAAAACTCAAAGAAGCCATGCAAGATCAAAAGACGTGGCCTGACCCATAGAATTGTCACAACAAGGACTCAACTGAATGGATAACATCATCATCAGGACAATATGAGAAGCAGAGAAGGTGGGAAGACCCTGTACTTTTGCTGCAGGTACAGGACAGTTGGACATCAGGGTGGAGAACCTGGTGGCTTCTGGAAGGAACGGTTGCTGGAGATGCCCTTGAGGTGGACATCCATAATTTCAGGCAACGAGAAGAAAACAAAGGTGAGCTTTCTACAGAGGACCTCCCCTTAGAAGATTGGGTATCTGTCTGAAGCCCTCCCTGAAATAGGAACCGTTCCTCCTTGTTCCTAGGGAGATCCGTCACTAGGACACACGCCAAGATCAACCTAGGACCTTCTCCTTCACAGAAGGCAAAGCCACACTTACCATTCAAACAGGGGTTGTTGCTGCACCGATCTATCTTTTTCTCACAGTTGGAGCCGTGGTAGTTCAGTGGGCAGCGACACGTGTAGCCCCCGAAGTGTTTCTCCATGCAGGTCCCTCCGTTGAAGCATGGCCCATCGGCACAAGTCATGGCACTGATTTCACAGTTCTTGCCGTAGAAGCCCTGCGGGCAGGTGCACTTGTAGTCGTTCTCCAGATCCTGCAGAGGACGAGGAGGAGACCCACTCGTTAGGGCTTTCTGCCCAAGCTGGAAAGGTGGGAGAGGGCACGGGGGGGGGGGGGCTGGCTCCCGGAGAAACCAAATGAAGTCACTCTTGATTACAGTCCTAGACTATCCTGGAGAATAGCCAGTGAATAGTGAAATTGCTGCTCTCTCTCTCCCTCTTGCCCCCACCACCAACACCCCCACTCTGGGGGCACAAGAAGGCAGGAGACCAAGAGAGAGCCAATCTAGAGCTCAGGATGAATTTCCTGACCACAAGAACAATTAATCAGTGGAACATCCAGCCTCTTGAAATTGTGGGTTCTCCAACACTGGAGGTTTTCAAGGAGATATTGGACAGCAATTTGTTCAGGACAGTATAGGGTCTTCTGCTTAAGCAGGGGGTTGGACTAGAAGACCTCCAAGGTCCCTTTCATCCCGATGGTGTCCTCTTAGTTTGAATGTCCCTGAGGCAGCAAAAGATGAAAAAGAGGATACACGGAGAGCAAAATATATGTCAAAGCAAGCTCTGGATTCAGCCCACTTTCCCCACCTCAAAACTCCAGCACTGTCGGACAAACATATAACCGTAGCACTGATAATGTCACCTAGCTGGGTCATGAAATGTCTACAAGAAAGCAACCAAGCTCAGAGAGCACCAGGGACCCCGCAGCCCTCCTCTTCCTCCATCACTCTACAACCCCCTCCCCCTTCTACTGCTGATGGTGTTATCTAGTTGGGTCGTGAAATGTCTGCAAGGAAACAGACCAGTATTCCTGCTTGCATTTTGCTGACGCAGCACGTAGCAGCCTGCCAGCCTCCTTTCACATCAACTCCTGACCCAATTCTATTGCCAAATAAATAAAACGGTGACCTAATTCTATTTCCAAGGGGTTCTAAAACAATTTAATACATTTAAATAAACTGTCTAAGGATTCTGAAAGAATTTACCTAGTTGGGTGATGAAACGTCAGCAAGAAAACCACCCAGCTCAAACATCACCAAGGACTCCGCACGCCTCCTCTACCTCCTCCTCTCCCAAACCCCACTCTCTTCTAGCACTGATGATGTTACCTAGTTGGGTGATGAAACGTCTGCAAGAAAACCACCCAGCTCAGAGAGCACCCAGGACCCTTCATTTCAACCCTGAGCTACAAATATTCTATTGGTGTAACCTCTACTCGGTTTAAGGGTTCCTTCTGCTCCCCCAAATTCAGAGCCTGGCTGAAGAATTGCAAAATTTTCTCCCTCCCAAGGGTGGCATGAAGGGGATGGCCAAGCACGTCACACACGTGTTCCCAGAGAGAAGGGCAGGAATCGGTGAACATCCACACATTTTCTGCAAACCTCACCCCTCCGAAACCAAGAAAAGTGAACATCCCACAGGCTTATCAGAGAGGGCGGGGCAAAGTCATAGCAGTCGGCTACGTTGGGGTCCCCCTCTTCCCAATTCAACACCCCCTAACCCCCGATTGAATGAGGCAGGGAGGGGCTGTTCCCTCGGCTTGTGCTTTGGTCTGAAATACATCCCTTTTTTTGAGCATCTCTTGCAGGTTGATTTCTTGGGTGGGGGAGAAGCTGCTCCCCATTTTTCATCTCCTCCCTCCCCTTCCTTCCAAGCAGGGCTTTCAGTTCCAGGGCAGAAGGAACTCAGGTAGAGATCCACTTGGAATAAAGGACCCCACAGGATCAGATTGCCCGGAAATTAGAAAGCTGCTAAGAAGAACCGGGAATTGCACCGGGACACAAGTCAGCATCCCGGATCCCATGCATGTCCCTGGACAAAGAGCCAGTTCTTGCAACATCTGAGCAACGCCCCAAAGGGGCCCTGGCTGCCACTGAGAGTGAGAACAAATAGCCGGTGGAACGACTTGCCTCCAGAAGTTGTGGGTGCTCCATCACTGGAGGTTTTTAAGAAGAGACTGGACACTCGCTTGTCCGGAATGATGTAGGGCAGGGGTGTCCAACCTTGGCAACTTTAAGACCTGTGGTCTTCAACTCCCAGAATTCCCTAGCCAGCCTTGGACTAGAGCAGAAATCTCCAACCTTGGCAACTTGGACTTCAACTGCAAGGAATGTAACTCCTCCACCATTCGGTCAGAACTGAAGAAGCTTCTTGGATGAGAAGCGAAACGTCGTCAAAGAAAAACAAGACAGTCCAGTTGCCTCTTGGGACAACAGCTGGGTCTTCACTGGGATTTCAACCGGACCCTGCCTTTTGCAATCTGCCGGGAGCAGGGTGGACCAAGCATTTTTGCAAACTTGTATATGCAGACCTCGACTTACGACAGCTCGTTTAGTGACCAAAGTTACAACAGCACTGAAAAAAGTGGCTTATGACTATTTCACACTTACGACCGTGGCAGCATCCCCATGGTCGTGTGATCAAAATTCAGATGCTTGGCAACTGGCTCCTATTTATGACGGTCGCAGCGTCCTGGCGTTATGTGATCCCCTTTTGCGATGTTCTGACAAGCCAAGTCAATGGGGGGGGGAGCCAGATTCACTTAACAACCGTGTTAATAACTTGACAACTTCAGTGATTCACTTAACAACTGTGGTGAGAAAGTTTGTAAAACGGGGCAAAATTCCCTTAACTGTCTTGCTTAGCAGCCAAAATTTTGGGCTCCACTGTGGACATAAGCTGAGGACCACCTGTACAATATGCCTTTCCTTCCTCCCGTCTCCTGTTCTTTCGTTTGGGTCCCAAAATGCTGGCAATTGATTGTTCAGCTGAAAGATGCTGCTGGTTCCAGGGGAGCCTTTCAATTTCGCTCCAGCTGCTCAGACTTTCCCTCCGTCTGCCTTCTCCCAACCCCAGTGCAGCATCAGGAGGGGAAAAAACCCCACATCTGGCCCAGGACACCGCTGTGGTGGGGCACACCAGCTGTTCCTGGCTCTCTTGCATGGCTCCTTCTTCCTGCCCCTCCACAATTTTTTTATCTGCAAACCTCTGGGGGGGGGAGGTTCCCTCCACCTGTATCCCAAATCGTCCCCTGGCCTTTCCCCACAGAGCCCTTCCAGATGTGCTTGGCCCTCCCACATTACTTAAAATTTGGACACTGGTGGTATATAATCTCCTGCTGGAGCAGGGGGCTGGACTAGAAGACCTCTGAGGTCCTTTCCCATTCTTGTTATTTTCTGCTAAAGACGCACGAGGGGAGGGGAGGGAAGGGAAGGGGAGGGGGTCTGCCTTTCCAGCACCCCATGTCATGATAAAATATAGATTTACTGTATATCTTTGTGACCCCGCCCCCACTGTACAGGTAGTCCTCAACTTACAACAGTCTGTTTAGTGACCAAAGTTACACCAGGACCGAAAAAAGTGACTTATGGCTGTTTTCACACTTAAGACCATTGCAGCATGTGATTAAAATGCAGACGCTTGGCAACTGACTCTATTTATGGCAGTCACAGTGTCCCAAGGTGAGGGGATCCCCTTTTGCGAGCTTCTGACAAGCAAAGTCAGTGGGGGGGGGAAGCCTGATTCACTTAACAACCGTGTTACTATCTGAACAACTGCAGGGATTTGCTTAACAAGTGTGGCGAGAAAGGTCGTAAAATGGGGCAAAGCTCACTTAACTGTCTGGCTTAGCTACAAAAGTTGGGGCTCCGTGGTGGTCATAAGTCAAGTCACCTATTGACAGCAAGCTGACCTGGCTTTAGATGCTATGATCTGGATAGCCATTTGTCTGAAATGGGATAGGGTTTCCTGCCTGAGCAGGGGGCTGGACTAGAAGACCTCCAAGGTCCCTTCCAGTTTCTATTCTATTCTATTCTATTCTATTCTATTCTATTCTATTCTATTCTATTCTACTCTACTCTATTCTTGGTGAAAATAACTGGATCCCTTTTTAAGAGAGAATAGTCAAAACCCAGTGCAGCCTTGAACAGGCCGAGACCCCCTTCATACAGACTGGCTACCTCTCTTTGCAGTCAGGACCCCCAAAATTTCTCTGCTCCCTGGAAGAAAATCTGAAGCATTCTGTTCCTAGGACAACAGCAACACCCCAACAGGGTGGTCTTCCTCTGCTCTTTGCCCCTTCTCCGGAAGGCCACGAGGCTCGTGTTCCATTAACTGCCTGGTTTAGTGCCATGGGGTCTTTTATAGATACCCAGTTTAGTGGGCTCCAAAGCTCCAAGAGAGTCAACACAACCTTGCCTGGCCTGTGCCCAACACACCCACAAGACTTAGGCTGCTTCAGGCCCTCCGAGTTTCCCAAATAAACATCTCTGGAGAGTCTCAACCATCCAGGTCAGGATTCTCCCAAATATGCTTCCCCCACCCACCCACCCAAAAGTCAATTAGACTTCCTTGTTTCTTTTTTCCCCTTTGAAAATGGTTCGCTTCTCATCCAAGAGGCTTCTTCGGTTCTGGTGGGGAATGGAAGGATTTATATTCTTTGCAGTCATCTGGCCGTTAGTACCCTTTCTGAGAGCAGAGCCGTGATAGGTAATCTGGATAGAAAAGCCTTCCAGAGTGGGAAGTCCTCCCATCTGAAACTTGAAAAGGTTGAGAAATGCTGGGATGCTTTTCAGGGGTGGACGGTCTAAAATGACCTCCGGAGGTTGTGGCTGCTCCATCACTGGAGGGTTTCAAGGAGAGATGGGACAACCATTTGCCTGAAATGGTGCAGGAAGATAAAGATAGCCAATTTGGGAACTTTTTAAGACTTGTGGACTTCAACTCCCAGAATTCCCCAGCCAGCTGTGCTGGCTGGGGCATTCTGGGAGTTGAAGTCCATACCTCTTCAAGTGGCCAAGGTTAAGAAACACTGGACTAGGGCAAAAGCCTCCAACCTTTCACAATTTTAAGACTTGTGGACTTTAGCTGTAGCTTTGCTGGCTGGGGAATTCTGGGAATTGAAGTTCCAAGGTTGGACACCCCCGGTTTAGGATCTCCTGCTTGAGCAGAGGGTTGGACTAGATGACCTCCGAGGTCCCTTCCAACTCGGTTATTCTGTTAAATCTGCTAAAAAGCAGAAGGTAGCCGGGAAAGCCAGACTCATCCTTCAAACCCCAACCCATAGATGGCCCTAGGGCAGTGGTTCTCAACCTGTGGGATGGGACCCCATTTGGGGTCGAACAACCATTTCACAGGGGTCGCCAAACAACGCAATCCGCCATTTCCCCCCCCCCCTTTTCCTTAGCTGTGCTACTCCCTTTTATTCTATTGGCTTTTGAAAGCACGGCTGGCTCAGGAATTCTGGGAGTTGAAGTCCATACCTCTTCAAGTGGCCAAGGTTGAGAAACACTGGACTAGGGCAAAAGCCTCCAACCTTTGACAATTTTAAGACTTGTGGACTTTAGCTTTAGCTTTGCTGGCTGGGGAATTCTGGGAATTGAAGTTCCAAGGTTGGACACCCCCGGTTTAGGATCTCCTGCTTGAGCAGAGGGTTGGACTAGATGACCTCCGAGGTCCCTTCCAACTCGGTTATTCTGTTAAATCTGCTAAAAAGCAGAAGGTAGCCGGGAAAGCCAGACTCATCCTTCAAACCCCAACCCATAGATGGCCCTAGGGCAGTGGTTCTCAACCTGTGGGATGGGACCCCATTTGGGGTCGAACAACCATTTCACAGGGGTCGCCAAACAACGCAGTCCGCCATTTTCCCCTTTTCCTTAGCTGTGCTGCTCCCTTTTATTCTATTGGCTTTTGAAAGCACGGCTGGCTCAGGAATTCTGGGAGTTGAAGTCCACGAGTCATAAAAGAGCCAAGGTTGATTACCCCTGAGCTAAACAAACGGGCCGAATCTCCCAGAATGGAGCTGGAAAATCCCAGGGGACCCACTTCAGTCAGGATGGGGACCCCAAATAAATACACAGGTATAGGACACGTGAAAAGCACCTGGAATAGCTGAGCGAGATCCAGCACCGTGATGCAGCGACAGAAAAGGCGAATGCGATCGTCAGCTGCATCAAGGCAAGCCCCGTTTCTAAATCACAGGGTCCTTTGGCTTGGCGTGCTGGTCTTGATGCCACCTGTTCATCGCCCACTTTTCAACTCAGTGCCAGTTAAGAGGAAGGCCGTGAGGATGAGGAGGGGCTGGAATTAAGCCTTGTGAAGGAGGGGGGAACCGCACCGGGGGGGGGGGGAGGAACAGCACTGAGCAGCAACACGCAGCTGGTGACTTTGGGCCAGTCATTCTCTCTCAGCCAAGCCCCCCTCACAGGGTTGTTGTTAAAGGCAGAATAGGAGGAGGATTAGGTGCAAATAAGGTTAGGTTCAAATTATTGATAAATAATAAAGGTGGGATAAAAATTGAAATAAATAAAGAAGCCACAAGACTTTTTGCTAGCCATCCTTGATTACCTGCAGACTACCAGTCACTGGAGGAAAAAGGATCAGGAGGAGAAAAAAAGAAAAGAAAACAACAGAAAAGAAAAGAAAGAAGGAAGAGAAGAAAGAAGAAAAAAGAAAGAAAGAAAGAAAGAAAGAAGAAAGAAGGAAGGAAGGAAGGAAGGAAGGAAGGAAGGAAGGAAGAAAGAAAGAAAGAAAGAAAGAAAGAAAGAAAGAAAGAAAGAAAGAAAGAAAGAAAGAAAGAAAGAAAGAAAGAAAGAAAGCTTGAGGGCAGGGGGGAACACGCCACTTCAGAAGTCTGAGGGTGGCTGTAACCGGAACAGGAATCCCCCCCTCCCAAACCTCCCTCCCTTAAGCCAAGTTTCTATTTTGTCCCCTACCGGACCTTCTTCTGGGACATTTTGTTTTTTTCCTATATCGAGTACAGCCCTGGTGCATTACTTAGTGGTCTCCCATCTCTTCATTCCCCCTTCTGGCCTTAAGAACAGGCGGAGAAACCCACCAACGATGCATATCAGCAGAAAAGAGGCAGGGTCACTTGGGCAAGGGACAAGGTGAGGCAGAGGTACCCAAGCAAGGTGCACCTACGGCGCATGGACACAAGCACTCCAGCAGCGAGTGCCAATTCTTTTCCAGATGTTGGGCTCATTCTCATGTCAGGGTGTGGAGCTCAGCTAACCGGGTGCCATAGGGCGGCCGGGGCCGTTAAGCCGGGATACTGTGCAGAGTCACTCTGGAAAGCTGCCAGGGACCTACCTGAAGTTTCCACCGGGCAGAAGTTCCCCAAATAAAACAAGTGTGGGGCTTCTCCAGAAGGTGAGGCCCCACCTCTCTGGCTGGGGGTCAGGCCGCCTGGCCATCCCTCAAATGTCCTCCCTCTCCTCCCCATCCTTCTTGCCCCCAACCCTTAGGAAAAGCTGGGGTCCCGTGGCGGGATTTGGGTGCCACGGGAAAAGCTTGTGCTTCTGACCCCCAATTTCCAGCTCGGTTTCCAAGTGAGGAATTCGGGGAGGCAAAGCAGCCCCCAAACCCTTGCAAGCTCCAAGCCGTGTTCCTTCTGGACCCCGAAGAGACACTCGCTTCCCACTGGCTGCCCTCTCCAGTCCTTGGGGCAGGGACAATCGTGGGATCTGAAACCCCACCTCCTCCTTTCCTGGCGCCCCCTTCAAAATGCTGAGAGACGCGGGGGGGGGGGATTGTTTCAGCTCCCCAGCCCTGCCTCTAAGGCAGCGTTTCTCGACTTCGGCAGCCTGAAGAGGTAGTGGACTTCAACTCCCAGAATTCCCCAGCCAGCAGGCATGAATTCTGTAAATCTACTTATTTGTTAAATATACCCATCATCCATCCTGCCAAGAGGCAACTCTAAGTGGCTACAGTGGAAGTGCACTGGCTGGGGAATTCTGGGAAATGAAGTCCTCCCATCTTAGAACACGCTGGCTGGGGAATTCTGGGAAGTCCACACCTCTTCAACTCCCCCAGGTTGAGAAACATCGCTCAGTCAATGTCCAGCGGTCATCATTTAGGCCTCTGAGCCTCCCCGTCCTCCAGAGACCCCTCTCAAGGGTCAGGATAGCCAGGGGCCAATTGGGGGGCCTGGCCCAAACCCCCAGCTTTGAGGGCTTGCACAGGGGGGTGGGTGGGTGGGAAGGAGGGTCAGAGGGCAGGGGGGGGTCAGGGCAATACTGACGCTGCAGCTGCCTCCATTCCTGCAGGGACTGCTGTCGCATTCGTTGACCTCCACCTCGCAGCTGGTGCCCACAAAGCCCGGCGGGCAGGAGCAGGTATAGCTCCCTTGGCCCGTGTTGGCGCAGGTGGCCCCGTTCTGGCACGGGTGGTGGTTGGTGCAGTAGTTGAGGTCCTGGTTGCAGAAGAGCCCCCCCCAGCCTTCCTGGCAGTTGCACTGCCAGGGCTGCAGGCAGGTGCCGTGCAGGCAGCCGGGGTAGCGGACGCATTCGTCGCAGGAGGGGCCCTGCCAGCCGATGCGGCACTTGCACTCGCCGGGCGTCTCGCAGTAGCCGTGGCTGTGGCTGCACTCGGCCAGGCAGATGGCTGCAAGGGAGGGAGGAAAGAAGGAAGCGAGCGGGGGGGGGGGACATTGGAGGGGGGGCAGAGAGAGAGAGAGAGAGAGAAAGAGAGTGGGGCCAGTGTTGCTTTTCCTGCTGGGGAGGCAGCCGTTGTGCCAACCTTGGGCACTGCTACCCAGCTCCAACTGTGCCAGCCTGCCCCCCCCCCCAAAAGCAAGAGACCCTCGGGTGGCCTGGCTGGGCTGGACCATGTGCCCCCTTGTTTCTTGGGAGCAAAAGTGGAGGTCCTGGGGAGAAGGGGGGGCACAGCCCCACATGTAATCCATCCACCCACCGGCCCCCTCCCTCAGTGGAGGGCCTTCCCAGGAACAAAGGACCCTGCAAGCAGCTCCCCTGACCCTCCCTAATTCTCTCCCAGTTGCAATCTCAGGCAACTTTGCTGCAGCTTGGACAGATGGAGCGATCTCCAGGCTCGGCTGAGTAGCAGATGGATATTCTGGAGGGAGGGGTGGGGTGGGGGGTCAAAAGAAGTGACCACTTTTTGCTCCTAAGAGGGAAGGGAGGGATGGTTTGGGCTGCCTTGGCCTGCTTTCAAACTCCAGCCAGCCCAGGATATCCCGTTCTCTAAAGAGAGTCGCCCGGTGGTACCATTGGGCGATCTCCTGCTCATGATCCATGGGGCACCCCATGGAAGTCGGGATGTCCTTTTGGAAGAAAGAACATTTGGAGACTGCAGTCCTGGGTTTGCTTGTGTTTCCTGCCAAACATGGGGAGAAGAGAACGGTCCTATTTTGGGGGGACCCTGTCTTCATGGGGTCTTTCCTGGGCTAAAATCTGGCGTGTCTTCAGGCAGCGATGTCCAAAACTTGGCAAATTTAAAGACCTGCTGGCTGAGGAATTCTGGGAGTTGAAGTCCACAAGTCTTAAACTTGCCAAGTTCGGAGACCCCTGGTCTAAGGACTCTATTGGGTCTGGGGGCTTTGTCTCAGGGTCCAATTGGGAGCAGGCCAGGAAGCTGAAGCCCCTGGAGGGGTGGGCTGCCCCTTCCTCGCAGGCGCCCCCTCCCAGCTACTCACGTTCTGAGCAATAGTCGCCCTGCCATCCCACCAGGCAGATGCGTTGGCCCAGCTCGTCACAGGCATAGTGGCCGAACGGGTCGTCCCGGGGCCGACAGTAATCGGAGCAGCTCTCCCCGTAGTAGTGCTCGTCGCAGGTGACGTGGTAGGAGTAGCGCAGCTCGCTCTGATCCCCCAGCTGCACGTCTTGAGACCACTCCTCACCCACCGCCAGGCGCCGTCGGGTCGCCAACCGGCTGATCAACCTCTGGGCATCTTCTGGGCAAAGAAAGACAGGAGGGTCCGCAGACCCTTAGAAAGGCAGCTAGAGACCCCACCGGAAAGTAACTAACAGCCTCTAAACCAGGGGTCTTCAAACTTGGCCCTTTTATGACTTGTGGACTTCAACTCCCAGAATTCCTCCGCCAGCCCTGAGGGCTGGCGGAGGAATTCTGGGAGTTGAAGTCCACAAGTCATAAAAGGGCCAAGTTTGAAGACCCCTGTTCTAAACTAATGTTTCCCAACCACTGCAACTTTAAGATCCGTGGACTACAACTCCCATAGTTCCCCAGCCAGCCTTGGAAATGTTCATTTCAAAACTTGCTAGGAACAGAAAAGCTGTTTTTATGCCCGCAATTTAGTTCCCCTTGCAACAACTTTTTGCAACTCGCCTTGGCAGCAGTCAGGCGAACCCTTTTTACTGTTTGATCACAAAGAGTGAGTGTGAAAGACCCACAAAGGGGGCGGATCCGGCTTACCTGTGGATGGCTCTCCTGATTCAGCCCTCCAGGATTCAATAATAAGGGAAAAAGTGCCCTGAAAAGAAGGAAAGAAAAGGGGGGGGGGATTAGAAAATCCTGAAAAGAGGAAAGAGACACGTCACAACAATTCAGAGGTGTTAACAAGGGTTCTGCAATAATGAGTCAAAATGCTGCCTTTTAATAGAATAACAGAGTCGGAAGGGACCTTGGAGGTCATCTAGTCCAACCCCCTGCTCAAGCAGGAGACCCTCTCCATTACAGACAAATGGCTGTCCAGTCTCTTCTTGAAAACCTCAGGTGAGGGAGCACCCACAACTTCTTGTGGCAAGCTGTTCCACTGGTTGATTACTGTCAGGAAGTTCCTCCTTAGTTCCAGGCTGCTTCTCTCCTTGATGAGTTTCCATCTGTTGCTTCTTGTCCTGCCTTCTGGGGCTTTGGAGAATAGCTTGTCCCCCCTCTTCTTTGGGGCAGCCCCTCAAAAATTGAAGTCCACAAGTCTTAAGGTTGCCAAAGGTGGACAACTGGGAAGTAACCACACAAAATTGCACTCTACACAAGACAGAGTGGAGACATCTACTTTGGGCATGCCCCACTAGGGGGCAGCACCTCACCACCTTCACCGAAAGGTAAACCGAGTCAGACCAAGTAACTATCAAGATGTGGGGGGGACCACTAAAAGACACATCCCCGTCAAGACTTAATGAAGTTTTTCTCAACAAGCCATTAAGATTAAGATTTGCCACTCAAGAAACGGCAAGCCACTCTTGGCACACGGCAAAGAAAATATCCAAGTCGCCTGAAGTTGCCAGAAGCCTGGAAGGAGAGGGTGTCAATGCCTAGCTGGGAAACTGAGGATTTGCACAAATCCAGTGTTAGACAAGTGAAAACCGCCACACTGTGAAGACGCCCCTCTAAACAAAGGAATCAGCAGCTTCCAAGAGTGCACAGAACCACACACACACACACATTCTACAGCAAAACCAACCTTGGGACTTTTGATGCCTAAATATTCTCTTGTCAATTTCTTCTCTCTTCCCCCCCCCCCACCTTCTTTTCCAGGGGCTGAGGTCAAAAAAGGAAGCAGGGGATTTTATTTATTTATACTCTGGCCTTTGTTATTTTTTACAAAATAACTCAAGGTGGCAAACATCTCTTAACTTCCTCCTCCTCCTCCTCTTCCCACAACAACAACAACCCTGCCAGGTGATGGGGTGAGAAGGATTGATTGGCCCAAAGTCTCCCAGCTTTCTTGCCTAAGACAGGACTAGAACTCCCAGCCTCCTGGTGATGGGTGCAAAGTCACCCAGATGGCTTTCTTGCCTAAGGCTGGAGTAGAACTCCCAGCCTCCTGGTGATTGGCCCAAAGTCACGCAGCCGGCTTTTTTGTCTAAGCCTTCAGGGCAGAACAGGAAGTTGAAATGTTAGCCCATCCCCAATGAGCATTTGGAACCCCCCCCCCAATTATGCTATGAGGTACGGGCAGGGCCTATGACCCCCAAGCTTTGGAAGAGGAAAATTAAGAAATATGCTGACTTTTCCAAACAGTGGGAAGACCCACCTCCCATCTCGCCTTCCCCTCTTCCAACTTCTCCGTTGCACATAGAAGTACGTACGATCCACACATTCCAAGCCAGGAAAACACCCCAAACTGAAGGACAATCAGCCACGCATGAGAAGCGATAGGAACCACACGGAAGCAAGGAAACGGGAGCAGGAAAGGAGGACAAATGGGGGGGGAGCAACACAGTCCCAGATCCAGAGTCCTTGGATACGTGCGGAGCAGCACATAAAGTTCATAATCAATCAATAAATAAAATGAAACACCCTGGGGTTCCACGTTTGCTGCAGGAGACACCAAAGAAGACAAGCCCAGATCTGGGAGGGGGGAGACGGCGGAAGGGGTCCCTCACCGGCCACTTGAAATGGAAGGGGACACGGATGAGTCCGCTGGCAGCCACGGCATGACGGTCCGCAAGGACGATGTTGCTCAGGGCTGCCCCAAAGGTGCAGGGGGGCTCCGGGGAGACCACAGCCTGGGCGTGTTTGAGGCAGACCCGGAAGAAGAGGTGGCAGGGCTGAGCCCCCCGGCAGAATTTCTGGGGGTTGCTGGTGGTGAAGGAATGCACCTGGAGTTCAAAGACCCCCGCCGGTTCGGCCTGTTTGGGGAGAAGAGAAAATGGAAACATTTCAGCTATGTGTGGTTATCCTTCCTCCACCAGTCATCCTTCTCTTCGTCCACGGGGCAGAGGGCAAAGGCACGCCCCTGTGGGCAGACCACTGGGGGGATTCAGCCGCTTCATACCACTTCGGTAGAACTGGTAGCCAATTTTTTTGTTGGCCAGGCCCAGAATGGACTTCCAGAAGTGGCATCCACACAGAGAACCTATTCGGTCACATATTTGAATCCCTCCACTTGGGCAGACGCTAAACTATCAAACTTTCTTTGCAGCCACCAAACCAGCATTCCCAGCTCTCACCACATTAAAGAGTCAAACCTACAATCCAGGTTTAAAGAGTCCAATTTAACCGGACACCAGCTAGTAATTAGGAAACTAAGTAAGTAAGTAAATAAATAGCTCAATAAACAAATGGTAGAGTGTTCTTTTTCAGGGGGCTGCAGTTCCCCACTGCCCCAAGCAGGCCCCAGAAATTCTGCAGCAAAATGAGCTGTTTTAAATCAAAGCAAAATGAGCTGTTTTAAATCAAACATTTCAGCCAGAAGCAAAAAAGGAAGAACTTTGGTTCCAGCAACAGTCTTTGGGTTGAGTTGGGGCAGCTATAGAAACAGAAATCAAGTAACTAAATAAAAATAAAAATAACCAGGATTAATCCAACTCTACAATCAGGCTTCCTGGAGTCTCCTCTGATTTTTAGAACATAAAATATAAAACATAAAATATAGAATCCTAAGATTGCAAGGTATTCTTCTAGACCAATCCTCTGATCAAGGTGGGACTCTTCATCGCATCCTGGTCAGATGGCTGTCTAATCCTTAATCTTTTTGATAGGTATTTCTGTTTGATTGACAGGTTGCAGAGTTTGCAGGAGGAAGGGAAGGAGACTGGCTGTTTGCAAGGGCTGGGGGGGGGGGGAAAATAAGGGCCACAATTCTGTGCTGGGGGAGCCTGGTGAGGACCCTCCCCCCTCCAAACAGGCCCCTCTCCTGTTGCCCTGCCTTGCTTGCTTTAACTTTGAGTTGGGTGATGCCCATGGAAGGAAAGGAAGCCTGAGCTGGAAACTGCCCAAAATTTTCCAGGCTTTGACAAAAAGTGTGAAGTTTAGCTTATCAAAAGGGGGGGGGGAGGCCAATCCAGGCCACCTGTGGCAGCAAGGTTAAAACAAAGAGAACAGCTGAAAATGCCCGGGTGCTGGAGGCCAGGACCCCCAGCTTCTCAATGCAGGAGAGGAGGGCTCCGTGGGGGGTGCTGGAGAAAGTAGTAAAAGGGGGTGCCGGCCCTGCAAGGTAGGCTGGGTCAGGACACCCATCCTGCGGGGATTGCAGGCCTGGTACTTTATAGCCCTGCAGGCTGAATTAAATCACTCACAGCTTCCCTCCCTCCCAGGACTTTGTAGTGTTTCCTCCAAGTCTTTTTTCCCCTGTAGATCACTTGTTCCTTCCTTCCTTCCTTCCTTCCCTCTCTTTCTCCTTCCCTTTCTTTTTCTTCCTTCCTCTTTCACACCTTCTCAGGATCCGCTCTAAAATCCCCGCCAGCGCCTGGAGACTTCCAACCGACATTAAGCGAAGGGAGCAGCAGCCCCGACAGGGCGACCCCTGGCACCCGACCCCCCCCCGCCCAAAAAACAGCAGCTCCCTCCCCTCCCTCCCTCCCCCGGCTCCTTCAGCCTCTCCTCCCGTCCGCCCCGCAGAAAACTCCCGGGAGCGGTCCGGGGGGGGGGGACGAGGCGGAGGCGCTCCTGATTAAGAGCTCCGTGCGCGGCTCGCCCGCATTCTGGCCTCCCAGCGCTGCCCCGCGAACCTGCGGGCCGCTCGCTCCGGAGCGCCGCATCCCGAGAGGGAGCGGAGTCCCGGGAAGCGGGGCCGGGGCGCGGGGGCTCCGACGGCGAAAGCCTCCGCGGGACGGAAGTTTCTCGGGGCGCAGCGGTGGAATAAGCCTTCCCCCCCCCCGCGTAGCTGGCTGGGAACGATGGGAGCGGTGGTCTCTCCATCCTCTCGGGCTGCGCCGCTCTTGGAGGCGCGCCTCGGGCTTGCGACCGCCAGACGGACTTTGCCCGCTCGGCGCATCCCGACGGAGGATCGCGGGCCGCGCAGCGCACTTACCGGCGGGGCGCCGAGCAGCAGCAGGAGCACCAGCAGGAGGGGGGCGGCGGCGGCGGCGGCGAGGCGGGGGGCCATCAAGCTGCCTGCGGGGGCCGGAGCAATCCTGGACGCGATCCTAAGAGGCGCGGCGAAGGCGGAGAGGCGGCTGCGGGACAGGAGCGGCGCAGAGAGGAGTGGCGGAGGGGCGACCCCGGCCAGCCTTTTATCTGCCGGACGCCGCGGCCCCGCCCCCCGCCGCCCCTCCCCTCCCCTGGCCACGCCCAAGCCCCGCCCTCGGGCTGCTGCCCGGCTTTGCGGGGGGGAGAAGGACGCGGGGTCCCCCTCTGGCTCGGGGGCCCGAGAGGGCGGGGGGGGCTCAGCCCAGAAGGCCTCCCCGCCGTCCCTGCAGCCCCCCACGCTTGGTTTCTGCCTCTGCCGCTCCTGGTAGACAGCGACCCAACCGGTGTAGCTTTCCGAGGAAAGCCGCACCTGCAGAACTCCCGCCGCCCGGGAGCCGTCAGGGCTGGCTTGGGAAGAGTCCCTGTGCCCCAAACGCCCCGCGCCTCTCCCTCCTTTGACAGCCGTCCCATTGCAGGCGGGGGGGCTGCAGAAGAGCGAAAGGCGCCCCCAAACTGACGTGGGTTTCTTGGCGGGGGGGGGAGAGGGGCTCGTTTGCAACTCCAGCCAACAATCCCTGAAAAGTTGGAGGGTCTGCTCTGTCCTCTGTCCACAAGTGCAGGGCACCCCCACCCTTGTAAAGTGGGGGGTCTGCTTCACGCCAGCCCCCCCTCCCCGCTCCCCGGCTTCGGCCTGGCCTGGGGAGCGTGGCTGGTAAGCCGACCGCTTCCTGCGGGGTACAGATACCCCTCTTTCTGCTCTCTTTCCCAAGCCCAGCTTCAGCAGCCCCTCCCCGCTCGCTCCCCCCCCCCGGTGTGTTGAACCCGCAGCCTCTGGGTGCCTTGTGTGCAAATGGCTTGTGCGGCTCAGCGGGCGCGAATCCCAGAACCGGAGCAAATTCGCTATTGAGGCCGGGGAAGTGGGTCGCTTCCGGGCAAAGCCTGTTTGCCTGTATTGCAACCCGCAGCGACCTGACAAAGACCCCCGTCCAAGCACTGAAAGAGCTGATGGGGGGGGTCAGCCGGGAGGGGCACTGCCTGCCTGGTTGTCTTCCCTTGAAAGGGCTGGGGGAGGGGCGGCAGCAGGGACGCATCAGCTGTATGCTAATAGCAACACCTGCCCCCCCTCTGGAGTCTTTCTCCCCCCCCCCCCTTTGCCAGCCATGGACATGTTGAAATTCGGGGGGGGGGGAGCTGATGCAGTCGGCTGCGTTCAAAGCAATGCAGTTCTCCACCAAATTAATTTGGTTAACCCCATGCATAACTGTAAAATAGGATTTATGATGTACTGATGGCTTCAACTTTAACCCCCCCCCCAGCATCTCTTTCCGGCTGCAAAGGACTAAGCTCCTACAGGGAGTCCTCGACTTACGACCACAATGGAGCCCATAATATCTGCTGTCAGGTGAATTTTGCCCCGTTTTACGACCTTGCTTGGGCCACTTGTTAAGGGCATCGCTGCAGCTGATAAATTAGCAACACAATTGTTAGGTGAATACGGCCTCTCCCTATTGACTTTGCTGGTCAGAAGGGCGCAAAAGAGGATCACGTGACCCCGGGACACTGCGACCGTCATAAATATGAGTCAGTCGTCAAGCGTCTGAATGTTGATCACGTGACCGTGGAGATGCTGCAACGGCCGTAAGCGTGAAAAATGGTGGTAAGTCCCTTTTTTCGGTACCGCTGTAATTTTGAACAGTCACTAAACAGACTGTTGTAAATTGAGGACACCTCTCGGAAGGCTGATATTCACCTTCATCAAGGAACGGAAAGGAAGATGGCCAGGCACATGGGGCCCCTCCCAGTCATTAATGGCATGCTATGAATCCCAATTGAAAATTGCGGGAGACGCTCAAAATCCGTTCAAGATCACAACGTGCCAGCCAGCCGTAATGATTGTTGGCATCTCGTGATGAATAAATTGTCATCGTTGACTTTTCCTGTGAAAACAAACAAATATAAATTAAAAATAAATAAATCACGAAAGGTATGCATTTATTTTGTTTATGCCCAGCCTTCCTACCAAGGCAAAATGTAAAAGTAAGATGAGAATAGGAAAAACTGCATACGCGCTCAAAAAGGAGGAGGAGGAGGAGGAATGTTGGAAACGCCAATGTAAAGAAGGGACTTTTATCATTTATGGTGGACAAGCGAAGAAATATCGGAGCAGGAGTCATATTTTCATACAGAAGATTCTTAAAGTGAATACAAAGATCAAATCATAAACGTTGCTTTAGGGCAGTGTTTCCCAAACTTGACAATTTTAAGGCATGTGGACTTCAACTCCCAGAATTCCACAGCCAGCAACGCTGGCTGTGGAATTCTGGGAGTTGAAGTCCTCATGCCTTAAAATTGTCAAGTTTGGGAAACACTGCTTTAGGGTTTAATGGAAAAAGAGGAGCAGAAGGAGGAGGAAGAGGAGGCAGAAGAGGAAGGAGGAGGAGGACTGTGGGGTCCTTGGAGCCCCTCTGAGCTTAGTGGTTTCTCGCAGACGTTTCATGACCCAACTAGGTAACATGATCAGTGCTAGAAAGGAGACAAACCAGACAACAATCTCCCTCCCTCTTAGCACGGATGCCGTAACCTAGTTGGGTCAGTGGGAAACAGGTCGAGGAGATTTAAATTCTGCCTCAAAAGGGGTGGAGGAAGATCTGGTGACCTCCACGGATGCTTTGGTTTCAGCCGCTGCGAGGCTGGACCTCAAATTTTCCCCTGAGCAAAGGCCCCTCACCAGTTTGACCAGCAGCCTGGAAAGGCAGACTGGGCTCTCCCCACTGTAGGAAGCCTGCTTATCTTCTTTCACGCTTGTTTCCTTCCTTCTCGCCATCTTTTTGCAGGGGAGGGGGGGGCTTAGCAAAGTCAGGTCTCCCCGCCTGGCCGAAGTGCAGAAAAGGAGCCCAAGAAGAAAGCAGCTTCTGCAGAAGGGATTATTTCCTGCTAAATAGGATCAGCAGTGGGGAGAAAGAAGACTGCATGAGTTAAACCGGGAGCAGAACCAATCCACAAGTCTCTGGACCGTGATCTGAATCCCATCATCTTGAGGACCAGAAACTTAAACAGGAAGGACAATCGCTCCCAAGTGAAGGAAAGATCACAGAGCTCCACAGCTCTTATAAATACAGAACTGGGGTGTCCATTTCATCTCTCTTTTTTTGAGGGGGGGGTTGAACACTTGAGCCTAGAACAGAACCAATCCACAAGTCGGTGGACCTTGCTCTGAATCCCGTCATCTTGAGGACCAGAAACTTTAAAAAGGAAGGACGATCATCCCCAAACGAAGGACATATCAGGGACTTCCAGACCTCTTTTGGCCGGCACCTTCCCTTGAAGGAACTCAGCCATTCTCCAAAGGTCAGGGATTTCCCGCCCTGCCCCCAGAAGGCCTTAATGCTTTTCCCAGGACAGGCTCGCTGTCTCCCCCTCCTCCGATGCATTTGCCAGACGGAGGTGTCAGAAGCAACAGGAAAGGTGTCAGAGGAGCTGGGAGGCAAGGGAGGGGGGTGAACTCAAATTCCTGCCATGTGCCTGCAGAGTGTGAAATGCTCAGGGTGGGGGGGGGATGGAGACACACTCACACATTCACACCTGGACACTTGGTGGGGAGAAGGAGGCTCTCCCACAGGCTCAGAGGAAAAACACACCTGTTTCCCAGGCAAGGACAGAAGCCTCTCCAAGAAGAGAAAAAAAAAAAAAAGGGGGGGGGAGAGAAAAGTGTGTGTGTGTGTGGGGGGGGGAAACAAGATCCCAGGCTCTGTTAAGTCCAAGGAAAGCTAATAGCTTGGGCTGATTTTCCCAAAGGGATGGGGGAGCTGAGCAAGGAAGCAGGGGAAATTGTGTGTGTGTGGGGGGGGAGATGCAGTTGAGAGAACCATCAGATCGGAGGCAGCTGAGCCCCCAACAGGAAAAGGGACCTGGCAACTTCAGGTAACCCTCAACTGACAACCGTTCATTTAGTGACTGAAGTTATAATGGCACTGAAAAAAGCAATTTATGATGTTTTTTGGGTTCAGCTAAGGTCGTAAGTCGAGGTCTGCTTGTATCTCAGGAGGGACCCCCCCCTAATTTCTTGAGCTGTATACGAAGGCGGGAGGGGGCAGAGAAATGCACTTGCAAGATTTGCATTACACTCAAGAGGAATCGGCGCACCGTGTCGTCTTTCCCATCTGGTCCACCTCATAAGGCTGACCGGCTGGCCGCCGATTCAGCTATCCGTGCTGGGCTGATCTGCCCTGCTTAGCGTCAGCAAGACCGGCGGTGGCCCTCTCCCGGGAGAGCAGCCAAGCCGCTTTCAATGGCCCATTGATGCCAGGGCTGGGCTCCCTTCCTCCGCCGCCGCGCCAGGCTGTAAACAAGCATTAGTCTTGCATTAGGCGCTGGGCATGTCAAAATATTGGCACTGCCAGCGCAGGAGGACGAGGGGCAATTAAAGGCCGACAAGAAAAGGCTCTTTTTCCTGGCGGACGAGGAGGACCAGAAAGCTGCCATTTAAAAGGGTCTCTGTTTGGCAACAAACGAACGGAGCGGATCAAGGAGGGCCTGGCAGCTTTCGCTGGGTGGGTTGGTTGGTTGGCCCTCCGAGTGACACACTTTGCAAGCGGCACTTTGGCACCACAGAGCAGCCACGAAGTGGTCTCCTCCTCCTCCTCTCTGCAAACTACCTCCTCTTCTAGCACTGATGATACTACCCACCTGGGTCATGAAATGTCTGCCAGAAAACCACCAAGCCTCGGAAAGCACCAAGGACCCCAACATCTGGACTGTCCAATATTTTGGGAGCATATTCCTCTCTCCAACACTGCAGCAATGTTCTGCCCCCCCCCCAAGAGATCAGGGCTACCACAGCATGGCATGAAAGGCTGAAGGATTCTCTTGGGGGCAACTTTCCAACTCCCCCCCCCCCCCGCCCTTCTTCCAAGGGATGTCAGCAAGGAAGAATTTACAGCTCTTCCTTTTTGGCTTCTGGGTTCTCTGAAATGAGCACTGAGGCGTCCCGAGGAAGGGGAGGGGGCAGCAGGGGGACACAACTGTGAAAACAATCAGGACCCCTAGGTGTGCCAGGGATAAAGCGGACCTTTGCTCTGCCTACCCTTGGGCTGAATTAGAGGGGCAGGGATGTGGGCTGGTGAGGGTTGGTGTCTGTAGAGAAGGCCCTCGACCCTCCACCAGCTTTCCCTAGTCGGGCACCAGCAAGGCATCCCAGTTTGGAAGTGGCCCTTGCGGTCGTGGGGGGGGGGGTCAGGAAGGAGAAAAGGGTCCCTTCCCCCCAGGAATCTGCAGATTCCCAGCCTCAAAGGTGCTTTCCCAAAAGGCAGTAACTGGACTTTGTTTTTTCCTTGAAGAAAAAACAAGAAGCTCCGAGAAGCTTCTTCAGTTCTGACTGACTGTCCTAATTCATTCATTCAGAGGATATTAAGAAAGAAACGTGGATTTTTGACCTAGCACGATCTATTTATAACTTTTGGGATGATCTGGGATAGTTAAGATGCCCTGGTTAAATTTTCTATGAGTGGGTTAAATTTGAATAACAGTTTGTTGTAACAAGAGAACTTTAATTTTGTTCTGTTTTACTATTATTCTTTTTCCTGTTAACTACTTTGTCACTAATATGTCATATGGGAGACAGGTCAACAAATGGTTAATAGGTTTAGTAGTTTAAAAATTCTGGGAGGGCATGTTTTGCAAGGGGTGGGAACTAATGTTGTAGTAATATATTAATCAGTATTCAACTGGAGGGGATAATATGTGTACAATGTATTGGGTTTTTTTGATGCACCTTTTTAATGTTCTGATCGTTTTGTGTTTTGTTTTTCTTTTTATGTCTTCTTGCATTTTTATTTGGTTTTGTATTTTGTATTTTAACTCTGTTCTGAATAAAATAATAATGAAAAAAGAAGCTTCTTGGAGGAGAAGTGAAACGTCTTGAAACAGTGCCTTTGAGGTAACCCTGACTAGATGACGGAGAATCTCCAGAGACCTTCAGATTCGGAGCAGGTTGTGGGGCAAGAAGAAGGAGTAAAAGGATAGAGGCAATCAAATATATTCACAGGACCACCTTACTGATCGATTCCATCTGGCTCTGCCCAGTAACCAGAAAGTCAAGTGCTCCGAATCCTCCAGCCCCCTCCACTTCAGACCTTCTACCCCCTCCCCTTTTTTCTTCCAAGAAGGCAACGGGGATGTGGGGGGGGGAGGGTAAGGAGCAAGAGAGGAGGAGAGGGTGGGCACAGACTCTGCCAATGAATAGGAGGAAATGCTGGGTGCTTTGTCTCCAGCTTGTCTGCCAAGCCCAGCTTGGGCTTGGGGAAGGAATGGCGGAGGCCCCTCAGAAGAGGAGAGAGACCGGCCCCCTCCCCATTATTTTAGAAAATGCAGAGCCATTAGGATTACAAGGCTGGAAATGAGGGACCCAGACAATCTCTTCCGGCAATTGAATGGACTGGGGAGCGCTTCCCTCGGGTCCGACAGGTTGAGTTACCTTTCTGACCCGGAATATGACACGACACGACACCCTTCCTGGGCCTTGACAGGCAGCTCGGCCTTGGCTGGTGCGAAGGAAAAGGCCGAACGGCCGGCTGTCCTTGTGATGCTGCTTTTTCAGGGACTTTACCGACCGAGGCCAGCCTTTTCATTGCTGAGCAAGGTGGGGGGTTCAATGAATCGCACCTGATTTTGCAACGGTTGTTAAGCGAAACCACTGAAATCAGCTTGGGTGCTTTCTGCGGGACGAGGGGCGTTCGTCCCTCAAGCTGGTTGAGCAAAGATCTAGGCAACCCCACCGATCTTGGCTGCTTCAGAGACCAGGATCTTGTAGAGCAGTCCTAATTCTTGAAGGCCAGCTAGCCTCCTAGTAGATCACGCAAAGCCGTACGCGCAAGGAAGCAACCAGAGCTGAACCAGAGGCCGGAGGTTCCACTGAGGCCCTGCAGTGGCTCAGATTGCCCTCCACGTTGAATCGAAGGATGTCCTTCGATTCAATGTGAATCGAATTCACGTTGCACATTGAATTCAATGCACATTGAATGCCTAGGACAGGGATGCTCCACACCCAAGTGGCCTCCCAGGTTCTGCCGGAAGCGCATCCCCACCAGCCTTTAGGATGCCTGCCCGGCAACCTGACGATGGAGCAGCACCTCGGAGCTTTGCTGTCGTCCTTTCGCAAAAGGGGAGCAGCCCCTCACCCGCCATCTTGTCTCCCTGTTGTCAAGCTTCTCCTCCTCTTCCCAGAGTGGAGGGGAAGGGTGAGGTAACGTCAAAAGGTCCAGGAAGTGGATCTATTATCCAGGCCAAACAGGAAGCAATGAGACTAGCCTTGGCAACCTTGGGATTTACTTGTTTATTTGAAGGGGGGAGGGGGAGGAGAAGAAGCAGGAAAAGGGGGGGAGGCGGAGGAGAGGAAGGAGAAAAACGGAGAAAAAAGAGGAGAAAAGAGAAGAAAAAAGGAGGGAAAGGAGAAAAAAGAGGAGAGGAAAAAAAGAAGAGAGAAGAAAAAAGGAGGAGAAAAAAAAAGACGAGGGGGAGGAGACCCCGTGGAGGATCCAGTATACACAAGCAGCCTCCCCCACCTCCAGACCTACTCAATTACCAACCCCCCCACCTTATTTCCAGGGCTAAGAAGCCTCCATCTAGCTGCCACGTCTTGATGGCTCCCCAACTCCATCTAGGTCAGGGGTTCTCAACCTTGGCAACTTTAAGACTGGTGGACTTCAACTCTCAGAATTCCTCAGCCAGCAAAGCTGGCTGAGGAATTCTGGGAGTTGAAGTCCACCAGTCTTAAAGTTGCCAAGGTTGAGAACCCCTGATCTAGGTGACTCCCGGCACCTGCAGCACCCCCCCCCTTGGCTTCCTCCTCCATTGTCTCCTCCCAGCTGCCACGGCCCCGAAAAGCCTTTCCCGCCAGGTCTGCAGCTCTTTGCCAAGAATGCCGTGGCACCCCGATTCTGCGTCCCTGCGGTAGTCGCTATGCCAGGGGAGAAGCCCCCGAGGTCCCCCTCCTCCCGCATCACATTCCGGCGATCGTTGCACCTGGAAAGGGAAACCGGAGTCTCCTTTTGCCCGTCTGGGCCTGGAATGGCCTGATCAAGGAAAAAATAAAGGGATTTTCCATCGGCCTAAGTGACTGGGAGCGGCCTAGCCTGGCAACGAGACAGCTAGCCAGGAGGCATCTCCTGACCGATGGCCTTCCAGGTTTCGGCCCAGCTTGTGTCCCAGGCCAGGGCTTTTTCAAAGTTGACAACTTTAAGAGGGATGGACTTCAATTCCCAGAACAGCTGTCTGGGGAATTCTGGGAGTCCAAGTCCACACGTTTTAAAATGGCCAAAATTGAGAAACGCCATGGATTGATGGCTTCCAGGTGTCAAATCTGGTGGCTCCCATATCTTCTGCAGGCATGCAGCCCACCCACCCGCTTAGAAGCAAGCACCCCTTCCTCTTAGCCCAGGACGAGGCCATCCAGCCACTTTTATAATCCCCTCCCCTCCCTCTCCATGTTCTTTCCCCAAACTTTTCACCCTCATCACCCCCTTGTTCATCACATGCGCAAAGCCCCCTTCTCCTGCCCCCAAAGCCCACCGCCAACAAGGAGGCGAAGAAGCCGGGATGTTTCGTCGCTAGCAGGGGAGACCAGCATGGGCTAGTTGGCTGGTCAACCCTGTTCCCCTCCTTCTACATCCCTTCTCTTACCTGCCCCCTTCAGAACAGGGGTCTCCAAACGTGGCCCCCTTTTTAAGACTTGTGGACTTCAACAAATCTTAAAATGGCCACATTGGGGGGAGGGGCTGCTTTAGTGTGAGAGAAGAAACCCTTTTGACTGTAAAAACTGTAAAACAATTCTGCAATGTTTATGCAGAAACAAAGCACCTTCGGAGGGCTGGAATTCTCTCCCCCCCCCACCAGAGCACATTCCAGCTGGGTTTCTTTCCTGTTTACAGCTAGTCTGCTTCAAGACAAAGGCCTGCAGCTGATTTTTCAGTGGGGAGAGATCAGGGTGTGTGTGTGTGGGGGGGGGAGGATGATGACACAGGCGCTGCAACTCCCAGGGCTGATGTAGGGAACAGCCTAATTAAGGTGCCACCAAGAAGAAAACCACATTCCCACCCACACTGACAGGACAAGCCACTCATGCACAAATAGAGAGCAACCCCCCTCCCTTCTAGCGCTGATGATGTTACCTAGTTGGGTAGTGAAACGTCTGCAAGAAAGCAAAGACCCCACAGTCTTCCTCCTCCTCCTCCACATACCCGCTCTCTTCTAGAACTGATGAGGTTACCTAGCTGGGTCATAAAACCTCTATAAGAACACCAAGCTCAGGGAGCCCCAAGGACCCCACAGTCCTCCTCCTCTCCACATACCCACTCCCTACTGGCACTGATGATGCTACCTCCTTGGGTCATAAAACGTCCGTGAGAAAAGCCTCGAGCTGAGAGAGCACCAAGGGCCCCACCAACGACGGACAGAGCAGAAGCCTCTCTTATAAAGATGGCCATTTAATCTGAAGACACCCAACATTCCTCTCCGTTCACCCCAGCAGGCTGACCCAGAGCACTGTCGGTCACCCGATGGGAACATGATAACAAGGGATGAGAGCCCGCTGGACAGAGCGTCTCCTCCTCCTTTCCTGCCTGGAGTTTTGCCTCCTTTTCGTGCTGTGGTAGTCAGGCTCCGTTCCGGGGTGGGGGGTGGGGGGCTCGGCTCCCCGCCCTCCCGGAGCCTGATCCTGCAGGGGTCCCCTTCCGAGGGCACAGGACAGGCTCACTCTCACCCCACAAAGTCTTGGTCTCAAGAAATGATGCCACGGTGGGAGGGGACTGTGAGGGCTATTGGCGGCAGGTTGCAGCCCATGATCCGCGTCGAGGTTGGGCCGAAGCCTCTGCCCCTCCTGCTGCAGCCTCCCCTCCCCAGAGGCTGGGGTCCGAGGGGCAGGAACAGCTGAGACGTCCATTCGTGGATGGGGCCGGCCAGGCCTGAGGGGGCCGGGGTCACTGCTGCTTGGAGCGAGGCCACAGCCGGCTGGCCAGGGAGCCCAGGAAGAGCTGCTGCTTCTTGTGCTGGGTCAGGTCAGAGAGACGCTGCTGTTCTTCCTGGGGAGGGGCAAGGACACCGGCACTGCCGTCACCCCGCCGTGCAGACCCCTCCTCAGCCCACCCAGGGTTCTTGGAAGCCGGGACAGCCCTGTCCCCAGCTGGAGAGACTAAACCAGTGGACTTCAACTCCCAGAATTCCCCAGCCAGCACGATACAGGTAGTCCTCGACTTTACCACCATTCGTTTAGTGACTGAACTGTGGTCGTAAGACGAGGACTGCCAGCAGTTCCCTCCCACCCGACTCTCACCTGCTCCAGCTGGGACTGCCTGCGTTTGAAAGCCTCCAATGGATCTTCCTCCAGGGAATAGTTTTCCAGCACGGAGCGAACGTCTTCCACTCCGCTCAGGGCGACGGCTGCAGGTGACAAGGACCGCAGGTGAGGCCCAGCCCAAAGGCCGGGAAAAGCGTCCAGGCCAGCTGCCCGGCTTCCTCCCTCCAAGGAGGCCTCAGAACTCCCGCAGGGACGGCCTGCCTGGGCACAAGCTTCCCTCCATCACCGCCCTCGGCCACCTGCAGCCGGGATTCTCCAGGCCAAAGCCTGGCCAGACCAGGGCCCCGAGGCTCCCTCTGGATCTGGGAAGGGGGACGCTCAGGGTGATGCTCTCCTCCTCCTCCTCACCTGCCAGCTTCCTTGAAAGCGAGCCCTCGACTTGCTTTTTTAGAAAGGAGTTATCGTAATATAAAATATAAATGGAAACAGGGAAAGGGAGAAGGGGGGCAGTGGGTGGAAGAGAGGTGTTGGTGCAAGGGGAAAGAGAAGAGGTCGTGTTTTGCCCTGGCCTCACTTTTGAGGAAAGCCGAGAGGTCGAAGAGGGTGCGGTCGTCGGAGTTCCCGTCCCACTTCTTGAGGGCCAGGCCGTTGAAGGGCTGCAGGTGGAAGGCCTCCTTCTTGCAGTCCACCACCACCACCTTGGCCGGGTCCCTGTTCAGGCAGGAGATGTCCTGGGGGGAGCAAGGAGACGGGCAGGTGAGACGGCTGTCTGCTTGGGCTCCATCTGTCCCTCCTTCTCTCTCTCTCTCCCTCTCCCTCCCTCTCTCCACCCACCTAATGAATCAACCTGTCTTCTGTCCGTCCACCCATCCAATCAGTCAATCAATCAATCAATCAATCAATCAATCAATCAATCAATCCGTTGTCTGTCTGTCTCTCTGTCCATCCGCCCATCCGTCTATCCCACCTTCATCTATCAACCAACCTTGATAACTTTAAGATGGGTGGACTTCAACTCCCAGAATTACCCAGCCAGCAAAAACTGATCTCTCTCTCTTTCTCTCTCTCCCCCTCCCTCCCTCCCTCTCATCTATCTATATCTCTACTTTTAAAACTGCCCATCTCCTTCACTTCACACTCTGGGTGTTGTACAGGTAAAATATCAAAGCATAAACAGGGAATACACAATTTAAAACATAAAGGCAAGGATAAATTAAAACGAGTGTGAAAACTGACTAAAAGGCGGGGGGAGGGAGATTTTAGGGTGCTAGCCAGCCCCCCCCCCCGGCCGTGGGCTCTCTGGGGCTTCTCCAGCGCTTCGCAAAAGTCCAGCTGGCTGAGCAAAGAAGGGGAGACGGAGAGGGCGCTCCCCTCCCCTCCCCTCCCCTCCCCAAGGGCACTCAAAGGGAATCGGGCCTTCGATGTTCCTGACAGGGAAATTCCCACATCCTTCCACCCTTTTTCCTCCTGCCTCGTTTTAAACAAGGACAATTCGGAGGAAGACTGCACCGTATTTGTTAGGTTGTGCCTGCTGGCTGTGCCGCGATTGAGGGTCTGGATGCAGCCACTAGGCTAAAATGACCTTTTAAAAATCCTAGCGACGAAGGGGGAGAAGCCTATAACCCAGTGTTTCCCAAAGTTGACAATTTTAAGGCATGTGGACTTCAACTCCCAGAATTCCACAGCCAGCAACGCTGGCTGTGGAATTCTGGGAGTTGAAGTCCACATGCCTTAAAATGGTCAAGGTTGAGAAACACTGCTATAACCGCTCAGGCATCAGTCTGAATGGGCAGCTCTTCCGCATGAGCGTTGATTCATGAAAACCGCCTCAATTGCTCAGAGAACTGCTCTTAAAGCAGCGACGGCGAACTTTTTTGCGTACCAAATACTCCCAAGTCTCAAGCTCTTAGAAGAAGGAAAAAAAAAAAAGATTACAGATTCCTCACAGGGAGAAGCAGTTGGAAAGTAGTCATTAAGTAGTTCAAGAAACAGTTTCCTGTTTTGTTTTCCCTTTTCATTCGTTTTGGTTGCCTGGCTGGATTAGAGCAGACTTGGCTTTTCAACCAATGGCTCCGGCTTCCACATCTTTATTTTCAGTACAAGACAAAGTAATCTGAAGGAACTGGGCAGAAACCTTGCTCCCCCCACCCCCCACCCCCAGTTAAAAATGCCTTCCTTCAATCTACGTTTAAATCGCCCGGCCGGCTTGTTCCTTTTGTACTATTTATTGTTTCACCATAAAAGATAAAATCCAAAACAGAAAAACAAACAAAATGAAACAAAAACATACGTTCAATACTAACAACAACAACAACAAAAAAAAAACTGCACGAAAAAAGAGAAAAAGGTGATCAAATAAATTTAACATTTAATAGCTAGGATCCACTCTGATCCTGGCTGGTGAAAATAAAAAAAGGAAAGAAAAAGCAGTTTAAAAAGGACGGCCGGCTTGTTTAAAGATTTTTTTTTAAGACCAGATACTTGAGCTCAAGTTGAGTTTTGTCTCTTTTTTTCCGTCTTTAATGCAGCAGCAATTTACGCCAAAGAGTTGGGCTGCTTCTCCCAGGAAGAGAAAAACTCCCCCCCCCGCCCCACTTTGCTTACTTGGGGGGGGGGAAGAATCCAAACAATTAAGACATGGAGAAGGCCCCCCACCAGCAGCAGATGGGAGGTGACGGGGAGGGGGGAGGCCACGCAGAAGACAGACAGAAGGCAGCTCTGCTCCCCCCCCCCAATCCGAGGGAGCCCAGCTAACCCATCCTGCCTCTATTGTGGCCGGCAGGCCCAGGGGACACGCCGGGTGCAGCACGTGGCCTGGGCAGCTGCTATCTCAGACTGTGCCCGGCTGCCCGGCGCTCATCCAGACAGGCAACAGGCAGCCGAGTTCGAGGGAAACCCTGGGATGCCGAGAGTGGGCCACCGCAGTGGGAGGAGGACCCTTAGGGCAAACAGCCTGGGCCCTCAGGGAGGTTTGGGCCCTGGACTCTTTTCCTGGAGGAAGGCCCGCTGGACTCCACGGAAGCGAACCCTCCCCTGGTGCATTTGGGAGACGGAATATTTTGAGTTCCTAGCCAATCAGTTTGGACTAGTGGTTCTGGGCTAGAAAGTGGGAGATGGCGAGTTCTAATCCTGACTTAGGCATGAAAGCTGGCTAGGTGACTTTGGGCCAATCACCAGGAGGCTGGGAGTTCTAGTCTCGCCTTAGGCATGAAAGCCAGCTGGGTGACTTAGGGCCAATCACCAGGAGGCTGGGAGTTCTAGTCCTAGTCCTTAGGCATGAAAGTCTACTGGGTGACTTTGGGCCAATCACCAGGAGGCTGGGAGTTCTAGTCCTGCCTTCGTATGGCTCCCTCCAGTGCGACTCTAAAGCCATTACAGAGGATCACTGGATCCCTCCCACACGGGCCCCGTGGCCCTCCCAAATCATGTGGCAGCCCTACCTTAACATGATGCCCGTCCATGTAGCGAGTGGCGTCTCGGAAGAGCCGGTAGGAGATGAAGCCGTGGGGATCAACGCTGTCAATGAGGGGAAAAGCTGTCTGGGAGAGGAGAAAGACGGCAGAAAGGAATTACCAGCCCCAAATGATTCTAAAACAGAGGTTCTCAACCTTGGCAACTTTAAGACTTGTGGACTTCAACTCCCAGAATTCCTGAGCCAGCTTAGCTGGCTGAGGAATTCTGGGAGTTGGTCCACAAGTCTTAAAGTTGCCAAGGTTGAGAACCCGTTCTAAAAGAACCTTAAAACACGTCCAGGTGCCATGAACAAGATCAGCTTGAATCAAAGGAAGCTGAAAGTGGTCTGACATTAATGCTCTCTGTGCGCTCTCAGGAAACCCCTTCGGAAGGGTGCATAGCCAATCTGATTTAACAACTGTAGTGATTCACTCAACAACAGTGGCAAGAAAAGTCGTAAAACGGGGCACAACTCACTTCACAAATGTCTCACTTATCAACAGAAAAGGGTTCAAGTGTAGTCGTAAGTTGAGGACTACAGGTATTCTTTAGAATATCTAAAATATTCTTAGAATACATAACGTAAGTTATTCAGAATACCTGTCCTGATTGGCATCCTCGTGTACTTTTTCTCAAGGTGTTAGCAGAGTCTTGTGCCTGCCCATTTTAGAGCCTCAGCTCTGGATTTGGCCTAGCTCAGGGCTATGCAACCTTGGCTCTTTTAGGACTCGTGGACTCCAACTCCCAGAATTCCTGAGCCTGCATGGCTCAGCTTGGAAACTCTTCCTTTCCCCTTAGCATGGCTGGCTCAGGAATTCTGGGAGTTGAAGTCCACACGTCCTAAAAGAGCCAAGCTTGCCTACCCTGGCCTAGCTGGATCCCACAGGTTAACTAAGCTCCCAGAAGGCAGAGGTGGACCCCTGCAGCCTTTTCCTTGAGCAGTTCCTGTCCTTTGGGGTGAAGACTGGGGTGCTGCTTTCTCCCCCAAGACAGGCCCACTCAATTAGTGCATCAATGGTTCGGATTCAATGGGAGGCAAGGGCCGGGGAGGGGGCCATTCATATTCAAATGAGCTGTGGCACGCTCCCTGGGAGAGACCCCACTGCCACCACTCAAGCGTAAGAGAGGCGGAGCGTGGAAGGGAGGAGAGGGCCAGGGGCACAGGGGCACGGGCTAACCAGCTGTGCTAAGCTGCCCCTCCCTCTCTCAATGGCCTGACATGATCTAAGGTTATCCCCTGCGGTCACTCTGCATCTGTGTGGCCAGCATGAGCATTGGACACAAAGTCCAGGCTAGATCGCCCTTCCAGTCCTTTGCTGGGACATTGATGTCCAATTCCCCCAGCTGGGCACAAATCTCAACTCAAGAACGGTGTTTGATGGCCCAACAGTGGCTGAACCTATGAGGGAGTTTTAGCTAAAGCACAGGCCTCCCAAACAGGGCAAGCCTTGGGGACTTCAACTCCCAGAATTGCCCCAAAGTTCTGGAAGTCCCAAGTCTTAAAGCTGCCCAGTTGTGGAGGCTCCTGAGCGAAAGGATCTGTTCTTCGTTTAAAAATAAATAAGGGATTTTCATTTCAATGGCGGGGACAAGTTCATGATGCATACTCAAAGCCTCTTTCAAATGGAGGGGGGGGCCACAGGAGCCGAGCACCCGGCTACCTCCCAAGCCCCTTTACCAGCTGACAGGGCCCCCTCCCTGCAGCACTCACCATGCCTGTCTCGGAGGTGAAGATGACGATTTCATAGAGCGGAGCCAACTGTTGGAAGAGGTTGTCGATGCCCGGCCTCTTTTTAAAGCGCCAGCCGGTCACTAACTGAGGACAAGAGAAAGAGGGACAGACCTTGAGAGAAAGCCAACACCAGCTAGGCAGAAAGGACAATTATCAACTAATCTCCATTGGACCTGGCAGATATTCTGGTGGTTTTCTTGCAGGCGTTTCATTATCAAACCGGGTAAAATCAGCCCACTCCCTTCTAGCACTGAAGCGGTTAGCTAGTTTGGTAATGAAATGTCTGCAAGAAAACCACCCAGCTCAGAGAGCACCAAGGACCCCACAACTCAAAAACTGTTGGTAGATGGAGCAGGGTGGCAACCAAGGGCCCGTCATGCCCTCTGGCTCTGAGGGGAATGCGCTGCCCCCACCCCCAATTCCTGGAAAGGATACAGACCGACCATTCCGGGTGCAGCAGGACATCGGTGAGTTCAATAACCAGGGTATAAGGCGGCTGGTAATACGGTTCCTTCAAGGGATCTGGCAGCAACTTAGGGCTGGTGGGCTCCATGATCATCTGGAAAAAGAAACCGAGGCAGGACACCATCAGAAGATGCCGAATGGGTTTGGGGGGGGAGGTTAGGACCGGGGGAGGGGGAATCCACCTGGATTGGATAGGAGACCAGAAAGCTTTAAAGCCAAATAGGATATAATTTCATTTTGGTGCGTTTTTTTCATTTGGGAGAATTGTGAAAAGATTCTAAAAATGGTGCTGTCCAATCTTGGCCACTTTAAGACTTGTGGACTTCAACTCCCAGAATTCCCCAGCCAGCGCATGCTGGCTGGGGAATTCTGGGAGTTGAAGTCCACAAGTCTTAAAGTGGCTGAGTTTGGAGGACCCCCCCCCCCGTTGCAAAATCTCCATAAAAGAGATGAAACAAGACACTCACCTGGCTATAATCTTTGAAATACTTGTACGACCTTCGCAGCTGTTGAATAATCACCACATCTGTAAGCCAAATGGAAGAAAGCATGTCGCAGAACCACGCAAAGCCTCTCGCCCTTTGCTGATGGAACCCGGGTCCCAGACCCCTGTCATTCTGGAGATTAAAAGTCTAAACATGACTTGACAGGCACCCCGTCCGATACGCCTTTTGCTCCTGGGTGCTGGCATGGACAACTGAAACCGGTTCCGATCCCGATTCAAAAATCCCTTGAAGTGCAGTCGAGGCTGCACGAAATCCATTTCAACCCTCTCAAAAATCAGGAGGATGATTTCCAATGTTTAAGTAGGCATTTTTTCTGGGTAGGGAATGTGGAAATGGATGCATTTAAAGTTACTTCAAACCATCCAACTTCACACCTGGCGATCTCAACTGGAATAAAAACACAGATGGTCCTCGATGTACACAACCGTTCGTTTTAGTGGCCGTTTGAAGTTGCAACGGTGCTGAAAAAAAGCAACTTGGGACCAGTTCTCAAATTGAAGACCACATCCCCACGACCGTGGGATCAAAATTCAGGGTCTCTTAGCAACTGACATGCATTTAGCATCCCGGGGTTGTGTGATCCCCATTTGTGACCATCCCAGTGGCTTCTGACAAGCCAAGCCACTGCGGGAAGCTAGAATCGTTTAACGACTGCATGGGTCACTAAACTGCAGTGATTCGCTTAACAACTGTGGGGAAAAGGCCATAAAATCAGGAGCGGCTCACTTAAGATCAGCCTTGCTTAGCAAAGGAAATAATGCTCCCAACTGTGGTCATAAATCAAGGACTACCTGTAAAACTTCAAGGGCAAATTTTTTTTTAAAAAAAAAGTACATTTGGGTGCAATTGTAGTTCCTGAGCTGCATGCGGCATCTTGATGAGCAATTCTTAGCCAAGGCTGCAGCTTCAACCTGGTTCCCCCCCACCTGCCATCTGATGTTGCTGGAACATATGTGGGGCTGCGGCACTCCCCCCCCCAAACATACAAGGGATCCTTGGAGGACCAGCTTGCTTAAGCAAAGGTCAGGCTGGGGAGGAAAGAGCGTGTGAGCTACACTGCAGCCTCCCCACCAGCCCAGTTAACCATCCCTCTGAGATTACGGCTTCCCCATTTCAGCCGCCAGGGTTATTCAAACAGAAGCTCTAAGTTAATCAATCAAAGGCAGGCCTGTTGAATGGGGTGTAATTTGGGGCGCATTGTTATGGTAATGGGAGCAGAGCAGCTGGGCCCAGGAGGATGGGCGGGCAGGCGGGGCACGGATTCCTGTCAACTGGAGGGGGCCATGGTGGAATCCCGGGAAGAGGCGCGCCCCGTCGCCCCCCTCCCCAAATACTGGGCTGCAGCAGGCAGAAGTGACATTGACGTGAATCACTCTGAACAGAGCCGAAAGGGACCTTGGAGGACATCCAGTCCAACCCCCTGCTTAAGCAGAAAATCCTATACCATTTCAGACAAGTGGCTGTCCAGTCTCTTCTTGAAAACTTCCAGTGATGGAGCACCCACAGCTTCTGGAGGGAAGCTGCCCCGCTGGTTAATTGTCCTCATTGTAAGGAAGTTTCTCCCTAATTCCAGGTTGCTTCCCTCCTTGATTGGTTTCCATCCGTTGTTTCTTGCCCTGCCTTCAGGGGCTTTGGAGAAGAGGTTGTGGCAGCCCCTCAAATACTAGAATACTGCTATCATGTCCCCCCCAGTCCTTTTCTTTAGGCTAGCCCAACCCAAATCCTGCAACTGTCCTTCATATGTTTTAGTCTCAAACCACCACCTGTCTGAAATGGCATAGGGTCTCCTGCTTGAGCAGGGGGTTGGACTAGAAGACCTCCAAGGTCCCTTCCAGATCCATTCTGACTAAATTTGACCTTTGCAGGAAATGCTAAATAACCTCTCAGCTTGGGTAAGGGATTCCTTTATTCTTCCCTGCAAGCTGCCATAAGTTCAACAGTCCAGGAAGGAAAACAGAGGAAAGGCTGCCAAGAGCAGCACCAGGTTACGCAAACTGGAGTTCCCTGCCGTGTGTGCAGTTTTTTCCACCAAGGAGGGGTGAGTTAGCTGAAAATCTGGAAGGGAGGGGGGAACAATGAGGCTACGCCTTTTAATCTGTCAGCACATATGCTGGGAAGGCACTCTTCTGCACCCCCCCAAAGCAGCTCCCCCCACTTGCCCCAGGACTCCCCTCCCCACTCTGTCCGAAGCCTTCCAGCACAATCTGCTTCGGGGAAGCCACAACCAGGATCCATCTGGCCCTCTGCCGCACACACACAGCCACAGCTGCCCCCCTCCTCCCGTTCGCTCCATTCCCCAAAGCTCAGAATGCAAAGACTCTCCCTCAAATTTTGCAGCAGGCACCACGTTTTGGGGGGGCAGAAAAGTTGGAATTCTCCGTGCAGCATCCTGGTTATAAAGGGGGCGTGCTGTAGTTCGGAAAAGAGCCATTCCCCTTAAACTGTCAATGTAATTACAACAAGAAAGAATGAATGGAAGCTGAAGAAAGAGAGACAGTGGGACGGCTGGCCTTCAGAAGCTGTGGGTGCTCCGTCATGGGAGGTTTTCAAGAAGAGACTGGGCAACCGTTTGACTGGGATGGAATAAGGCTCCTGCCTTGAGCAGGGGGCTGGACTAGAAGACCCCCCAAGGTCCCTTGCAGCTCTACAATTCTATAATTCAACTTAGATACTGCTGACTCCAACCGACTCTGAAGGCAATCGACGAGAGTTGTGCCGTTTGTGAGCAGCGTTAAGTGAGCTTGGCAATGCTCAACCTTGGGGTTTTTTAGACAGCTGGACTCCTTATCTAAGGGGTCGCCAGATTAACCTACCTTATAAAGCAGGGCTCCCCCAACTTGGCAACTTTAAGACTTGTGGACTTCAACTCCCAGGGCTGGGAGTTGAAGTCCACAAGCCTTCAAGCTGCCAAGTTGGGAGAGCCTTGTTTTCAAGCAAAGCCAAGACTGGCGTTGCTGGCTGTGGAATTCTGGGAGTTGAAGTCCACATGCCTTAAAATTGTCAAGTTTGGGAAACACTGCTTTACAGAGTAGTTCCTACTGCAATTCAGCAGAGTCTGAACCCCAGCTAGGGGCTTAGAGACTGAAGCACATCGATTAGCTGAAAGCAATTTTTCGTTTTGCTCTCCGGAAAATGCAGCTAGGATACTTGGAAATAAATGAGGCCATTGCGAGTAATATGCAGTAAACGCTCCAGTTCTGTTTTCCTTGGATAATGGTGGCAACTCCAGATTTACTTCTGCAATGACTTCGCTCCCGTTTTTGATCCTCAACCCAACCTGTTGACCGGCGCCCATCCAGGAAAATTTCAAAACCCCGGTCTTGTCTACTTACCGTCATCAAATTCATCAGGAATCTGCAAAAAGAAGAGAGAAGACAGTATGTTTGTAGAGATTCTCAGCCATCCAGGTCATAGTTGTCTCAAAGATTCTTTTCAAAGAACCTTTGAGAGAAAATTGGGTTTATTTTGATTCCAAGGGTACATTGCATTATCCCAAAATGGGAGCTGGGAGGGGAGAACAAAACAGACACACAGATGTCTACCTGCTTATTTGTAGCCCGCCTGTATTGTTGCAAATAAGGAGGTGAACATATTTAACACTCCTTCCTCCTCGTTCTCCACCACAATCACCAACTAAGGTGGGCTGGGCTGAGAGCGAGCGACTGGCCCAAAGCCACCCAGCTGGCTTTTGTGACTAGGGTGGAACTAGAACTCACGGTCTCCTGGTGATTGGCCCAGAGTCACCCAGCTGGCTTTCATGTCTAAGGTGGGACTAGATCTCAGTTTCTCCCGCTTTCTAGCCTGGTGCCTTTGGCGCTAGACCAAACTGGCTCTACAGCTGCCTTCTCCAACTCATGTGACACCTCCAGATGTGCACATTGCCAGCTAGACCAAACTGGCTCTACAGCTGCCTTCTCCAACTCATGTGACACCTCCAGATGTGCACATTGCCAGAATTACTCGCAGCCCTCCCCACACCCCGAGGGGACTCAGTTGGGGAAGGCTGGCTTGGAGTGCCCGGGGTTTAGCGAGGGAGGCCGCTGGCTGCTGTGATTCATTTTCTTCCTGTCATGTTTACAAGACTGTCCCAGAGGCAGCGGCGGGTCGGTCGGGCCAACGGGTCAGCGGAAGACGGGCCAGGTCAAAACAGATGGCAGGAAGGAAGATGAGATGTGAGGAAGGTGGTTAATTTGGGGATAGTTTTATTCCCATGGCCAGAGTACCATTCCAGAAGCAGGAACTTTAATTAAAAAAACACACACAAAAAAATCCAGGATATGATGGAGACTCAGACACTGAGTGGAAAAACAATGCCTCGGTGTAACGCACGCAGGAATTTGCAAGACGACAGAGGATCTTTTCGGCTGGTTCTCCGGGACGCTTTGCAAAGAGATGGACGCATGAAAGACGAATGTATGAATGCATAAAACACAGATACACCACAAAGAGAGGAAATAAAATTTTAAGGCCGGAGAGGCTGGTTGGAGAATTCCGGAGGTTGACGTCCACACGATTGTGATCGTAAGTTGAGGAGCACCTGTGCTAAATGCTCTGGGTAAAAGGAACTAGCTTGTCCCGGTGAGTCCTGACCTTTGCCAGGGACAGGGAGGTCCTGAGCATTAGAGACCGACCCCTGAGTGAGGGGAGGAGGCCTGGGACAGCCGTGACCGTTGGTGGCTCGGAGCCGTCACAATCTTCCCCAAGGGACAAGGAGCATGAGCAGAGTCCTGCACCAAATGCCCAGGCAAGCTGCTCTGGGGAAGGAAGGGGAACAAGGACGTTTCCAGGCAGGAGCAAGAGGCCTCAGCCACCTTTCTTTGAGACGTCAGCAACTCCTTTTGCACCTTACAAAAAAAAAAAAAAAAAATACTTGCGTGTTTGCACAAGCAATGAGTTTTGGTGCACTGGCCAAATGGGCCTCACGCCTCCGAACTGGGCAGCTGTGGCAAGGAGTAGGAAACAGCCCTTCTGCGTTTGGGGTCATGCAGGACCCTCAGCCCTAGACAGGGGAATTGCAACCCCCTTCCCCCCCAAGTCAAAGCAGCTTTTCTAGGGAAGGGGTGGGGAACCTGGGCTCTTTTAGGACTTGTGGACTTCAACTCCCAGAATTCCTGAGCCAGCCATGCTGGCTGGCTCAAGAATTCTGGGAGTTGAAGTCCACAAGTCCTAAAAGAGCCCAGGTTCCCCACCCATTTGAGGGTAATGCTCTCTCTAGGAGCCTCCTTCAATATACAGGTAGTCCTTGACTTACGACTAAAACAGAGCCCAAAATGTCCGCTGTTAAGTGAGACAGTTGTTAAGTGAGTCATGGCAGCTGTTAGGTTAGTAACCCAGTAGTTAAGTGAATCTGGCTTCCCCCGTTGACTTTGCCGGTCAGAAGTGTCTGAATTCTGATCAAGGTGACCTTGGAGATGCTGCGACGGTCGTAAGTGTGAAAAATGTCATTTTTTTTCAGTACCACTGTAACTTTGTCACTAAACAAACTGGGGTAAGTTGAGGACTCTCTGTACTAATTTCATTCGCCTTGAGAGGAAAACGTCTTTTTCCTAGCCTGCCTTAAGCTGGAGGCTGATTTCGTGTTCAGATTAAGACTTAAGGCTAAAAACCTAAAGAGGTGGTTTAGATTTCTCACCATCAGAGCCTATAAATGGTGAATGGCAGCTCCTTGGCCAGCCACAAAATCAGTCACCACACAACATAAAACTAAAAATGGCAAAATAAAAGCCAGCAAGCAACAGCCACCATAATAAACAGATGATGTCATTCCATTCTTCCCAAACAATTCCAGTTTTAAAAGGCTTACGGAAAGCCAGCCACAGGGAGCCAATCTTGTTTTTGCAGGGTGGGGCGTGGGTGGGATCCCACTGCCGAGGACCCCTTCTGAGGATCAGCATTTGCAAGCCCTACCGAAGTGGGGGACCAAAAGCAGCTTCCAGAGCAGGGCTCACCAACCTCGGCAACTTTAAGACTTGTGGACTTCAACTCCCAGAATTCCCCAGCCAGCTGGGAGTTGAAGTCCCCAAGTCTTAAAGTCGCTGAGCTTGGAGACCCCTCCCCACGAGGAAGGAAGAAGTGGGAGAGCAGGAAGAAGAGACAGAAGAAGATTATTTCAAAAATAGGCAGCCCTTTTAATAACAGTCTGGATCCCCCATTTCTCGTACTGAGTTCAAACACCGCAATGGCTTTCCATCTTCTCGCCCTAACCCGCAACAACTGCTTTATTTCCTTTACTATTTTACAACCTTGTGAGTCCGATTCAAAGGAGGGGAGAACAGAAGGGGGGGGAGGAAATCCCAACCTAGAACGGCCGGTTCGCTAAGCGGCGCTGCTTGAGTACAATTTTAATCTGCCGGCAGCCAACTCGGATGGTGCTGCATTTCAGGTCGCCAAGTTTGTTATCTTTGGGTCAAAACAATCCAGCTCTAATATTCTGAACCAGGTTCTCTCTCTCCCCAGGCCCAGAAAGACCTGCCGGCCGATGCAGCCTTTCAACTCTGCCCGTTCTGAAAGCACCAGCTGTTTGAGCCCCAAAGAACCACCCATACAAAGTGACAATGGGCCTTAACAGACCTTAAAAACAACAATGGTGCCCCCCACGCACCCCATCTGATCGTGCATGAGTGCCTGAATACACAGCCCTCCTGCCCGGACAGCAAGAAGTTTATTCTTTTCAGCTACAGGTGCAGAAGGAAAGCAGCTGTTGGCTTAAACGGCAAAGTCCTTTCAAGATCTCCCGATTGGCTCTGAAAATCCTCCGCTCAAACCCCGGCAGGGCTAGGAACAATCCCGTCGCGGGTAACTTCACAAAAAGAGAGGGCAATGATTCTAATCATCTCGGGGTCTACCTTCCCAAATGCTCCTGGCCCGAAGGCCGCGTGAAACAGAGCTAATCCCTGGCTGAGGGACACACGCCAATTCATCAGCCATTGTTTCGTTTTACTTCTCTGGCCGCAAAATTCGGGATTATGTAAAGTGAGGCGGAAGGAAGAGGCCGAGGCAAAGCGATTGCAAAATGCATCAGTAAAACCCAAGGGCTGATCTGCGTTGTTCCAGGCAACGGAGCCTCAACTTGACAGGGCAGGAAACCGAGGCTGACAACGGAGACCGGGCAGGGTTTTGCCACACAATGGCAGCTGCCTGGGGTCCCTTCCCCTCCTGCCCTCCTTAACCAAACCCTGCCGGGGCTGCCAGATTTACCCAGTTGGATTCATCTGCAAACTTGTTAACTGGAGTAAATGTCGAGTTGCTACAGAGATGCCGCCTCGAGGGAAAGCGGGGCACGAGATTTGGTGAGAATGCAAGATTCTCGCTTTCTCTGCTGGTCTAAAGCCAGAAAGACTCAGAAAAGAGGCATACAGGCAGTCCTCGACTTACGACCATTTGCTTAGTGACCAACGGCATTGAAAAAAGAGACTCGGGACCGTTTTTCACGCTTACGACCGTGGCAGCATCCCCACGGCCATGAGAACTGGGATGCGGGATCGGAGCAGGAACACTGGAGCACAGCCCACAAGGAATTCCGTGCAGCTGAGCAGTAGTAGTTAACGGAAAAGATGGCTCCCTTCCCTGTGAGTACTTAGCCCTGCAAGCAACTGCACTGCCTGTCCTCACTGCCCAACCGGCACACAGGACCCAAGCGGACAAAATGATTTTTATAGGAGTGATGGACTGGGAAGCCCAGAGAGGCCTGGCTGAGTTTGGGAGCAGAGGTGGCCGTGGGTAAGGCGAGGAGCCCTCTAACCCTGCTTTGATTTCCAGGGAGTGTGATTCTCCGCTCTCTACCAACATTTCAGTCAGAATTTGGAAGCTCAACAGCACCACCTGGAGAGAAAGGCCTAGGCCAGGGGTAGGCAGCCTTGGCTCTTTTATGACTGGTGGACTTCAACTCCCAGAATTCCTGAGCCAGCATGGCTCAGCATGGAAACCTCTCCCTTTCCCCTCAGCGTGGCTGGCTCAGGAATTCTGGGAGTTGAAGTCCACGAGTCATAAAAGAGCCAAGGTGGCCTACCCCTGGCCTAGGACATCTACACACCTTAAACACTGTAGTCCTCCTCCAGACGTCCATACCTGGTAAACAAAAGACTCTTGAACCCAAGAGTCTCTAAGATGGCTAGAAAGGACTGCATTGTGCCTGTTGCTAAATCGTGTCCACTCTTTGCACACCAGCCCCCCCGTCCTCTCCCGTCTCCCGGAGTCTGCCCAGATTCACGATCGTTGCGTTGATGACACCATCTAACCATCTCCTTCTCCGCCGTCCCCTTCCAACTTTCCCAACATCTGGGGCTTCTCCAAGGAGTTTTCTCATTGGGTGGCCAAAGTATCTGAGCTTCAGCTTCAGCATCTGTCCTTCCAAAGGACGGTCAAGGTTGACTTCCCTTTGGATTGACTGATGGGATCTCCTTGCAGTCGGAGGGACTCCCGAGTCTTCTCCAACAATCAGAAAGGACACAAGTCCCAAAACACCAACCCCAAATAAAAGAAAGAGTCAAGAACACACCACCGAGGTCCCTACACAACACAGTATTGAGGAGTTCTCCCAAAACCTCCAAGCAGCAGATCCTTCAGGATTTTCCCAGCTGTGACCCAGGGCGGCCTAGACCCCAAAGGCTCGCCTCCACTGCCCTGGCCCAGCTTTTCAGAAGTTGCCAACTTTTGTTTCTGAGACCGAGGCTGGAAGATCAATGCAAATGGGAAGAGTGAGAAAGGAAATTTGTAATAAAAAAAGATCAAGAAGCCTCTTTGGGCAAACCCACACTTCTCAGAAGGAAAGTGTGGGAAAGAAAGAGAGATCAAAGCCTGAGTCTGTTTTACAGCCACTTAGGCCGAGATAGGCCTAGACGGGACAGGTCCCCCTCCACCCGGGGGGATGCCATGCGACTTGCAGGGAGCTGTGAAGTGTGCCAGCCGGGCTCTTTAGGCCAGGCACATCTGCCATCACGCCAGCCTCACTGTGGCCATTCACATGAATGCGACAGGCATTAGCAAAACCAAAGGAGTCTTATTATGGCCCCAGAACAGGACGCAAAGGGAGGGGCAGGCAGGGAGAGGCACGGAGCTACTTCAAAGCAAGGCCATTTGTAAGCATTCAAGACATCCTGTCCCTGGAGTTCCCCCCCCCCAAAAAAAGAGGGGCTCCTCTTTGAGACAAATTTATACACATCAAACTTATACTCTTTGAGATAACCTACCAATGGAAGAGAATATACTACACCTTCTATAAGAGAGTAACTTATGTAAGTTCTTTGCTTACTCTAGCCATCACTGTGGAGTAATTATCGCGTATCGATAAGATAATTCAAAGGGAATTGATTTGTCTTACCATACATCTATTAATTATCCAAGATATAACGATAACGTAGAAGCTGAAAAATAATAGGTTTCACAAGGAAGAGTTATGACACAGTTCTCCCTTGCTAAAAACTTGATTTTTAAGGGGGGGGGGAGAGTCCACTTAAAAGCCAAACATTTGTGACTATGCATTGTTACTGGGATGGGCCACCACAACGCGAGGGTGCTAAGGCACCAGGCTACAAAGCAGGAGAAAGCAAGATCAAATCCTGCCTTAGCCATGAAAGCTGGCTGGGCGACTTTGGGCCAATCATCAGGAGACGGTGAGTTGTAGTCCTGCCTTAGGCATGACTTTGGGTGACTTTGGGCCAACCACCAGGTGATGGTGAGGTCAAGTCCTGCCTCAGCCATGAAGATGGCTAGGTGACTCCAGGCCTGTCCCTCACTCTCAGTCGTCAACTCACCTCTCAGGCTGGTTGTGGTGGGGAAAATATTTGTCAAAATAATAAAGGCAGGATTCAAATAAGTAAATAAAATGAAATTCCCTTTGCCTGCAAAGAGTTAAGTCAGGGGCTCTGTGCTCCAACTTGCTTCCTCTTCAGGGAGACTTCTCAGACAGTCGCCAATTGTGCCGGAATTGTGCTTATTAGTGCAAACAATCCAAAGCAGATGGCAGGTGCCAGCCATAAGCTGATCCAAAGCCCGTAACGGTGGGAACAAAGGCCCAGGAGCATGAAAGGAACGTGTTCAGGTTTGGATGACTGATGGGGGCTGGGGGAGGAGGATCATCCACCCAGGGTGATTTAGGAAGCCCTCTCATCCTCTGGGATACTGCAGTCTCATGCCCTCACCTCCAAGGATAATTCAGGTTGTTATTTACAACAAGGTGAAGAACGGCAGCTTCTAACATCAAAGCCGCCAGTATAGAAAAAAGGCAATCAGGAAATCAGGGCCTTAAAAGAGGTGTTGGGGATAGTAGCTGGGTGTATTTTAAGTCGGGCTGTTCAAAATGCCTCAGGGATGTGTAAAGCCACTAGCAATTCACACCTTGTTTCCTCAAGGGCACTTGGGACTTGTGCTACAGATCAAAAGAATCCTCCCTCATCCGCGTGGCTTGCAATTCACACCAAGGACACCGGACAGCATCTCTTTAGCAATCAGCCATTTAAAAAAGACCCGTCAGGTAAGTGTGCCGGCTGCAGAATCCAGATGCTGTCACCCCAGACAAATGTAGAAAGCGCCAACTTGGGGAAAGAAAGAGGGAAGGCTGATCACAAATTTAAAATGCAGAAACACCCATGCAACTCCAGAAGCTGTGTGCATTTCCCAGCTGAACGATAAATACCTTTTATAACAAAAAATGATGCGTACAGATTTAGGCTGCAATGTTTTGTACGTAATTGTTGCTGAGGGGGTGAGGAGGAAACATGCTGGATTCTAGTCTGGCATTTTGTTTTGTGTGTAGTTCAATAATGTCGATAAAAAACTAGACCGGATCAAGTGGAAGACCGAAAGGGTAATGCATGCAAACCCCACCCCCCACCCCTGTATTGATGCCAGGATCAGACCATAGACTGTGCTACAGAGTCACCACTGACCTCAGGTTTTGTTAGATTAAAAAATAATTTAATAATGTGGAATGTACAAGCACACTACAGACTTTAAGCACAGTCCTTTCCGTCTATGGTGCTGAGAAAAAGGCTAAGGATTTTTTTCCCCTGTAATTCACCCATGAAAGAACAAGCCCCACATCTGGACAAAATGCTGGAAGCCTGAAAGAAACTTTCTCAAGCAAATACAGCCTCGTTAGCAAATGTGTGGAGCTCCCCTGACGAGCAGCCCCTTCCCTCCTAGTTAGTTCCCCCCCCCAAGACAACAGGTACATCAAGCACCCATGAGCCAGGACCCTTTTCACACATCCCTGGCAACATGTGCCTGTTGTAATCAGGACCACAAAACATCTGTGGGAACTTGGCTTCAGGCTTTTCCCAAGGGCCTGCCCTGGGCTGAGGGCTGAGTCATTGTGTCACAGGAAATCGCCACCCAAATATTGTCTCGGTGGCACAAAAGGGATTTGGGAAGCTGGGCCAGATTACATTTTGTACTCGTTGAAAGGGAAGCCTTTTCCTACATTCCAAGTTACGACTGGTGATTCTGCAAGTTGCAGATATTTTGTTCAGAATCTGGACGAGGAGAAACAGAGCATCCCTAGAGACATTTTGCAAAAAGAGGCAGGGGAGAAGTAAAAACTACAAAAGCGAGGAACAAATCATAACACACTGTTCAGAAAAGTATAAGGCACCAGGCTTCAAAGTGGGAGACTGTGAGTTCAAGTCCTGCCCTAGGTATGAAAGCCAGGTGGGTGACTTTGAGCCTGTCAATCTCTCAGCCCAACCTACCTCACAGGTTGGCTGTTGTGAGGAAAACAGGAGGAGCAAGGAGTATTGGATATCTTCGCTGCCTTGAGTCATTTGTAAAAATAATAAAGGGGGGATAGAAATAAAGAAAACAAAAATAAATAAGAAAAAAGAATACCGGTAGCCATTTTCCTTTTACGACAAAGTATTAAACGAAGAAAAGCAAATCACAGGTAGTCCTCAACTTACAAACACAACACTGGGACCAGAATTTCCAGTGCTAAGCAAGACGGAGTCACCCCTGATTTTAAGATCTTCTCTTTTTTTGCCATTGTTAAGCAAAGTGCAGCGTTTCTTCAGCAAATCATGCAGTGGTTACACGAACCCAGCTTCCCCCCATTGACTTTGCTTGTTGGAAGCTAGCTAGGAAGGTTGAAATGGTGACCACGTGACCTTGGGACGCAGCCACCCTTGTGCTTACACGCTGGTGGACACATGCTTGATTTCTGACCAAGTGGCCCCGGGGCTGCCTCAGCAGTTATTCCTGCACACAAGTCACTTTCTCCAGTGCCACTGTAACTTTGAATGGTTGCAAGTCAAAACGGGGACACGGCAAACCAGCAACCACACAATCTCATCCTTTCTTTTTGCTAGGACTGCCGAGGGGGGAGATTTAATGCCGGGACTTTGAGCAGGTTACTTCTGGAGCTGAGCAATTCCTGCCCCCTCACTGCACAAGGCCAGAGCTAGAATGCTGGATGTCAAAATGGAGTAAATAGGCTCCAATTTAATCAAGGTCTCCTGGTGAACTTGAAAAATGCCCATTTCCAGTCTACGTGGCCTTCCAGGGCTGCTACCATCTAAAGCAGGGGTTCTCAACCTTGGCAACTTTAAGACTTGTGGACTTCAACTCCCAGAATTCCTCAGCCAGCTTTTGAAGTCCACAAGTCTTAAAGTTGCCAAGGTTGAGAACCCCTGATCTAAAGGACAAACAACCATGATGAAAAAGCAGATGATGGCTATCTTGGAAGCTTACATATAATGGAGGGTTTTTTTTCTACAGGAAGAGTATCCACAACCTTGGCAATTTTTAGAGCTGTGGACTTCAACTCCCAGAATTCCCCAGCCGGAGTTGAAGTCCACAAGTCTTAAAACTGTCAAGCTTGGACAACCCTGCTCTACAGGGATATATGTCCCTTGTGATATAAATCATCGCTGAAGATGTATTTCATCGCCTGCTTTTCCTACTCAGTTTCTACCGACACTAAATTTATCTGGAGCTCAAATTAATCTTTTCTGTGCTTCGGATAAAGCAGGCTACAACATCTGACTTTGGACTGCCCAACATCTTTCTTTCGAACACTGAACGGCCCCTAGTGGCAGGCAGCTCGTTAACAAGAGAACTTCTTTTAGATCAGGGGTCCCCAACCCCCCCCCCGGTCCTTGGACCAGTACCGGACTGCAGTATGCCAGCAACCGGTTTGCACAAACAAGCAAAGCCCCATCTGCGGGATGCAGGCAGCACACAAAACCACACACCCTCCGATCCGTGGAAAAGCCTCTCTCCATGGAATTGGCCCCTGGTGCCCAAAAGGTTGGGGACCTCTGTTTTAGATAACAAAGCAACCTACCTTCGCACCGTTTTCATCCACTGAATTACGGCCTGCGGCAAAAAAAAGAGAGTGTGTGAGTGAGGGAGAAAGAAGTTGAAAAGGTCATTTGGCAAAATTGGGGTCATACTGAAAGCTGGGTCACAGTTGGTAGGACTATCTCCCTGATCTGGAAAGCTTGAAAGTTAAACAATTAATCTGATTAACTGATTCAGGTTAGTCCTTGAGCGTGACCTCACCAGAAAATCTCAGATTAGATTGGGAAGTAAAAAGATGTGCTAGAAGGGGAAAAAAAGCATCTCCACAAGCAAACAATACTGTATAGCCTACAGTTACATGTCAAACTCCAGTCAATTCTTTTCCTTTTGCTCTACAGACAGTCCTGGGCTTATGACCACAACTGAGCCCAACATTTCCGTTGCTAAACAAGACAGTTAAGTGAGTTTTGCCCCATTATACAACTTTTTTGACACAGTTCTTAAGTGAATCACACTGCAGCTAAGTGAATCGTGAAGCCAGCTGGGAAGGTTAGAAATGGTGATCACATGACCCTGGGACACTGCCACCGTCATAAATATGAGCCAGTTGCCAAGCGCCCAAATTTTGATTGTGTAACCACAGGGACGCTGTGCAAAACGGACCTAAGTCACTTTTTTTCAGTGCTGTAACTTCGTACAGTCACCACATGAATGGTTGTTAAGTCGAAGACTACCTGTGTTAGAAGGAGCCAATGAAAAATTACTATTCCTCAAACCAAGGTAAGGAATTGACAGCTCACCAAGTGATGCTCAGCTACGAGCATCTCAGGCAGCAAGGCTAAGACCAAGGGATGCTGGGAGGAGTACAGGCAGTCCTCGACTTACAACAATTCATTCAGTGACAGTTCGAAGTTACAACAGCCCTGAAAAGGTGACTTATGACGGTTTCTCACACTTATGACCATTGCAGTATCCCTATGGACATAGGATCCAAATTCAGATGCTTGGCAACAGACTCATATTTATGACTATGAGTCGCAGTTCCAGGGCCATGGATCCCCTTTTGCGGTCTTCAGACTAGCATGGTCAATGAGGAAAGCAGACTCACTTAACAACCATGTTACTAACTTAACAACTGCAGTGATTCACTTAATTATGGTAACAAAGATTGTAAAATGGGGCAAAGCTCACTTAAAAAATGTCTCACTTAGCAACAGAAATTTTGGGATCATTATGTTGAGGACTATCTGTAGTTTAACAATGGCACAGATTACGATCAGGCTCAGGCTGAAATTTACTATCAGTTGAATTTTCAGCTATTAGGAACATGCTTTTTATCTTGTCACCTCATCAACATGAGAAACATGGAGCCATTTAATAGCCTGGGGAGACAGGCGCATGAACCTTGAGGATCCCACCTCATCATGCCTCCTAACAGTAACTGAACTAGATTTAGGATAGAGAAATAAAACTACACACAATTTTCCCCATCAATCAATCTTCTGGGCTGATCAAAGACTCACTAATGCCAACAAAGAGGACACAGCCGGTATCTTAAAGACCTAAAGCAATCATCTTGGCAATAAACTATTCAACTCTTCGCCTTCAGAGCACTGTCATGTATATTTTGATTACAAGCCATAGCCACGGAACAGAAACCTCCATCAACACAAACTCTGTAACTGGAAGATATTATCCAGAAGCCTGGCCACCAGTTACAACTGCAACCATTCAGATTGTTGCAATGATCATAAGCCAGAGAAGGGAGCTTCAATATGATGCACTGACCGGTGGGCATACCTGAGCAGGGGTTGGACTACACTAGATGACCTCTAAGGTCCCTTCCAACTTTATTATTATTATTATTATTATTATTATTATTATTCACAGATTGAAAACTGACTTACCAAAGATGTAGATAATTGCTACACCGTTGCCAGCTCCAAGAAGGCCTATTATCTGCAACAATCTCTTGGTATAGGCAGGGTTCTGTTTTTTTGTCTTCTCTTGTTGATCATCGAAGCCCTTCCGATCTTCTTCTCCCGTTGACTTGAGAGAGAGAGAGAGAGAGAGAGAGAGAAAGAAAGCTGAAAGGAGGTAGGGCACAATTGCAGAAACCATATACTGGCAGTCCTTCACTTATGACCACAATTAAGCCCAACTTTTCCGGTGGTGAGACAGTTAAGTGAGTTTTACCCCATTTTGCCATCTTTCTTGCCATACCTGTTAAGTGAATCCCTGCAGTAGTTAAGTTAGTTTTAGTAGCTTTGCTGTCACAAAAGGTGATCCCATGATCCCTGCAACCATCATAAATATGAATCAGTTGCAATGAATCAGTTGCAAATGTCTGAATTTTGATCCTGCAATCACCATTTTTTACACTTGTGACCACTCTGCAACAGTCATGTGAAAAACGTAAAGTGAATCTGGCTTCCCCACTGTCTTTGCTTATCAGAAGTTGCAAAAGGGAACACCAGAGCCCAGGACGCTGTGACAGTCATAAACAAACATTTACGGTGCGAAAGGTGCGAGTTTTGATCACATGGCCGCAGGGATGCTGCACCGCTGTGAAAGATGGTGATGTCACTTTTTTCACTGCCCTTGCAGCTTCAACGGTCACTAAACGAACGGTTGTAAGTCGAGGACTACCTGTATTTTTTTTTTAGGACGTCAACTCTAATGCTTATTTAAGCCCCCCCCCCCGGTCTCTGTGCTCCCCCTAAGGTTGCTGGGCGTCTGGGCCCCAGGCTGCCCCTTCTGGCTTGCCCTAACCTACTGCTAATACTCCGAACTTCCAGCAGGCGAGGCCCTGGGCCTCAACCCGGCCTTTGGAGTCCGACCCCCGATGATCTGGCCTCGCCGGCCCTCACCTGCTGCTGCTGCTGCTGCCGCTGGGCCACCTCCTTCAGGACGGCTCCGGTCAGCCTCGGTCCGGCCGCGCTCGCCGACGGAGGGACCCCCGGCGGAGCCCCTGAGCTCCACGTCCGGCCCGGCAGCGCCCAGGCGCCGCCCCGCTTCCACCGCCGGCAGCAGGAGCCGCCGCCGTCCCGCAGCGCCCGCCGCCCGCCCGTCAGCGCCGCCTCAGACAGGACACGAGCGGCCACCACCACCGCGGCCATCTTTGCTCGGGGGCGCCTCTCGCGCCTGCGCCGGCCCTGACCAATCAGGAGCGAGGGGACGGCGGTGTCGGGCGCGCGCCGCGGATGGGGAAAAATGATCCGGCCAATCAGAGTGGGAAAGGCGGTCAGACGCCCGCCCCGATCGGTCGCTTCTCATCAAATATTTCCGAAGCCGGACTGCCCGCCCTTCGAGCGCTTCGTCCATTAAAGAAAGCGAGATTTGTCATGACACCCAATCCGCGAGCCGCTCTACACCGCCCAGATTTCTCCGACCAATCATGGCTCAAGGGGGCGTGAAGACCCGCGAAGTTGTTCTTATCAAAAGAAGCGGCCATAGCTCCCATTGGCTAGAAAGCGAAGGGGCGGAACCTTTTGTTTCCTACCGGTCTTCCCGGAAGCTGACAAGGTTAAAGAGCCAAAGGGACAGAAAGACACGTGTCTTAGGCAGCACGTGTCTTTTTTTAAAAAAAAATGCTCCTCAATTTTCACGTTACAGAGCCAAGGCATCTGATCTTATCTAAATAATATTTTTTATCTTATTGCCTTGATTGTAAGCTGGCCAGAATTGCCCCTAGTTGAGATGGGAAGCATACAGGGAATCAAATGTATAATGATGGATGGATGGATATAGATAATTGATAGATGTAGATATATAGATCTGGATGGTGAGTGGATGATTGAATAAATGAGCATGAGATGGATGGTAGGCAGATAAGATAGATGATATAGATGATAGACAGACAAACAAACGTGTAGGTAGGAATTCACAAGATAAAGTCTTCCCCTCTGAGAATCACTGAATCCTTTGGCTACAGGCCACATAAGCCCCATTCAAAGTCGTTTTAGGAGATGATTTTATTAAAACAAGCTACAGAGGTTGGATGTTTTGGTGCTGAAGAGGTCATAAAATGCTACGGAAGAGGAGGGGAACAGCAGGGCCTGGTGCTTCACTGGCGGCAGCTCTTCCGCTGAAGTCACGTCATAACACAATTGCAAGATTGTCCCTCGCTCAAGCAGCCACCCACAGTGCTGGGAAAAACGGCCAGCAGGAAGAAATGCACACACGCACATAAAAAAAAAATAAACCTTTCTCAGGAGCAAATCTGTACAAAACCTTGGCGGTGCAGTCAGGAGGAAACTGGCTAAATGAAAAAATAGGGAAGAAGAAAACATAAGGAAACCCTAATCACAGCCCACTGTTGTTCTCCGTCCTGCTAAGCTGCTACGAGTTTGCCGAGGAAACGCAAGTTGAGGATTCTGAGCTGCTCTTCTGGGTTCATGCGGACAATGCCGTCTTCCCCATCAATGCTCAGCAGCATCCCCGTCGCTTCGCGGTCTTCTCCCAAGAGGACTTTGACCTGCAAGGCAGGAGAAAACTCAAGAGCTACTTGGCTAAAAAGCCAGGCTTCCCTGAGCCTTTTACTCAAAGGCAGGCCCAGCAAGGAGCAGCCACAGACCTCCCTGGACTGAGAGAGGGGAGCATTTTGCATTGTTAAAGGGCCACCCATTTCCCAACAACTGCGTTGACTAGAGTTTCACATGGGGGGTGCTTGACTAATTCAAAGCTAATCCAGCCCCCCAGCCCAGCCCACCCTCGTGTATCTACTCCCTCCTGCTCCATCTTCTGTTAATGATTTTATTTCGTCTTCTCCGTCACTTTGTATCTTATGATTTTAATGTTTTTTAAAATGTTTATTATGCTGTAAGCTGCCGAGTCATTTGAAAAGAGATAAATGATAGATAATATAGCTAGCTAATGGAAGGTAGATTCGATTCGATTCGATTGATGGATGAATGGTAGGTAGATAAGACAGACTGACTGACAAGGCTGCCTGGTGGAGAATGCTTCCACCTACCTTATCATTCTTGGCTGGTGTCACAGGCTCCAGGTGTTCGCTTGAAATGCTGACTACCTTTTCACATTTCTTAACGTAGACTGAACACATCCCGCCCTAGCAGGGCAGATAAGGGAGGAAAGAATGGGAGGGAGGGAGGGAGGGAGGGAGGGAGGGAGGGAGGGAGGGGGAAAAAAAAGAAAACCACCCAGGTGACAATCTGGAAGTGTCAATAACAGGAAAGCTCACCTACCTCTGGTGATAAGATAATCTATCCTTGGCCCTGCGGGAGCCAATCCCTCTCCTTGATCAACATGAAACGGTAGCCATAAAGATGTTCAAGAACCAGGAATAACCTACAAGAGGCCAGTTGCTATCCAGCCACTTACATTCACACTACGGATGATTCCAGTCTTTCCCACCACATGGCTGTCCAGGTACGTGTCGTGCACTTTGACTTCGATATCGGTGGTGACCCAATCGCTGGAGCTCTGCTCAATCCCAGAGCCCGGGGTGTGAGGGTTGTAACCACCTGGGGAAGGAGCCCCCGGGGTCATAGGGCTATAGCCCACTGGGCTGGGGCTGGGGCTAGCCTGGGGAGAGAGAGAGAGAGAGAAAGAGAGATTCCATGAGAAAATCAGGGCCGGTTCTAGGCAGGGGCCAGTGAAAGAGACCACTTAACTCCCACCCTTTCAGGACCTGAACGATTGGCTGGACCTACAAGGGGTCACCCATCAACCCACGTGCCACTTATGTCCTTGGAGAAGCAGCAAAGATGCCTTTCCAAAGGGGGGCTTATTTGTTTCTTTTGCAAATTTTGAAACGACTCATCTCCTTTACAGAGGGACTCTGGGCGGTGTACGGTACAATATTAAAAATTAAAAGAGTTTATAAAAGTTAGACATTTAAAAAGGGGCAAAGACGATTAAAAAACAAGGTGAAAGGAACATTTTGGGAGGGCTGAGGAGCCCCATGGGCTCCCGACATGAGGCTGTGGGGCTGTTTTAACTCTTTTTTAGAAGGCCAGGAGGGTGGGGGGACACCTCACATCTGGGGGAGGGGAAAGTATGCTGGTTGGAATACTTTAACCAACATGGTCCACAAATATTTTTTCCCTGCCTGACTAGGGGGAACTGGCCAACATAATGGGACAAAGTGAGGTTGGTGTGTGCCTGGACAAAAAGACAACTGATGGCTTTAAAGCAGGGGTCTTCAAACGTGGCCCTTTTATGACTTGTGGACTTCAAATCCCAGAATTCCTCAGCCAGCCCTCAGGGCTGGCTGAGGAATTCTGGGAGTTGGTCCACAAGTCATAAAAGGGCCACGTTTGAAGATCCCTGCTTTAAAGACAGAGGGAGAGAGGTTCCATCGGGTGGCTGGTCAAGCATACCTGGTAAGCCATTGGCGAAGGAGTCGGGTGGTAGCTGGCGGGGGAGTGGGTGTTCTGGTAGCCCACAGGACTGGGCGCCACTGGGTGGAAACTTTGAGGGCTGGGGCTCGGCTGGTAGGAGCCCTGAGGAGACGGGACAGCGTACGGAGAGAACTGGTCTGTGTTGTACCTTTACCAAGACAAGAGGCTTTGCTCAGAGCAGGGAGGGCATCCAACGGCCACAACATCATTTCCCTTCCCCACTCCGGATCTAGTACAGTCAGAGAATCAGCAACTATAAAGGAGAAGCTCCAGGGCAGCGTCTCAAAGAGAGAAGTATCTGTGAGGTCCTTGGTTCTTTTTCTTTCTTTCTTTCTTTCTTTCTTTTTCTTTCTTTCTTTCTTTCTTTCTTTCTTTCTTTCTTTCTTTCTTTCTTTCTTTCTTTCTTTCTTTCTTTCCTTCCTTCCTTCCCTTCCTTCCTTTTGTTTTCTTTCTTTCTTTCCCTCCCTCCTTCTCTTTCTTTCCCTCTTTTCTTTCTTCGTTTTGTTTCCTTTCTTTCTTTCTTTCCCTCCCTCCTTTTCTTTCTTTCTTTCTCTTTCTTTCTCTTTCTCTCTCTCTCTCTCTCTTTCTTTCTTTCGTCAATGCTAGAAGCAAAGCCCACTCCCTTCCACAACTGATGTTACCTAAATGATATGCCTCCAAGAAAGCCACCAGGCTCAAAAAGAACCAAGGACCCCACAGTGCTCCTCCTCTTCTTCCTCCCCCCCCTTCTCCTTCGCTCCACAAACCCCACTCCCTCCTAGACTGATGATGTTTACCTAGTTAGGGAATGAAAGGTCTGCAAGAAAACAGCCAAGCTCTGAGAACACCAGGAACTCCATAGAGCTCCTCCCCCTCTTCCCCTGCTTGCTCCTCCTCCTCCTCCTCTGCTCCTCCTCCACTCCACAAACCCCACTACCTCCCAGCACTGATAAGGCTACCCACTTGGGTCATGAAACATCTGCAAAAAAATCACCAAGCGCAAGGTGCACCAAGGGCCCCACAGTTCAGCCCTGAGTGCTACTGAGGCCCAGGACGGCCGTAGGAGGAGGGCTCCCTGAGCCTCTGCAAGGGCTCCTGACTCAGCCTGGCTGCCTGTCCCAAGTTAGCCAAGCAACACCTGGGCCACCATCTAGCCAAGAGACGTGAGCGCTGGTGCACTTACATGGCGGGGGTGCCAGGCGTCTGAGGGTTGTACGGAGGATTAACCTGTGGGGAGGAAGGGTCTGGATAGCCTGGGGTCTGGGGGTTGGGGGTCGCCCCGTAGCCTTGGGGAGAAGGCGTCGGCTCATCGTCAAACCCGTAGTCAAACTCTTCCTCTGTCCTGTAGAAGAAGCCAAGTACCCAGTTCAGCCTCGGGGCCCTGTGCCGGGACTCCCCCAGCCCTGCCTCCCTTCCCCAGACCGGAAGGCCAACCTGGAAGGGGTGTTGGGATCCCAGGCGCCGCTCTGGGCAGGCGTCCGGCTGCCATCGTGTAAGGGTGTTTGGGAGCCGTAGTGTGGTGTCCGGTTTCCTGAAAAACAGACCCGCCTCACGTATCACAAGCCCCCTTTGGAATACAGGCAGTCCTTGAGGCGCAGGGCTCCAGCAGCTCAGCGGCCAGCCCCTTTTCAGGCAGCCTGTCCTCTCACAGTGTCCTCAGGTTACGGAATTCAACAGCCTGCCTCGTTGTTTTATTTATTTATGAGACTTATACTTTAAGTGCAAGCACTCTCTAAGCGGTGTACACCAGTAAACAATGTGTGTGTATATATATATATATATATATATATTTACATTGCCCCCAACAATCTG